GTAATAGACTGAGGGGCTAATTGTGACACTAAGAAAGTGAAGCAAATTTATGCACAGTCAACACACTAAATTCAGTAAAATTCAGTTAATTTGAATTATATGAGCTTTCCAAAAGATGCTGTCAAACACTAGCAAATTAATATTTGCCCAAAAATTAGAACAGCAAATATCAGAACAAAAAATTTTTGAATGCATTTATTTTCATGACATCTGTAAAATATTTCTAATGAATTTGCAAATAAAAAGTTTTTAATAATTAACTGTTTTTGAATTTATATGAGGGGCATTATGGATATATGCATACTTTGTGGAGGCTTAATTGTAACACTGTGTTAGAAACTAACCCTGCTGTGTGAAGGATGTACTTCAGCCTGGCTAGCTTTTGCTGTGAGTTATTTATGTTCTTCGAAACAGTGCTATTTTAAAGCCACCAGGAGAGCAATTCAAATAATATAGGTATGAGTTCTGTGACTTATTCAGACAATTCAGTGATTGAATAGTGCGTAGAAAGTTGTTTTTGTACTACAAAAAGGTCTCTGTGGCAAATCCCGAGAAATATCTGTTCTGATTGCTGTCAGAAATCACAAGTTTTAAAAATGAACTCTCTGTTAGGTTGTGCCTTGTTTTCCTCGACCGGAGTGACGTCTATTGTGGTGTTGTGTATGTTGCCAAACACTGTGCGGTCTGAAACCCCGACACAGTCCTTAACAGGTAGGGTAGTTGAGTTTTTCTAGCTTTTCAATCTGTTTTAATTATTATTAAATATATATTATTATTCATTTGCCAAAATCTTTAACAGTCATTAAATTACATATCTTCAGTATAATTTAGATAATTTTCATGTTTACAATCAAATTGACAACCCCTTTAATGTCTGTGTGGATAATACAGGTGCATAGTGAGTGTTGCAGTGGCAATTGTGGTTGTGTGTTCAGTGGTTTTTTGCAAGTGCATTGTTGTTTCTCTTTACTTCATGCACTTTAAGTAGTTAGCAAATGATATCACCATGTGTGAATGTTTCTCTGTAGCATTTAAATAGAAATAGAGACGTATTAACCTTTGTTGTACTATTGTTACAGAGTTAACTTTGAATGGCCGCATTTTGTAGTAAAAGTCTCTCAAGGCTTCAGGAACCCAGCAGCTGTTTTGTGTTAATGTCTATAAATAGCGTAAAAAGTCACTATCTGGTTCTTGGGGACTCTATCAGTAACTGTATTAACTGGGTTTTAGAGCTATCCTTTTACAATAGGCTTTGTCACTGGACTCCACAGGCCATGCCGTTATTGCTATTTTTACACTGAGACTCTGGTAGGCTTCCTCTTTTTATAATTAGGAACATAAGGTATTTGCAGTTGTGATGAAAGCGGAATACGGCACTGAACGATACATACTTCAAAGCTGCAGTAAGTAACCTGTATAAATAGAACTTTTTGTCATATTTGTCCTGACAGTAGTACACAAGGCTGTGAAAAATCAGGTTCCTCTGGCTCCATCTTGTGCTACTAATGCCATTGCAAAAATCCACCGTGACCGAATCAAAACAACCAATCTGAGCGAGGAGGAATGTCTGACGAAGTGTCAGTCACTACTTGTGTACACGCTGTGGGCAGCCCCCCTCCCCTGTGCACCATCTCTGCGTATGCTTTCACACGGTTGAGCTCAATATCTTCAGTGAGCAGCTTCAGGAAAGGCAATGACAGATAAACAACCAGCAAGTAAAACTGTGCATCCCTCCTTTGCCAACAACAGCGTATACAATGAAGACAAGTAAAAAGATGAAGACAAGTGAAGAAAAGCAAGCTATGTTATATTTTTACCAGGGTGTGCTCCTCGTCTTTTACCTGGCATCTTCAGGTGTCATGGTTGCTAGCCTGTGCGTGCATGGCAGCCTCCTCTGCAGGGAGGGGCTTTGGAAGCAGGACTGGAGCGTAATGGAGAGGAAGGGACCTGGAAGTTGTAGTCTTTCAAATTTTAAAGCCCACTCTCTTCTCAGTCCTACTGTGGCTTTAAAAAGAGCCTGTAAGATCTGAAGGTCAATTATAAACCACTGAGTTTGCTCACCTTTATTTTTGTAAATATATAGGCTGCATTGATTTTCAAAAGGTGTTTTCACCGATTTTAACTAAAGTGTTTTCTAGTGTGGGATATAGCATAGCATGACGTAGTTTTAAACCACAGCACAGTCCCTTTAAATTAAATTAATGTTGAAATAGACCGTCAGTGTTAGTTTCCAAATCTAAACATTCATTTATTGTTCGTTGGAATATTTATATGGGTCATTCTGCTGAATTGGTTCAAAGTCAGAGCTGAAAACATATTTCAGACTTTTAACTTGGACTTAAGGCTAAAATCCTTTTACTTTGAATGACTCTATACCTTAATTATGTTTATTTTATTAAAATGATGGAATTGATTCCAATGTTTCCGTAGGGCCAAGTTTAGCTAATTTTGAGCAAAACTCAAAAACGCTAGCTAGTACATGACAAGTAAACACAGCCTTGAACAGCTGTACTTACATAAAATCATAATATTTTTTGTTAAAACAGTTTTACACAAACAATCAAGCAGGACTGCTGTGTCTGATCTACTCATACCAGCACAACACACACTAACACACCACCACCACGTCAGTGTTAGTGCAGTGCTGAGAATGATCCACCACCCAAATAGTACCTGCTCTGTGAGGGTCCATGGGGGTCCTGACCACTGAAGAACAGGGTAAAAGGGGGCTAACAAAGTATGCAGAGAAACAGATGGACTACAGTCTGTAATTGTAGAACTACAAAGTGCACCTATATAGTAAGCGGAGCTGATAAAATGGACAATGAGCATAGAAACAAGTCATAATGGTCATAATGTTGTGCCTGATCGGTGTATATATGTATATATATATATATATATATATATATATATATATATATATATATATATATATGTATGTATGTACTGCAGTTTGATTGATGGGCATTGGTATCAGGCAGATATCAGCAGAAAATGAAATGACATACCACATATCGGAGGGAAAATAAATAATAAATAATTAATCCAATACAGTTTTATATTAAAATAACACACTTTCACATTGTGTGATGTATGTTGTTTGCTGCACATTTTCACCCGATGCACTGCACTCACCCACTGTCCAAATATCAGTTGTGAAGCTCTTGGCTTTAACATCTAACTCCGCCACTAACATTGATGATACTTGGTTGTTGTACAGTTCGGGTATAGCAGTCTCTTAATCTTTGAAATGTATTTTCTGGATGGGAGATTACACCTGGGCTCTAAGTGCTCCAACAGGCTGTGAATTCCAACAATTTCCACTACAGATAGCAGTTGGTCATTGAGTATAATGAGTTAATAAGTTGAGCAACTACTCTGTGATCCCTTTACCCTTTGGGTTGTGTGCTGGAAGTGTAACGTGTTTCTGGAAAGCATCGGCAAGAGTCGCTGCCGAGTGCCGTCTTTCTGTCTGTTAGCTAGCATGAACTCATGGTACTCTTTCATGTGAAACCTCTGCAGGTGTTTTATTAAACTGGTTGTATTATAGGATGCAGCCATACTTCAATCCCTCGGCACGCTGGCTTTACAAACATTATGAGTAGCAGTCTTGCTTTTCGGCGTTTCCAGACTAAGACCCTTTCCCATCACTGCAGACTGGCAGGGTTGCCTACAGAGCACTGCTAGTAGCCTGTTAATGAAGTAATGTTCTTCTTTATTTGAGGGTTGTCCCATTTTATAGGGAAGGATTCATGGTAAAATGTGGAATGAAATATGGATTGGTGGCGTGTTATTTTATCTTATGGCGAGTTCATGGTCCAGTGCAAGCTGCGGACTGGAATCTGGATCAGTAAGTGGATCTGCCCTGTCTGTACGATATCCGATGAGCAAAGTGACATCAACATCGGACTCGATACCGATATAGGATCGGATCAGTCCTATCTCTATTTCAGAGTATTTTAATGTGAGATTGTTAATTTCAAAGAAGATTACCACCTCAGATTTCTTTACAGTGGCCGTGACAGGAACCAGGGATTGTGATGTCTACAGCACGTATATGACGATTTTATTTACTATGCAGATTGAACCACGAATCTATACTTGTCTTCTGAGTTTTTATATGTAATATTTTTAATAGTAAAATTGTGGTAAGTCCGAAAATCTTTTGGTAGTATTTTGCCTTAACACACTCTATATGTACCTCTCCACCATGAATGGACTGAAAAGACATTTTAGGTCAAAATATTGTAACAAAACTATTGTAAAACAATGTCTCGGATATTAGGCAATATTTTCATAATTTTGTGACATTTCAAGTAGCTTTCAGAAGCACTAAACACTTCAGATGTCTGGTTCCTATCACCAATGTGGCAAACAATTCTGAGTCTAAAGCTTCTCTAGAACAGAGCATTTGACATCAAACCACTCTGAATGACTTTGCTTACACCTTAACTGTCAATTACACAGAAAATTTGAAAAAAAAAAACTAGTGGAATTTCCCTTTAAGGGAAGTACTTCAATTTTAAAAAAAGCTCAGTTTAAAGATTTAGTTTTTAAAGAAAAACTACTGGACTGTCAATACCTGCAATGCAAAATTAGTATTGGTATCAGAAAAGAAAACGTATTGTGCTAATAGGAACTCTAATTGGAAGTGCTTGGTTTCATTATAAATGGATGCTTTAAAAGGAAAGTATTGGCTCACGAAATTAGAGGCTTCTTTGAAAAATGTGCAAATGATAAATTAGATTTTATATTAGTTATTTGTGTTGTTTGCTTGCTATCATATGTTTTGTACAGTTCAATCTAGTCTACGATGAATATTCCAAATGAAAACTGCTGAGCTTCAGAAAGTGAAATGCCTCTGAGTGTGTGCTGTTAGCTGAGAGTCCCACAAAAAAGGTTTAAATACAACTAAAAGTGTCTTGACGTCTTATTCATTTAATCTTAATCATTTGTCTTTCTCTGCTCTCTCACTCTCTCCCTCCCTCTGTCTCTTTCAGAGCTGTGTGGGATCGATGAAGTCTTGTGTCAGGATGAGAACGCTGTGCTGAGTTTCGAGGCCATTCGTAGCATCCACAAAGACATGGACGATGATGCAGACGGAAGTGTGGATGTGACGGAGACAGATGGGGTGAGGGCTGTGGCATATCAGGGCACCACTGCACGCTGTCCTTTATGAACCCATTGTAGCTCAACAGCTTATAAGCCCTTTCCCAGTGTTTGTTTCACTTACACTAGTGTTCAAAGGTTTGGGATCACTTTTAAGTCAAATGGGAAAGTTGAACATAAAAGTATGAAATGATTTTATTGTGATCTTACTACTCTACAACGTCACAGCTTTTATCTTAAAATGATAAAAAGTTATAGTATTATAAATGATTCCAAACTTTTGAAGACTAGTGTAACTTCACAGTGATCATGTCTGGTGCATTTTTTGCAAGCAGTATATGCCTTAACAGATGTATCTAAAGTACTATTGAAGCACAGTTTATCAGAGGAGTCTCTGTAAAATAATTTGTAGGAACTTTGACTGGTCAATTTGTATGGGATAAAATGCAGAATTTCAGCCTAACTCCCTACAGACAGCCTGTACTGAAACATCATAGCATGGATGACCACATCAGCATTACTCAATAACAATAACAACACAGCACATTGGCTGTATCTACTAGCAGGTTTTGTTATTATTTTTCTGTGGGGTGGATTAGAACAGATGTGTTATTACTGAGGGAGGTCCAGGTTCAGAGAATCACAGAAGCTATTTTACTCCCAAATTAATACTGTCATACTGCTTTCCCAGGTAAAAGAATGTAGCTTGAAAAAGACTTAAGTTATGGCAGTTGACTTGGACAACTACACAGATTTTACATGTGTTGTTCAACTTCGTAAGCATAAAGACACTTATATAAGCCAAAACAGAGGTTCCTGTCCCCTGAGAACTGGCCAGCTGGGGCTTTCTGTGCACTGCATTTTGAGTAAACTCTCTAATCACTAACTGACCACAGTCTGTCCAAGGTTATGGATACTGATCAGTTCAGTTCAAAATCCTAAGCACCAAAATCTCCCCCTCCCCCTAAAGGAATGGTAAAATCAAATTCATTCAACTTCAGTCATTTTGCTTCAAAGTCGGCAACCCATGATGCAGTTTGTGCTCTTCTAGGTCTACGGATAAAGTACTGCACGTAGTCAAGGACTGTGCCAGAAGATGCAGTGCTTTTTTGGTAGTAGTCACGTAAGCACAGCATATTAAGAGCATTTGATCTTCTGCCAAACACTTCATGATGTAAATGCCATACCTTTTCTCTCTACTCAATAATTGAACTGTAATAGTGCGTGATTAGTGGACGAAAGCTTCAGTGTTAAAAGGCGCAAAAGAGGTGGGTGTTGCAAGTTGGTCAGTGAGATATGTTAAGTTTGTATATCTTTTCATTATATTTCCTGTCATGCAGTGCGTTAGTAGTCAATTTTAGAACTGTTTTAACAGCTTCCTGGCTCTTGCCCTTGTTGTTATGAGCTCTTGTGAGTGGGAGTCAGTTAAGCCCACCAGTCCCAGTGGGATTCTTCAGGGACACAGTGTTGGAATATAAAATAACAGATTAGAGAACAGAAAAAGATCTAAACTAAAACCAGAGCTTAATTGTTCAGTGTTCAGTCAGAAAATGCTGAGAGCCATTCAGTGTAACTAGATGATTCGAGTCTTTGTTCTTCGTGCAGTTTCTCAGAGAGGATCTGAAGTACCATGACCCCAAGGCAAAGCACAAGAGTTTCCATGGAGCTGACCTGCTGATCACCGTGGAGGACATGTGGAACACCTGGAGGGCCTCAGAAGGTTACATACACACAGACAACTGGACAAAAAAAAGTTGCAAGACCTCAAGTTGAACACAGCCTCTTTTTAAAAACTAATCTCAAGAAGCCTGTGGAACTTGTCTGTGTACATCCACACAATAGTTTGCACCAGTTCCACAGCAGTTGGTCCAGTGCTTATTAACCTCTGGTATGCATGAATTGACAATGCTGGCTCTGATACAGTGGGTCATGAGTAGACCCGGGATGTTCCATTCTGCTGGGTGGGTGGAACATTAAAACATGTTGACAGATTGTAATCCCTCTGGCCTGTTTAGGAGCACAGAGATTTGCCTTGCTGTTATCAGGCTGGAATCATGGCACAATTTGTGATGTTTTTTCAGTTTCCCTGTGGAATAAGGGTGAATGAAAGTATTTCAGTGTGATGGTGAATGCAGTATGGAGTTTAATGACTTTGAAACATAACGTCTTGAGACCAAAAAGCTCAAAGTGAAACAATAGGCAGGTGTTATGAAGATAATGTAGGAAATAACTTCAGTCTAAATGTTTCTATTAGTGTATAACTGGAGCGTGGGGCAGGTGGAGGAGTGGCTTATTAACTATGTGGAGCTGCCACCATATGTCGACTCCTTCAGGAAGAATGAAATCAGTGGCAAAGCCTTGCCAAGGTAAGACAGAGAACATATACACCTGCACTCACAGAGGCGGATTTAGTAAAAGAGGTGCTTATTACTGACAGCGTACAGACAGTTTATGCTGGTTTGAGAAGCCATTTTAACAGGTGTAACGTATTTAATTAAAATATTAAATTACATGTTTTTTTTTTATACCTGGACTTAGTAAATCAAAATAAATAGTGACATGTCGAAATAGAGACTCGTGTTCTTGAGATTTTGACTTGAAATATTGAGTTATTACTTTTTGAGAGTAATAAGTTAAAAAGTCGTTATTCTGAGAGAATAAGTCATTACTTTTGATACAGAGTCAAAGTATTGATAAGTAATTATTTAAAAACAATAATTCAAAATTTTAAAAGGTCAGACATGGGAGGAAAAACACAGGCAACTTTTTTCACCTGTAACGCCACCAAACATTTGTAGATCAGCTCCATAGACCTTTACATTGTGTTAGTTAAGTTGGGACAGAGAATATCTAAAACTGTGTTGTGAAAACCAGGATTAAGAAACACTCCTCTCACATTAGTCCTCTGGAGGTTTAACTGAAGTGTTATGTTTCCAGCTGAAGTATGGCGTTCAGCCTGGAGAGAATGTTTTTTAAACAGTACAGTGTGTCCTATCACCGTTACTCCTTGCTGCCGTTGCAGGCTGGCCGTGAAGAATGCCACCCTGACACTGTCCGTGCTGAAGATCCTGGACCGCAGTCATGCTCAGAAACTGCAGCTCAAAGCTCTGGACACAGTGCTGTTTGGCCCTCCACAAAGTAAGTGTAACTTGGAGAAAGGAGTCATGATTACTCATAAACAGCTTAGATCAAAGGCATTAAGAGGGAGTTTGTAGTCACTTTGCTGCAGTATCAGCATTTACTCTTTTGGAAAGACTTTAGACTACATCTTGGAACATTGCTGTGAGGATTTGATTGCACTCAGCCACAAGAGCATTAGTGAGGTCAGGTTCTATGTCTGATGATTAGTTCTGGATCAGAAATGTTCCTCATCCCAACTCATCCCAAAGGTCCTGAATGGAGCCTTATCACTCCACTCTTCTTCACTTCATCACTTCCCACAAACTATGTGTTTCAGCAATGGGTGCACCTAAAAGTAGCTGTATTTAGTCATTAGAAGGGGTGCCTAGATACTTTTGGACATTTAATGTATGTAGGAGTATTGAACAATCTCTTCAGCTTAGGAGTTTGCAATTTTTTTGTGAATTACAGTAATTTCTTTCTTCAGATCTTTTCAGGTAGCCTTTAGTAGCCTAAGTGGGAACTATAATGCATAGAGCATTCATGAAGAAGGTCTTGTGGATTGTTTGGGTGAAGGAGAAGTTTGCAGGTTAAGTCAAGCACATCCAAATTCTATTTCTGTGTGCAAAGAAAACACACTCAGTGATGTTTTTACACGTGAGTGAGTATTTTTGGTCTGTGTATGAAAATAGCACAGCGCTGCAGAGGGAGGGAGTGGGGCAGACGAGGGGACGCTTCACTGCCATCATTTGCTTCAATGTGGTGCATCGGCACAGCTGGCTAAACACACTGAGAGAGGGATGAAGGGAGAGAGTAATCAGTGAAAGAGAGAGAGCAAAAGGGCTGGTGATCGGAGGGGATGGGGCCATTCTTTTAGATGAATGAACTGCTGAGACTGTATTGTTGCTTTTATGAGCTGAGGTGCAGTTAACAGCATAAATAAGAAACAGAGTATTGTCCTTGAGTGTAGTGGACTGTCTCTGAATGCACTTTGAAAGTTAAACATCTTGCAGAGCATCAAATGACACCACATTGCATTCTGATTGGTTGAAATGTCTGAAAGGCCTGTGATTTGTTGATGTTTTTGTTAAGGTGGACAACAGGCCCAGACTGAATTGTGCAAATTAACAAGCATCTCAGTTATGTGTGCTATAATGTGTCATCATTAGTGTCTGTCTCTAGAAAGCCTGGGCACAGGGGAGGCTTTAAATTACTTTAAGGGTCACCAACACATTTCCACAAACATTTCAAAAAAGTCGGGATAGTATGTGAAATGCCAATAAAACCAGAAAACAATGATTTCTTGTTTCTTGTGAATTCTGTTTGATCTGTATTGAATTGAAAAACAACAAAAACACAATATTGGTTATTTTACCTCATAAAGTGTCCAAAGAGTTGGGAGAGACGTGCGTTTTCCACTGTGTTAAACCTTCAGTCAACCTTTGTTTGGGGGAAGACATCAAGTTTTGATGAAGTTTTGAAAGCAGAATATTTTACAATGCTTCCTCAGCTGTATAACCATACAACGTCTTTGTTGTCATAATGCACCACACATTTTCAGTGACAGAAAGCTCTGGATCCAGGCACCCGCTATCTCTGATTACGCTGTCATGCTATCGTAACATGCAGAATGTGGCTTCAGTTATCATGTTGAAATATACATGGACATCCCTAAAAATGTCATCTAGAACGCAGCATATATTGTTTCAAAGTGTATTTATATCTTTCAGCGTTACTGGTGCCATCACAGTTTCAGAGGTTAAACCTTTGGATAATGCAAAAAGAATGTTCACTCACAAGCATACCCAAAGAACTGAAGTTTATTTTACCAGTAGCAGCTTATGGGAAAAGGAAACTCAAGGAGCATTGGGGCATGAATGGTATACCCAGTGCATGCCTCATAGACTCAGGGTTTTCAGATCTGATATCATGGGTCATTGTGTGCTCTGGTGCTCTTGTGCAGGACATGGACAGTTCGATTGCAGACGGAAATAGCATGTGCTAATCTGTCCATCTAAACCCCACCCATACACAGCCACAGGAAACCCACAATATACAGATATGGGGAAGACTGCCTTGGCCACCTACTTGCATTATTTCAGATAAATCTGTAATGTTCAAGAGGGCGAAGAAACTTGCAGAAAGGATTGTCACTGCCAATTATATTACGAATAGTGACCATATAATAATAATAGATATTTAACTGAGCAATAACAAACCATGTATAGGCTTTCAAGGATTCCAAAATATTTATGTGGAAAGATTAAACAAGGAAGCCTTTTTTACTGGCTGGTTGAAACTTTTTAAATATACATTATGATCATGTAAATCACTAACTAATCATTGCTTATTATCAAGAAAGGTACTTTTTAATTTATTATTTGTTAATCCAGGTTAATGGAGTAATTGTCACACATCTACTTACTGTATCTAAAATGTAAATGCATTAAAATATGGAATTTATGTGCACTAAATATTTATCAAAATGTGAAAACATTTTTTTGTTTGAGTCATGCCTGTGTTCATTACCACTGTTTTCCTGTAAACAATTCTTATTACTTCTGTTAATGGTAAAATTACCAATATTGTGTTTTCAATCTACCCCCAGCTGACTGCTATTATGCTTGCTCGCTGTTTAATTTGTGATTCAACAGGGTCAAGTCAAGGACCATCAGTTTCTCAGATCCAGCTCTTTGAAATAAAGGCATGTAAATGCTTGGTTTATTGAGACACAACCTGACATTCAAGTTCTTACTATATTTGAGTCAAGTGTCATTGAGATTTACAAGGCTAGTCCATGGCAACAACCCATGGCAAAAGTGAATTCCTTCTTAATTCCGTGTAGAGAGGCCTGTCAGGGTCAGTTATGTAATGTGTGTTTAAATAATTGCACCTCGTTCATCAGTGCAGGTGCAAGTTTGTTTTGCTATAGGAATTACATCTGTCAGAGAATATGTATTATCCAGTGGAATTTAGTTGACATCACTGGACTGTACGTTCATAGCAAAGATGTTAAGACAATAAATTAATTAAACTAATCTGCTACTCCTGCCTTTCTTTAACAGTGAGCAGGCACAGTCACTTGAAAGACTTTGTGCTGGTGCTGTCCATTGTAATTGGTGTGGCCGGGTGCTGGTTTGCCTACATCCAGAACCGCAACTCAAAAGACCACATGAGCAAGATGATAAAGGACCTTGACGGCCTGCAGAGAGCGGAGCACAGCCTGCTTGAACTGCAGCAGAAGTGAGTGTCTCTCCAGGTCTGATCTGTTCACTGTTTTGTGATTCTGGCAAAGTAAGAATTATGGATGGGATGATAAGCAACTTTGAAATATTGATAAATTGGGACAAAATTATTCAATAAATATACATCTTTTTCTTTATTTAAAACCAGAGGTAAATTACAGATGCATATTGTCAAGTTTTGAAAACGCACACATTAACACTAATGCTGTCTTGCACATCAGAGCTCATGGTTGCTCCTGTAGTTTCTTATTTTAATGCCCTAAGCTTTGAGGTGCCAGCCCTAGTAAGAGCTGTAGCATTGTTTACAGCTGGGGCTTTGGGGCCCTATCTAGTGGCAGTATGTACTTGCAAGCACTCAGAACAATATTTTGTTAATATTAGTTGTGCTGTCCTCACATGAGCTGACTAAACATGTTCAGCAAGCAACTGACAGCAGTAAGTAGCATTAAGACTGGCCAAAGAACTCTTGTTGGTATAGCTGTGGTGTTGTTATCTGAACAGAGAATCAAACCTTTGATTTTCTATGTGCAGGAAGACGGCATTTTCCACTACACTATCACTACTGTGTCATTGATACCAGCTCTTTGAGCTGCGTCCCTGCTACTTGGTCTTTTGAGCCTGATGTCTGAACTACATCCAGCAAATCTAACCCAGCAACTCTTTTAAATTAATATTTTAGGCTTTACTGTGTGACTTGCAGCACTGAATGACCACCATGTTTAAGTGTATGTTTTTGTATTTTTTTCTCTACAGACTAATTAAGCTACTTCTTTCAAATTTAACAAAATTCAAACATAATTCATAACACTTTTTTTCAGTATCGTGATATATCTCTGAGTCAAACAGTATCAGGGAAGGTCTCTGAGCTAGCTCAGTGTTTTCGCTCAATGATGGATGAGGGTTCAGGGAGACTTTTCTACTGAGTGTGCTGTTGACCCTGCCCTAATTGGATGATTGGCAGGTGGAAGTCTGTGAAAATGGAAATGAAATTAGGTTGTATACATTTTCAAAATCATTTTACCACAGAATGAGTGAAGTAGGCGAGAATATGTAATTCCAAATAGGAGAGGCGCTGTTTCTCTTTTTACATTTAAATTTTTGACATCTTTCTAGCTTGCTGTACTCTTTAATAACGCAGTTTCAGTTGCGTTATTAGACAGTGTAAATACATGTAAGATACATTACGTGTTAATCATCACGTTATCACCCTTATTGCATAATCACATGTAGTATTACCATGCAGTTCTGGAAATACATTAAAATACAGTAAATTTAAATAAAGCTACTTATAAAGCATCTAAATCCTTGTGTAAATAAAATGTCAGTACTGGTGTTCAAATTTGCAATTGCAGTATTAAATTTTCATTTTCATTTTGAGCCCAACATTGCATCTATGAGTGGAAAATTTAAATTCAGATATACAAAGCATTGCCATTTTGCATATCACATTTTCATTAATGCACCGTGACGTATCAAAACTCAAAAGTCGTTTTAGAGGCGTGCACAAGTTATTACATTAAAATTAAAAATTATGGTAAAACAAGAAACTTGTCTTTTAAATGTTAAATGCTTAACGCTTGTGTGGTGTTTCAATGTTTTCCAAAATAAAAAATGATGCGATTTATTATCATTTCAACCTCAGATTCCTTGGCCTTTGCTCATTTTCTGTGAAGAACATGTAAAATAACACATTTTCAGTGACTTCACACTGTTCACCCCCTACACATTTATATTACACATGGTGTTGGGGTGAACCTGCAGAGAATAAAAGTGTGGAGGTGCTGTGTCCCTTCACTCTGTTCTCCTCCTACATGGCCTGCTGTTTGTGTGTTTGTGCCTGTGTGTGTATGTGTTTGTAAATGTGTGTGTGTGTGTGTGTGAGGGTGGACAACATAGACAGGCTGCTGACTGGCTACAGCTGCTAAAGGAGAATCCTATGCTGGCCACTTGTAATATTTTAAACATCTGGTATTTTTACATAAATTGTTATGGTTGTGATATAAAAAACAATAATCCACCAGACCCACTGAGTAATAAAAACATGAACACCACACAAGGGTTAATATGACCAGGAATAAGAACTAGCAAGGTAAAAAAAGATATTTTTTTATGTTGACTTCAACAAAAAAATCTTACATAGTGCAGCTTTAAAGCCATTAGTATTTATTTTTTTGTCTCAATGAATTTCTGAACATATACAATTAATCTTTCCATGACGTTAATCTAATAGTGTGTGTGAGTAATATACAGGTGGGTTTGTCCTGTGTGTTTGCCCTGTGAGGAATTTGTGGTGTAGACCGTGTCCTTCATTACCTCTGCCTATCATACCCTGTGACGCTTTTAGAATGCGTCATAAGCGCACCCCTCTGATGCAGTGAAATGTCGTGTCATTACTGCCTGCCCTCTGCTGCCTGCCCTCCGCTGCCTCTACACACCTGCCAAAAACTTTGGAACACATAAAGAAAATCCAGATTACACTCTGCCACAACCCCGGGAATAAGTAGAATGCTATTGAGTATTTCTGGCATACACACACACACACACACACACACACACACACACTCTCATACACTATATCATATGTACAGCTGAATTCCTTTGGGGGCAATTGGTTGTGTGTGTCCAGCTGTTTCTAATATGATTAAACACTAAAGGTCCTGCGTGCTTCACTCCAACCACAACTGTACCCTTTAGCCCAAATTGATGTCAGAGAAGTGTAAAATGTATTACAGTGCAGGCAAAGTGACAGAGATGGTAAAAACTCAAAGATGCACTCCTTTTCCTGTAGAAGTCTTTTTTATTTCCTTTCAGTCACACTAAGTCCACCAGTGCTGATAGAGGCAGCGGATTCTGGCTGGGCGATGTAAGCCTGCTTCAAAAGTCCTTAAATGGCAAAAAGGACGGACAACTCTCCAGTGAATCCACTCTGTTTGTTTCAGACAATCGCACAGTCTTCAGACTGTTTTACTGCTCGTTGTGTCCAGCTGGAGATTTTAGCAGTGCCGTAGCGCAAAGCCGGGCTAAGCCTTTTATCACAGGTCACAGGTCCTTCAAAATCTATGATGCCTTTTTTCTCAGAAGTGCTCTAATTTAAACCCCTGTCCTTATAGGGTACGTAGCTCTTTTCCACTGCAGCAGATACTGTACAATCTCAGTTCCGTTTGTAGGCCTCATTTTTCCTGTCAGCCATTTTGTTTTATGTTAGCTGAAGCTCAGTATAATCCTACGACTGCTGAGCAGAAAATAAGGAAAAATAAAGCACTGACACAGCTGGAGTGGTCACTTTCAGTTACATTAGTAATCAACCAACCACTATTTAAACAGGCCAGACATAATAATGGACTTAAAAGTGTACAGTAGCAAACTATGTATAGCTTTTTCAGACTTTTTCATTAGATAGTGTTGTATGATTTGAGGTTAGAAATACTGTATAATTTGAGGTTATTTTTTAATATATAAAAACCCCATGTTGCAAAAAATGCATATAAATGAATGTTACTGTAATTGTAAATTGTATTTGATGATTTAAAGAAAAAAGTCACAAAAGTGAGCTTAATCTACTAATTGTGACACTTCTAGACAAAACATAAACCATAAAATATGCACATCTATATGTTCTCTCTGAGCAGTGCCCAATAGTTAGCAATACGTTAATGAAAGGCACTTAATCGCTAGTTCCAGTGAACTAGTTGGGCACTTGTGTGGCATGTCTCTCTCTGTCCTTCACAGTAAGTCCTGTTTGGAACAGAGTGCTGGCCACTCATTCACACCCTGACCTTCACCCAGTCAAACTGCTACAAGCAAGATTTTGTGGTTTGAATGTGAATGTGCTCAGTCCCTTACACTCTTTTTGGTGTTTGTTCTTCTTTCCCTTTCCCCCTCTCTTTTTCTCTCTCTGTCCCTCTGAGTGTAATGCTTGGCCTAGTCTACTGCCATATCAGTGTCAGTTTGATTTATACCTCACTTCCTGTTCTCTCTATGACTGCATCAGTGCTGTGTGAGATGGCTGCCATAGAACAGCTCTCACGCTTTTTTTATTTGCTTTTTTTTTAGTTTTGGTCACTTCTAGCCCCATTCTGTTTCATGTGTGGGTAAAATGGGTTGACAGCAAAGCTGTTCACATACTTGAAGTTTCACGGATGTTCATCCCAGTGTCAATTAGTTTGAAGGCTATTAATGGCTCACTTGAAAACAGGAGTGACGAAACAGCTATTTTTGAGAAAGCCACCAGTCGGATGTGGCTACACTCAGCCTTCCGTATCCAGGCTCTAGCTTGTTTGAGTGGTAGGAGTTAAACTGCAACAGGAGTTGCTGCAGGGAACAAGTCACCTCTTGTTTAGACAAAGCTCATCTGCTCTCTTTCACATCCTAACCATGAAGTGAGAAGAGGAAAGATTGTGGAGTATGTTTACTATATATCTTGCAGCACTCATAATGCAAAAACTGACAAGTATTTGCTGTCTTTGCTGCAGCTTTCCCCAACGCTCCCCCCTGCTGGTAGACTTAAGAACTGCAGCCAGTCTCTGTTTTGCACAGCCGTTTACCATAAAGCCTGTCATAAAATAAATGTGCTGAGCATACTGAGCGTAATGAAAATGTTCTGTATATTTTGAAAGGCCTTATCAGCTTACTCTGTTTCCTGTTTCATTACACATTGTTTTCATTCAAGAATCAGTTCTGTGATATGTTGATGCTGTTCAGTATGCTCCTTTGAAAAGCCTCTAAGATAATGGTGGTTAGCACATGATTATATAAATGATTTGTAGAGATATAATACAGCTTTTAGCAGCAGTTCTTTGGAGATGCACCAAGTTGCATCACAGAACAGGCTTTTTCCCAGCTTATTCACTTAAAGGGTCCATAGTCTAGCCCAGATTCTTCCTGCATTTCATTTTCCCCCTGAGCGCCGCTTATGATATTTGCTTGGTTTTAAGTACCAAAAATGCCAATTCAGTTTTACATGAGCATTTCACAATCTCTGTTTATGTCTCAGAATTAAACAGTCTGTTTCTGTTACTGTTCTTTTAACTTTAAGACTGATATTGTGCCTCATTCCAACAGCAGTTAGGCTGAAACACTTCCTATAAGCTTGATGTGAATGGGCAGAGCTAAGCTGCACTAAGCTGAATAGGCACATATATGTGAATATTTCTTTTGTGTCATCACAAAAAAAAAAAAACAAATTGAAAATGGGTCATTTTTGCAGCTTAGTTTCCATATATGGACTGGAGAGTGTGTGATACATTTAGAAACTTTAGTAATGTTTACATACTACATCAAGTTTATTATTTCAAAAAGTGAGGAAAATGTGGTTGTTCATGATATGAGCGCTTTAAAGGAATTGTTGGCCCAAACATAGTCCATCAGCCTGACGTTATAAGTTTACTTTCTCGTTTTACCCTGGAGCAAATATGGTAATATAGATAACAAGCAATAAACATTTACAGTTGTTAGTGTAGCCCTGTTAAAATGCTTGTTGATTTTGACAGAAAAAGAGCACAGTTAACCGCAGCATGTGTCTGTGTGTGTGTGCAGGCTGCAGATAGCGCAGGATGAGCACCGCTCAGTAGAAGTGGAGAAGGTAAATCTGGAGCAGAAGCTGAGAGATGAGATCGATGCGGCTAAGCAGGAGGCTCAGAGACTGCGAGAGTTGCGTGAGGGCACAGAGAACGAGCTGAGCCGCCAGAAATACGCTGAAGAGGAGCTGGAGCAGGTAACTCACATACTTAGTTTTTACACTGGGTCAGAACATGAGGCCATACATATGCTCCCTATGAATTACAGTCTTATGCAAAAGTATGGGCGCCCCCACTCAAATGACATGTATCCTACTCAGTCTGAATGTCCAGTAGACTGGTCATTTTTTCCCCAGGGATTCTAGCTCTATTGAAGTAGCTTTGTCACCACACTCACTTTGTCACCACACTCACTTATGTTTTATGTTTTCTTTTTTAATCTTGTCATAAACTAAAAAAAAATTGGCAGCTGGTAAGATAGATGTTCACTGCCTCTGAGACCAAATATAAGACATTCTGAACGTCCTGGATATTATTTCAGAACTGTTTTTGTATGTATGTCCTTCTAGAAGGTTCTGGGTGTGAAGGGGTAAAAAATAAAAAAGTAGATATTTATTCTACATATTCTACACAAATTTTGCAGTAAATTTTAATGTCTAGTAATCTGGATGTTTGGATTCAGTGGAGTAAATTAGGCTTTGATTAGTATAACAGATTCATGCATCACAAAACACAATCTTCAAAATCATGATTTTTGTTTATTTTGTTAAAAGCAAAATCTTGTGTATTTAGGAGTTACAGTAGATGATGTTCTTTGAATTTTGGGGTTATATAATATGTTTTTTTGGGGGGATTTCAATGGATTTCATTGTCCAGTGTACTAGATGTTGGAATCAGGCTCATGAAATTTGCAAGATTTTGAAACCTATTTATTATCAGGATCCAAACATAAAAAAGAAAGAAACATTATTTCTGTCCACGACGCTGGACTAGCGATGTGTAATATTACATATAAAACTATGCAATTTATAATACAGCTTATGTAATGTTTTTTAAGCTTTTTAAAGCTTTGATCTTGATTGTTTCAACAATTCATTTATTTTAGATATATAAACGCTTAAAACTAATATGAAAATTATTTATTTTAGAAGCTATTCATGCAGGAGTCCAGGTAGTTCCAAACGTTCAAGAGTGTTTTCTTGTAACTGTGCATACAGTAAACACATGAAAAGTTCAGTGCTTGCTTTGTGTCCCATGTTGGTAATAATAAATATGTTTGTATTTATATATATTTATTTATATTTTAAAAACTCTCACATTTCATGCACTGAACTCCAAATTCTGGACACTGAATGTTATATGTTTCCCAATGAACAAAAAAAAAAAATTTGAAATTATTCTTATCAAATATTATGTTATTTAGTGTGTACCAAAGAACATGTTTCATAACAAAACATTGTTATTGTTAAAGTTCCCCATCTCAGGACTGAGGAGGTTATTGTTGAAACACACAACTGCACATTTTAATGCACAATTACTACAAGAACTGTGCACTAAAATTTGAAGACAAATTGCACATTTGTGCTTGTTTTCTGTAGAGGATTTGCTAACTTATTTTCAGTCAGAAAAAAATAACAGAACATGTACTTTGACCGAGGGTGTGCAAACTGCATACTACTGCGTGTATATAATTTATAGCTGTGTATATTACATATTGTCTCTGTCAGAACAAAATCTCGCCTGTAAATAGTGGAATGTTTACAGCAGAAGGAAAAAGCATTCTTAACTTTTAATTTACATCATTTATTAAGATTTTTTTTCAAGTTATTTTCTATTGGTCCATTCATCATAAAATGTTCAGACAATGTAAAGAGGAACTTTAACAAAACTGGAGATACATTCTTATTACATACCTTCTGTATGTAATAAGAACGTTCTAAACCAACCCTAATCTTTACCTCGGTTACAAAAAGAAAACATTTTGACCTTCCTGTTAAAAATAAACATGTAGCTTTTGTAAAAAGCACTTTGCAACATCAAGAGTCATTTTATTTGTCCTGACAGGTTAGCCCTGTTAATCTCTGGATTTTTTACAAAATCAGTACATGCAGGAAATATATGCAAACAAACATGCACACAAACATTGCAAAACACATGTGTTATGAACTAGTGCAGTCACTTCTGAATTTTATTCTGGTCCTCAGTCTGTGTGTGTGTGTCGTAGGTACGCATGGCTCTGAAGAAGGCAGAGAAAGAGCTGGAGTCGAGGAGGTCCTGGTCTCCTCCTGAGCCTTTACAAAAGTGGCTGCAGCTCACACACGAAGTGGAGGTGCAGTACTACAATATAAAGAAGCAGAACGCTGAGAGACAGCTCTTGGTGGCTAAAGAAGGGGTGAGACCATCGCACATACTTAACTGTGTTCACACACACTCTTCATTTTTCCACACAGAGGAGAAGATTGTTTCACCTGCATTTATAAATTTGATAACACATGGTTTATTTGTGATGGCAGGCAGAGAAGATTAAGAAGAAGAGAGGCACACTCTTCGGAACATTCCATGTGGCTCACAGCTCCTCACTGGATGATGTTGATCACAAAATTTTGTCAGCCAAGTGAGTGTATGATGAGAGCAGAAATAAACCACACGAAAGTAAACACTCAAATGCTTCAAGCTGCTCAAAACTGTTTTCATGTGGACGAGTCCTAAAATTGCATGTCACCTGAAAATACATAATAATTGGTAGAGATGCACCGACATTTCAGCCACCGAAGCATTTCTTCTGTAAATGGTCAGAAGTGGCCTTTTCGGTGTTCAGCCTGAAGTAAAAGGTCTGAAAATGTTGTCTGGAAAAAAATAAATAAATAGGACTGCTGTAATAAGTCAAAGTCTAAAACTTAACAAATCATTTGAAAGATCTGATAATGAAAAAAGTAACTGTTTAAAAATGCTGTGTGTTTGCTTCACTCTCCTGATTGCGATGTCCAAAGACTGGCAACTAAACATTCTTGTCTTCTTTCAGCAGTCCATGGTTGTTTGGTAACAATAACGTACTCTAAAAGTGAGGTACACTTACTGGCACCAACACAGTGTGTTGATCCACACCAGCGCTCCATGACTACAAGCACTGTTCGATTTCACAGCACACCACACAACATTTTGGCATTACTACATTAAATTAAAGCCATACTGAGACCACAGAAAGCCTTAGTGTATCATGTGGCTTAAAATTTACACAAAGAAAGGCAGCCGGTCTTTCAGGCAAACAGACAAATGCTAATAGTAAGATAGCTCAGCTAATGTTACTATTCAAGCCTTTTTCAGCTCATATCTTTAAGCTCAAAAACAGCCAGTCTGTGAAGAGGTAGTAAATGGATGCCAAGCGTGATAAGTGATGCTGAACCCTTTTTTAAATTTAATTTATATGAGTAGAGTGGTAAAATGAACCTGAACCTGGTGTTTTTGCACTCTCCCTGCTGGCATTCTGTAGTAGGACTTTGCTACGTGACATGGCGCTGCGCTGTGCAACGTCTGGTGTCCGGGTCCGATGGCCTGAAAGGAACTATATCTAATGCCGGAAAAACTGTTTATCTCAATCATTTTTAATAGTAACTTAAAGTAACTGGAAAATTCTATCATACGTTATTTGTTGTAGCTGTTTTGTAAAAGAAATAAGCCATTTGAGGCCATGCATTACAGTGATTTTATCACAGGTAAGGGGGTTTTTACTCCTTACCTCTGATAAAATCACTGTAATGCTAAGCCTTTTGTGGCTTATTGCCTTATTTACTGGTATTAACCCAGTTTCCATCTTGTTTTCTTTCTGTCTCCCACACAGACAGGCTCTGGGTGAGGTGACAGCAGCTCTGAGAGAGAAGCTCTATCGCTGGCAGCAGATTGAGTATTTCACAGGTTTGGCCCTCGTGAATAACCCAGGCCTGTCCTCTCTGGCCTCTGCACTCAACCTGGACCCTGCCTTCTTGGGCATCCGCCCTCCCACCCCACAGAACCTGCTGCTGTCCGATGATTTGGATGACATGGACGAGGACATACTGTCTCCTGGAACCCTGCGCTGTGAGTTTTCCATACACTTACCCTTATACCATTTTTTGAAAGAATAATTTAGCTAAGAAACACATTTACACAAATTTCCTCTTACTTCAAATATAGTCACTAAGCCAAGACATGCTTGGTGTCTGAAGTTTGCTTCTTAAATTTTTGCAATGAAGGTATGAGGCTAATGCAGCTAATATGTAATGGAAGCTTATACCTCACCACCTAACATTATGCAGACTGCATGCCTTAATCATCACATACTTGGTTTCAGTTGGTAAGTAATCTCAAAGCAGACTTGCTTATTAGGGATTCAGTCACAGTGAGTGATTGGGTGGTTACCTCACCATTGATTTTTCCAAATACCAATGAAAATCTCTGTCTGCATGTTAGTTTCCTTAAACCAGCCTATTTTAGCTGTGACTCTCTCAGTGCAGACTAACCCTGAAACACACTATAGCACTATTTCTTCATGTTTCAGCACTTAAAGAGGATATGTAAACTTCATTGTTAGTCAGTAATGTCACACACAGCGTTTTACCAAACACATGACAAAACATAGCATTATCGTTCATAACTACATCAAACAACAACTTTGCAGACATCCAAGCACTCTTTCCCAACTCAGCTTCGCAATGTCTACTTTCAGGCACTTTGTTTAAGCTAATAATGACAATGGAATATCACTTAACTGGGAGTTTTTTGTAAAGGTCATTCTAAATTATATATTATAAAATTCCCCAACATTAGCCTAATGAGAACAACTGCCTTAAACAGCACGGTGGCCCACAGATATCTCAGAAAAACATTAATTAAATTAGGCTGCTGTTTATAGCAACAGTTTCAATGTGGCAAGGGATTAAATCTTTCCTTTTTTTATTGAATATTGACATATTGAATGTATTAAAAACATTCAGTTTAGAGAGCAAAGAAATTGTTAAAAATTAACGTTGAAGGATAATGCTCAAATATATTGAGTTAAATCCCTGTGTGAGTTATAATGATTTTTCATTTAATTTTAACCACCTGCTTAATAGCCTGATACTGTGATATGTTTGAATAGGTTATCTTACCCTGAAAATGTCAAACAATAACACCCCTTTTTCCAAAGAAGAGTAAGTCGCATAGCTACAAAAAGTAGAAACAGGCATCTGGAAGCATAAATTTTGTCAGTACTCTTATCCATTCTTATAAATAACATTGTGGCATACTTTGTCATAAACCACATAAGCAAATCTGTTTGAGATTACTTAACATCTTGATGTGGTTTCTGGCAAGTGTGTGATGATCTCAAACATGTGTTGACAAATCTGGGGTAAGAGGAACTTTGTGTAAATTTGATTTTTGCTGAACACATTCCTTTTACTTTGCATTTTTCTGCTCAGTGTGTAGCACTGGATAGTTATACTGAATCCTAACTTTCTGCTTTCCTTTGAATGACTGATACTAGTTGGTCTAGGTCTACAGTTTCAGGGAAATTTGGTCTTTATAAAGCTATATTTTTACTGACTGATGTCTGCAGATGCCGCCTGGCAGATGGACCGGCGGGTGAGCGACCTTTGGCCTGTGGCCTCTGAGAGCCAGTCCCTGTGGAAGCATTCTGGTTGGCATCGCCCTCCTTATTTTCTAAACGGCTTCCTCTGTATCCCTTCTACTGTCCTTTTATTGACTTTATTTTCTGTCTGCCTCTGTGGAAATTGCGCTACTAACCCGTAAGCAGGCAGCAGGATACTGGAGTTTCCTTTTTGGAATAATGAAAAGTAAAATATAAAATGTACCATAACTTTTACACAGGCCACATTTTCTGCTTTTTTCCTTGATATGTTAAATTGAGCACATCAACAGTAACTGTACATTAAAATGTGCAGAAGTGTGTTCTCTGTGGAGGATGTGTACATATTTTTACTCAGAAAATACACAAAACATAATTTGGCAGGGGTCGCCTAAACTTTTGTGTACGACTGTAATTACATACCAAAGCTACCTGTCTACCTAAATATAAATAAATACCCAAAGCGTTCTTTCCATACGGGACCTTTCCACGTCCACTCAGGTCCACTGAGTATTAGCATAAAACATAGATATTCTTGCTCATGACTTCTGGAATGATGACTCCATGTGCCATGAATGTGAATCAGTTGTGTAACAACATGTTGAGAGAGTTGTAGGATGTGTTGCAGCGCTGTGCAGGTAGTCTAACATGGCCCAGTCTTCATTCCAAGTAAAACAAGATGGTGATCCTAGGCCTGCACTCAAAGACAACTCACAATAACACCCACAAAATCAAAAGATCCTTATTTTTTCATCAAATTCACTCAAAGACTAATCAAAACCTTTTGTTCTTTTAAGCTGCCACTAGTGCAGCTGAATCTGATCCACTAATTCATCAGATGCCTTAATGCATATTCCAACTTTTTATGCAGTCAGAACACTAACTTTTTCTTCTTTCCATGGCAACTAACCCATAACTAGAGCGGCAACAGTTCCCTGTGGATAGTGGGACTCTCTGTAAGGCAAAATGCAAAAATCCACTCTCAGTGTTTATCTTTGCTTATCTGTGCACCTTTTACATCCTCTGAATTCTGTAATTGATCATGTTGAGTGTTCCAGTGTTGTGCTGTGGTGTTGCTGCTTGATTATAATGTCTTCCTCTATCATATAGTTCGTGGCACTTCCTGTTCATCATCAGCCTTCCCGTAACGTTTCTGTTTTCACTCACAAACCGCAGTGTGGTTCACCGTCATTGTCAGTTCTGTGCTCCTTTCGGCTGTGTTTCCAGCAGTAATATTTCTATCTTTTACTGGGAGGCTGGTCAAAGCTGACTTACAGCAAAGTTGTAATGTACTAAGAGATCTTTCACTGTGGGTAAGACTAGGTTATCATACCCCTCCATAACAGTTTGGCTCAGAATTTAAAAGGCTAAAATTCTGATTAAAATTAAAGTAAAAAAATATCAGCTATTATAATATCATGTTTGCAAAACTTAAATAGTACTGTATTGCATTATAAGACTGTCAGGTGTCAAATTAAGTTCTCAATTAATAATGTATTAATATCAAATATCAGAATTAATATCTAATATCAAACAGCAGAAACATCTTAAAGAACACAAACTCTCACATGTGGAACTGTAAAGTACTTTCCGTTCTAAAAAGCACCTCACAAATTAGTCCCGTGGGGCCAAGCTTGATCTCGACCAGAATGTTTAAGGACAACAGTGAAGAATATCGGGCTAAGTGTGGGTGGGAATGTAGATTTATTAGGTTGGAAACAAACTGAGTGTGAAATTTTTACAACCAGTTGAGTGCCTCTTGAAGACAGAGCTCAAAGGAGGTAGTGATGGTGCGCTTGTCAACACTGCCTGACAGACAACAAGCTTGTCATTAGCCTATGGATATAACGCAGTTAGCATGGCTGAAAAGTGCCCCCAAAAGTCTCCAAATAAGTATATAGATGTGTGTTGTGTTACATGAAGTGAAAATAAGCATTACTTTTTGAAAAAGAAAAACAGTTCCATTATTTAACTGTAGTGGTTTGTTAGCAGCAGTGTTTTCCTTGCGTTATCAAGTGTACTCTGAATGTTAAAAGAGCACAGACTGGAGGAATTTGGGGGCGGATGTTTGAGAGGCTGTTTCCTTGTTAGCAGTGGATCCAGTTGCAACCCAGTACCAAAAGTTTTAACGAAGTTGTGTGTTCTTGAAGATCACGCTTAGCCCTGCAAGACTATTCACAAGTGAACTGTGTTATACACACACAAAAAAATCACTTTCTGTCCTTAACTTCTTTGGTATAATTCTTCCATTCCTAGTGATTTATTATCAGGATTACTATCAATGCTGATAAATGTGGAACCTCAATCAGCCGATTTGCTGAACGGTATATCGATAGAGCTCTACAGAATAGTCCCTCGGTAACTTCTTGTCTCTGTGTGTTGTTTTCTACAGCTCCCAATCTGGTGTCCCTGCGGCCGCGGCTCGGAGACCCCGCGCAGACCCTCAGCTCTCAGAGGTGGGTAGAGGGGGATCAGGCTGAGGCAGGACCCCAGTGTGCCCCTCAGCCCCCCACCCGCCCATATGCACGACAGGCTCGCAGTCATTCCATAGGCCACCTGGAGTTCCGGCCCATGCCCTCTCTCTCCTCTTCTCTCTCTCACCCCTCTATCATCTGCACTGCCGCTCCTTCTCTCCTACAGTCACTCTCTTCTTCCTCCGGCTCTCGTTTCGCTGGCCTGCTCTACCGCTCCTCCTACTGCCACTCTGTGGAGACAGTGTCCGGCCTGCCCCCTGCTGGGTTTAGTGCTGCACACCCACGCCAGAGAGCCGGAAGCATTGGGTACCTCACATTCTCCTGCTGTGAGGGTGGAGCTAACCGCGTGTGCTGATTAACACCTTAAGATAATGAGAATTGTCAAAAACATTTTTTCATTATTGATGATAAGCGTTTGATTATTAATAAAATGATCATGCTGTTCTGTTCTTCAGTCCAGAGCAGCAAAGGCATGAACTTCGAACAGTTGACCTATGCATGTTCTGCAAATGCAAAAATCCCATTTAACCTAATGAGATATTGTAGCACCCATGTTTTCTGTCAAAGTATATAATTTAAGTGTTATTAATTTCTAATTACACTTATTTTGTGTGCATATGAAATGTCATGCTGTTAGGATAGATCAGAAGTAGTATGTGTTTGTTATTTTCATGCTGAGCTACACGTAGCTTATGCAATATGGTAAAATAGCTCAAGGCAACATATTGTCATGCTTGTATTTCTTTTCCACCCAAATGTGTGCCTTTTACTCGCTGGACAGTGAGAGAAAGGAGGTCTCCCTGTTCACTTTCAACAGCACAAACCAGTTTGGCAGTTAAGTGTTAGCTGGCTAGCTATTTTCATGTTGAAATTATGGATAGCCTGAGTCAAGACACTACTCAGATTTAAAATTGAGCGTTAGGAAATGCATATCAGTAATTTATTATCTGTAGCGTGCTGTGTAAAAGTACATGTAATCAGATTTTTGGCTGTGTTGTCCAGCCCTACCTAAGTTGATTCTACGTGTTGCTGAGCTTAGCAGCATATATGTTAACACCATCAAGAATGTTTAAACTTACTGCTTTTACAACTGCTTTTTCATATGAATGTGCTTTTCTACATTCCGAGCTTAATTCACTCATGCTTTTTCTAACGTTTCAGATTGCGACTTTTCTCAAACTTTGCTTGCTTGCCTTCCGCCAATACTAATCCAGGGCTTGATTTCCTTGCCCAGTTTGTTTCAGCCCTGTGGGGTTTTGCAGTTTGCCTGAGCTTTCAATCGCTTTATCCCTGTATTGTCCATGCTGGACCTCCCAAATGAGCAGAAACTACTTAAAGATTTACATGAGTAAAATAAATCTTTTTTGTGTCTGTTATGACCTTTCTGACTTTTGATTTGTTTTTATCCTTTTAAGACATTTGAGCTCTTGCTACAGAAACTGCTGAATGTATGTAGAACATACAATACACACTAAGCTCTCTTGCTTTTTTCCCTTTCACCAGGGATCTAAACCGGTCTGACTCCGACTCCTCACTGTCTCAGTCTCAGTATGGTGAGGGTCAGCGTTCGTCCACTCCGCTGGGCACCAGGCCCATGTTCTCCAAACCTAATGGAGCTGGAGGCAGCTTAGGGGACAGCCCGCTGCTCCAGAAGAAACTGTTTAGCATGGAGAAGTGTGCCAGCCTGGGAGAGATTCACATCCAGTCCAGTGGCCTGACCTCGGCCGAGTCCACCCGCTCTCTCAGCCCCACCACCAATGATGTAGATAGGCCAAAGAGCAGTGGCCGCTCTCCACAGCTAACGGGCAAGAGGAGCCCAGGGGACGAGGACAGTGGCTCAACAGGAGAGGACACAGAGGCCTCCAGCTCCAGCCGCAAGAAACACACCTTCCCCAGGATCTTCAACAAGCAGAAGCAGAAGAAATAGCAGTGACGGGCCTAACTCAAACCTAAAAAAGTGCTTTTAAAAGTTTCACCAAAATATAGGAGTAGAAACTATAACACACAAAGTGTACAGTCACATTTAAAAGGACTACATCCTTTAAAAGACACCAGTACTGTCTGTATAGGTCTAAGGGAGCATCTACTGTGTGATTTTCAAAATATATGTTTTGTATTTTGGTTTATTGAGTGCTTGTTGGCTGATGGAACATATTAGTGCTGTGAAGAAATGTGTGATTTTTTAAGGTAAAATTATTTATTCTGCAGATTAGGGACCCCCCCCCCATTTTTAGCCATTTAAAGCTTTGTTTATATTTTAATACAGGCTTTGTGTGCTTTCCGTCTACAGGCCTGGACACACTGAGGAGATGTGACAAAACTATTATCATGAATTAAAATATCATAACAGCACCCAGTTAATCTTAGGGTGCACTGTAACCTGTAAAGACAAACTTCAGTAATCTGTTTTGTTCCGATTATCTTGCTCACTGTCATACCAGACCTGCACGGGTACGAGACTCAGAAAGATGGAAATGTTTATCTATTTTTATTAAATGCATGAACACAAAAGCCCCACAACGTCTTGTCCAGTATGTGCACACAACCAGTTTTTTTATCAACACCTAAGCCAAATCATTGTCTGTATGTTGAATTGACCATGTTCATACCTGTATACAGCCTTTTATTGCCATGTTTTATATGTGATGTTGCATACTTGCCCATATCTGACTGCTTACATTCAGACTCAGCACTGACAGGTCAGTGAAGAGTTTATTTATTTATTTTTTTAAGCCTTTAGCATTATTTAGTTAGGGCTATAACCAAAATACTGGCAGATACACCAGACCCATCCTACACGTATTTTGACTTATTAGTGGCATCACTGGACTTGCAAATGCTTTTTCGTGTACATGTGGATTTACTGCAATGCATGTGTCTAAAGATTTTTGCTCTGGACTTTAAATAAATGTATTTAATTGATTTAAAGCTATATTTATTTCACTCATAGACAGATTTCAATATATTTCTTTTTTATTTGATACATAAAAGTTTGAGGTATTGCTAATACATTCACCCCACCCACCCAGTCATTCATGTACTTCCGCCCCTGTACTCAGGCTAGCTTGAGCAAGTTGAGCCTTGCTTACTCCGCCTATTTTTTTTTTCACCGCACACTAATGAAGTCTTGACTGCCTTACAGCCTGAAACTTTTCTTTTTCTGCTTAAACTCAAATTTTGTATAGTTTCATGATCATCATTTCTTCTCAAACTGCAGGATTTTAAGTCCCTGCTTTCCAACACTAAAACTGTCCTGATCGAGGCTTTATGACTGTTCCATTCACTGAGATTATGCTTGAGTAAAGGAATCTGTGTATAAATACCAGTGGAAATGTTTTAACCTGCCCTCTGCACCCACTTCAGCAGCACATTTACTGCTGGTCTAAAGGTTTGTTTGCATCAGGACTGATGATGTAACCAAAAGGCAACACACTATCTGGGCATGCTCATCTGAGTTTAGAGAGGAGATGTAAATCCAGAGAGCTTTTCAGCGTCAGACTCTTCAGCAATCTACCAGCAAAGCCAAGTTTAGAGATGTTACCATGGAGCTTGGAGTAAACCTACAGTATGTCTCCTGCTCCCCTGAATAGCTAATCTATCTCATCCAGAGAGGATATACAATCATTGTCTCATCTCACAGTAAACCCTACCTGCCTCACTGGAAGGTTCTCTTAAGATTGCTGGTGCCATTTATAACTACAGAAACTTTAAAACAGCATTTTAGGGGCAGTTTGTAATTAAAAGAAACAAGAGTGTCTGGTAGATGGCTAATGTTTACCACCCACTCTGATTTTTTGCCAGCCACTTTGTGGAAATAAATACAAAAATTGTGTATTATGGTACACTACAAGTACTACTACTTGTACTAGATTTGTTTAATTATTCCGGGACATTTCCAACAGGCCACCAAAATCGACGACTGTCCGGGGACATCTGGTCACATTACTTCATCCTCACCTGGAAGAGCGGACATTTCCAACTAACATCAAAGCCTGAACTCAGACGAACACACAGTACTCACCAATGGTGACACCGCTCCCATAATTAGGAAGAGCTTTTGTCGTTTATGTCAGATCCGTCTTTCAGTGAATGTGTTTCACCCTTTCTTTAATTATTTATTTGTTAGCCCTATACCAGAACATAAAGTCCAAAATAGCTAGATTTCTGTTGAGTTTGTAAATGTTCTGTCATTTTTTTAAACACTGATAGCCAATCAGCACTCAGCAGCAGTAACGCTAACAGCGTCCTAGAGCACTAAACATTTCAGCTGTAGAAAAACAGAAAGACAATGGTGGAATCCCTTTGTTTTGTTTTATGTAATACAACATTTTACGCTTCAAAATTAAAAGAAGTTCCCAAATAAATGCTAGAAACGTTTCATTTTTTCGTTTTTTACCAGAGCCAGTTTAAGGGGGAGCCTGGCCACTTCCTTTTTTTCCGTTATATAAAAAACATGACTGCAAAACGCCAGAGGGCGCCCGCGAGCGACTCCTAAATGAATAGGAGTTAATGGAGGTAAACGGATGAAAACAAACGAGTTTCTAACCACTTGTCCAGGATCTTCCATTAGTTTTAGAAAGGAGGATGTATTTCACTAAAAAAGCAACGAAAACTTGGCCTGTATGTTTTTTTTCCTACATCAAACGGGTTTTGGGCAGTAGCACTCCAGCATAACTACTGTGTGCTGATTGGTTAGCATTACTGCTACTGAATGCTGATTGGTTGGCGAGCGGAGCAGACGAGTAAATCTCTCGCTCACTGACGTCATGAACGTGCACGAGGCACAATTATATAGACGTGTAACTGGAGTTCAGAAGCGCTCAAAAATATAACAGCGATGTTTAAATGATTTATGCTGTCCTGTGTTTAGTAAAATTAATACATTATTCTATATAAAAATGTTTAAGCATTTACCAAGTATGATTGTGCTCGAGTGCTCCATATTATGCACTCATTTTGGACTCACTTAGGAGCGCCCTCTAGCGTTTGACAAACCCGGAGAACAATTCTGAGAGGCAATTCTCCTCTACAAACTCTCTGCTCTCATCCTATTCATTGAGAACTCGCTCGCGGACGTCCTCTAGCGTTATAATGGACCGGTCAGTCAGTAACTCCGTAAGAAACAGAGATGCTGAGCTGCTGGCCTAAAACAGACCACAGTTTATTTTTCCATGGGTAAATGGGCCTAAAAATTTATTCCACAGTCACTGGATCCCTGGATGTCTGGCTGACATTCATCTCTGAACCACAGGTCACTTAGGAAAATCAGACATAATAAAGACAAAACTATCATTAATTTAAAATCAGTCTTCATGTTGTGGGCGCTAACCCACCGAGACAATGACACGGTAAGAGATGTTGGTTAAATATGTTTTTGTTTCCCTCACATACACTTTTATGCTTTGGCCCAGTTCAGGTGAGGCAGAAGGCTCAAGGTAAAACTAGTAAGATACTCAATAACATAAAATACACATGAACATAAATAATTCAGCATAATGTGTTGGAGGACCATTTCAGCAATAACTGTGCTTTTCTGAATAATCCCCATTGGGGAAGACCTTGCTGCTCTCCATATGCTGGCATTGGGCGAAAGCCTTGTTTGACCAGATGACTGACAATCAGGCTTTTTGAGAACAGTAAACTGGAATGCTGTTAGTAACTCAGTTTCCTGAAACACAAATACCTGAAATTGCCCACTTATTTCCAGTTTTAACATATGCAAGTCCTCTGATTACCACACAGAAAACAGGCACTGTTTAGGCACTAAACACCAGATAGTGCAGATAGTATGGAGTATATATTTTTACTACACTCTCAAAGCAGACGTGTTACACATAACACAGTCTCTATGTCCAAATAATTTGTTATTCAGCACAGGGAGTGTGTTCAGAATATAATTACATGTGCTCTACAGTCAATGCCAGAGGCTGCATTGTGCTGTATTCTTCAGGCCATATATATAATATATATATATTTTATATAATTTTATATAATATAAAATGTGTTAAAACAGTGACAACACAAAAAGCGTATTGTCAGTTAACACATCAGTTTTGAGAGTGTAATCATTAGGCAGTGTGAGCTTTTGCCCATGGCCATAAAACACGGAGAGTCTTCTACTCCTGTAGTTTGCTCTCATAACACAGGGAGAGCACATTATTATGCTTCACTGCTCTCCCAGGCCATAGCAGTGAAGTCCACCTCGGTGAGGTTAACAGTGAAGGGTCCATCTATTCTCTCCGGCTCCACGCGCTGCTCCTGAGCGGTGCTGTTCAGGTTGTTTACCCGCCAGGAGTTGAGCGGCCGGATGGCTTTCTGAAAGCGCTGAGCCAGCAGACACAGGGAAATAATGAGTTAGATCACACACTTTAAACAGGTTCCTGCCCCTCTTTTCTGTATTTCATTATGACTGTGCAAAATGGAAGGAAAGTGTACTAAGCAGAAACCTTGATTAACCAGTTTTCTTGGTTACAGCAACATCCAACACTGAACAACTCACATCTTTCAGCGTGCCAGACTCCTTACTGACGGCTACAATGGCCCAGATAGGAATCTGCAGACAGCAGATAGCTCCCATGCACACTCCCAGCGCCTTGCCCCACCGCGGGAACACATACGAGCCGTAATGGAGAGAGGTTCTGTACATCTCAATGAAGATGTAGGTCAGGATGAACTATGTGAGAAAAATGCACAAGTGAGAGAGACAAAGGGAAATCAGTGAGAGAAAGACAGGTACGCTATACACAGGTACACTATAAATTATTCACAACATTGGACACAGCACAGACCTGGTGTTCATTTCTAGTCTCAGTCAGATGCACTCATTTATTTATGCTAGGTTCTATTCTGGTTCAAAACACAATGACCCCTATAGAGCTTTCCTAGGCTGATGTTTGCAAACAAATTTAAGACAAGAACCACTTTAAAAAACATTCAAACACTAACTTGAATCCACATCACATTTTTTACAAGTAAATCAAGACTATAATGTCTGCTGTAACACAAGTGACAACTAAGAAGTGTCCCACAAAAAACTGTTGGTTTTAGTGTTTTTGTGCATGAATGACGATTTATGATGATGTGCTAATTTTGCTTTGCAAAACTTACCATATAGTATCATATAGTATCCTATTTGAAATTATATACCAGTTTTTGACAACATATTCACCTCAATACTAAAAAAACTAAACTAAAACTAAATAAAAACTAAAGCTCTTTCAGAAAATAAAAACAAAGCAAAAACTATAAGTGTGGTCTTAAACTGAAAACTGAAACTAAACTGAACTTGAAAACCAAGGGTAAAAAATAATAAAAACTAATAAAACTATAATAATTATAATTGTTGTAATAGTATTATAATAATTATAATTATTAATTAGTCAAAGTCAAAACTATAATAACCCTCAGCCACATTAAAATTTCTCACTCAAATAACAACATATGTATATATGTTTCATAGCAGTTACTGAATAATAACCTTGCAATTTAAGCGATTAATAAATAAAATGACACATAGAGGGCAGAAATTCTTCAGAGAAGCACATGAATTCAGTGAAAAGTGTGGATTCTGAACTTAATACCAAATTTGTGTTTGCAAATAGGAGAGGAGCTTGTAATTGTAATTTGAATTTGATTAAACATGATTCAGTTCTGACTGAATACTTTCTGACTTTAATACTAGTAACAAAACAGTAAGTCTTAATCAGTAACTTAATAATAAGCCTGCATAATGAACCATGACAACTCAAAGAACCATATGAATGCACAAACAGTTCTTTACATGGTTAAATCGCTCTTTCTTATGATGAGAAACCTGTATATAGTTCTGTGAGTTCTGTATATAAGGCTTCTTTTACTGTTACAAGTCACATAACCTTTTTGGTATTCTTTTGCTAAAAGTGTAGACTTGAAAGGGTTAACAAATTCTTAACAACATTATTAGTAACAATCTTATGTCACAGAAGGTAAACTGTTTGTACCAAAGCTCCTGTCATATCACACAGAGCTAAGGTCATGATCAAAGCAATCAAAGCCTTGTACACAATGATATCAAATGCTCACAGTACACAAATGTGCACCACATGTGCACAAATGTGCACCAAATGTGCACAAATGTGAGTGTGTTCTTGAAGAATCAGTCCACCCACAGACACTGTGCTCACCAGTAACAAGAATGGTGTGCAGAACACCCAGCATGCTTTGAAGTAGAGCAGCGCTTTGGTGCACCAGGGTGGACAGCGACAGATCATGTCCACTATGTCCTGGCAGAACTGGTTCACCCCTGTGTAAACAGATGCAAATAGCCGTTAAAACTCTCAGAATATTCAACTACTTCGCAACATAAAGTATGAGCATTTTTCAGACCTAGATCATCAACTTATTGGCCCCTGGGCACAAACATTTGGTGTGCCCCTACATAGCTACTTTTTTGGGTGGTCATGGAATTTTTTTGCATCACCCCAACAGGTTTTAATGAGGGTTATACAGCACCACAGTGGTAGCACACTAACACCACAACACTGCTATGAACGCATTTTTTTTTTTTTTCGAATTGAGACAAAACAATAGCATGATCACGCCCACATTAACAAGAGCACATTTCCAGAGCAAAATTTCTCTATAAAGGATGGGTCCACTGTTCACAAGCACAACAACTGAAAAAAGCAGCAAATTTAAAACTTAAAAACCCAAACCATCAAACATGCTAAACTAATGCATACTGCCACGATGGGCTTAGATTTTTTTTTTTTCATTTAACGTTATACCTTACCTCTGATGATTTTATGCATGAAAATATAAGGTCACAGGTCACCACGACAAGGGTGGTGCAACTTTACCTCTGATATCTTATAACTGGCTTTGGACATGGATATCCTCTAATGTACTGTAAGTATCAGGTCTCGCTAAAAAACCTGAAAGCTTGACCAAAGTAATGGCAGATAGAATAGTGGTTGCTAAGCACTGACTAAAAGATGAAATGAATCAGGCGTGGACAGCATCAGGATTATGATCGTCCATAATGACAAATTTGAAATTAGCTAATTCTTTTGTGGTGCCACTAGTTCCCACCAAGAGTCAAAACAGCTGTTTAGATTTTCTTAAAATGGCTCATGGGGCCCCCCAGTGGCTCAGGCCATTAAACTCATTGGATGATCCAGGCCTGCAGTTGGGCTGAGACTCCTAAACTTTGTTATATTTCCAAAATGTTTTGGCAAAACTAGAGCAATCTAAGGTCAGACATTCATCCAGAATTGATATGATGAGCTTATGAGACTTGAGTGTTGGCAAAGCTGTTGCTATGGTGATGTGAGCACAAGATGGAAAGAGGCTGGTGGGGAGCACACCATAAAAGAATGAGATGCCCAGACACATGAAGAGAGTGATAATGATGAGTCCAAAGCTGGTGCTGAATGAGTCTATGAGGGTGAACCAGTATATTCCTCCCTGTTAGAAAACACACAAACACAATGAAGAGAAATACGTAAAATATAGCATCAAATCTAAAGAAATACCTAAAACATGATTACGGAACCCTTTTCACAGTTAAATATCATCACTGTAGTAACAAAATCTTTTTTTACCTTGAAACAGTAGTTTTACAGGAGAAAGAAAAATGCTCTTAATTTGTAAAGGGCCCATATAATGGAAAACTGAATCTTGAAAAGATTTGGATGTAGCATGCAAACACTGTTCCAAAATGTATCCTTCACCTCCCTCACGAAACAGTTCATATACAGAAACTAAGCTGCAAAAACAGCCTGTTTTGAATTTACTGTTTTGGTGATGCCATGAAAACTAATTATTTTACATAAATCCCCCTATTCAGCCTAAAGCAGTGTAGCTCTGCTCATGAACACTGAGCGTTTCAGCACGGACTACTTTTTGAATAAGCTGTAATAAAGATTAGCCAATCAGAACAAATGTAACGTACATATTGTTGCTGTTGAAACATTTTTCTTGCCAGCTGCCCTTGGTATTGCATCAAAATTCCATGACAAACAGGCAAATAGAAATTATTCAAAATGGCTTAGAATAAAACCTTGCTATACTAACTTACACTGAAAGATTTTTTTTTCCTTCTTCTGTAAAATGATGATGTTAAGATACAATATTTTGTTTGGACAGCAATGACTCATTTGTCTGGAAAAATAGTCATGTAAAATTGACTCTTTTTGGTACAAAAACACAAATGTTGTATGTCATGGGGCGTCAGGGAAAACATACGATAAAATAAAATGTAGGAAGCATCAAAACTTCTTCCAATTGTTTACATATTGTAAAGGGCATCTGGCATTTTGGATATGACAGCAACAATTTCACATTAGTTACAATATATCTTGTTGTACAGCAGTTCACAACATATGCCACCATCACAAACAAATGAAGCTTCTCTCAAAAAAGGTCAGCTAGCACTCACATTAGTGACCAGCAACAGGCCCATCAGGTAGAAGCCAAAGCAGAGCAGGCCCAGAAACAGAGTCTTGTGTTTCACATTGGCCCTCAGCTGAGGAAACTCATCCAGCACTGCTGTGGTAACACCCTCCATGTTACCAAACTAGAGAGACAGAAAGAAAGAGAGAGAGAACGGGTGAGAGAGAAGCATGCAGTAAGATCAGAGACTATGTGTTGCATATGCATGTCGACAGCAGGAAGTTGCATCAATATGTGGTATGGTAAATGTAGGAACATGGCAGGCTCTGAAAGCAGGCTGCATGAAGAAATTTCACACTTTATATGGTCAACAAGTTTGCTGTCAACAAGATTGTCACGCTATTTTGCAGACAAACCTTGCATGGCATTATTTAACAATGTAAACCTTTCACCATCCTGTTGGCTAACAGCAGCAGAAAGTTGTAAATGACCAAAGAAGGAGAAGTCTAGATTAAAGATTCTAACCAGTGTGTCCACTCCCAGCATGAACAGCATGAGGAAAAACAGAATGGCCCAGAAAACTGAACCAGGCAAAAGAGCTAATGCCTCTGGGTATGCTACAAAAGCCAAGCCTGGACCTGATAGGACAGAAAAAACACAATTAATTCAGCTCCTCATTTTATGGCATTCAGCACACTATGTTTCAGTTTATCTTGGTGGAATAAGGAGTGTCTGCTGACTTAAGCAGACATGCTGGACTGGATTTACCTGTGTCTGCCACTTTTTCTACTGGCACACCCTTCTTCCAGGCCATGTGACCTAAGATGGAGAATATTGCAAAGCCTGCAAAGAAGCTGGTGGCACAGTTTCCTATGGTGATCACCAGCGTATCCCTAGCACAGAGACATTACAATTTAGATCCTAAACTTGTCTTTATAGAACTCTGACAAACAGTGGAAGAAACAAAGGACACAAATAGACAAAATCACAATTACAAACTAACCTGATGACATTATTGTCAAATTTGTTGTAGGAAGCCATTGACAGAAGCCCTCCTACTCCAATGCCCAGTGAGTAGAAGATCTGTGATGCAGCATCATTCCACACCTACACAAGCCCAATCACACTGTATCACACATCTGTGTAGATTTTTAGAGCAAAGCTCAACAAACAATTGAGGCCTCTACACAAAATAAAAAAGAGGTGAAAGACTGGCACTGTTGCTTGTACCTGTGCATTAGCCAGTCGCTCCCAGACTGGAGTGAGGTAGAAGGCCACGCCCTGGAGAGAGCCCTCCAGAGTGGCCCCTCTGATGATCAGAACTATCAGTACAAAGTAGGGAAAGGTGGCCGTCACATACACCACCTGACAATGGAAAAAACGAAGAAATTGGACTGTGCTTAAAAATCGGATAATTAATTTGTTTAAATCCTAACAATTGAAGTACACAAAAAAGCACCTTAAAAATTCCCCTCTTAATGTGACTAAACAGTGGTTTCATTGTGGAGGATGTGTGTATTATAATGCAACTGCATCTAATGCTGAGTAGATCCAATGTGGGGACCAGACCTCTAACTACAAAGTACATGACTGTGATTCAGTAATGGGTTCCCTTTGCTGGTAAACATTAGGAAGGGCCTAAATTATGGTATTTCCTCATTCAGTTATTTCCTCCTTCATGAGCTAGACCTTACCTTGCCTGAGCTGCGAATGCCCTTCAGCATGCAAAGGAAAATGATGACCCACGCTGCCAGCAAACACAGAGCAAGCTCCCACCTCACTGGTCCAGGGTCATGCAGGCCCTTACTACTTCGCACACCCAAGACACGGTCACTGCAAAACGCACACACACACATGCACACACGCATGTGACCTCAAATTCAAAGAACTTCAACCACAATTATTTCCAACTAGGCTTCAGCAGCTTATGAGAGCATCTGGTGGTCTGTATCAGATGCGCTCTTGTTTCGTTTTGATCAAAGGACACTTTGTATCAAAGCTAGATCTAGACTTTGAACTGAATGTATATTTGATGTACATCCACTTACAAGCACTTTCACAAACAGGAATACAGCATGAACACATCTATACTATGAAAATGTTCTGGTGAGAATTTCTCTTAGAATTTAAGTAGTTAGTATGTTAACACATTTCAAAAATATGAAAATAAATTACCATTTTTGCTACAGCTACATGTTCTAAACATTAAAGGCGCTAATTACTGACGGTCTACAGACAATTAGGGCTGATGTGGTGGCCAATTTAGTAGGTTATCTACTAAGAACAAGCACTTACTTCTTAATAAACATATGATAGGTGTGACCAGAAAGGAGAAAAAACATTATTTGATCATAATTATTTTTTCCTCTTTGTTTAAGGCAATACAAAATAATGACTTACTATATTGAAATAATTGATTTTCTTGACATTTTGACTTAGCATGTTGAAATAATTAGTTATTATTCTTCAAGATAGTATAATTATTTTGAGATTGTAAGTCATTACTTAACCTGCCTTCCGCCCAATGACTGCTGGGATAGGCTCCAGCTCCCCCCACAACCCAGAAGGTTGAGCGACTTAGAAAATGTATGTGTGTAGAAAGTCATTACTTTGAGCAAAAACGTCTTGTATTTCATTTTGAGCAAAAAGGTATTGCGTTTCATTGCAAAAATTCAAAAATTTGAGAGGTCAAACAAGTCAAGGTTTTTCACAGTACTGCCAGAAACAAGGGAAAAACAACAGGCAAAATATTTCTGTGCAATCATGAGCAACAACGACAGCCACGTTAGCCCCAAAAATAAGACAAGCTCTTCACAGGTGCTAAATAGTATGCATAATCGGTATTTACTATCAGCTTTGGTAAATTGAACTATGTGGTTCTTTATAATAATCTCTTCCCAGTATTTTGCAGTTTGAGAGTGAAGCTCCTGTACATGCCCGTTCAATGAGGCAAAAAAGCAAAACAGCAGCAGCTGCCGTTGGATCATTTTATGGGTGCTAAGGGGCAATTGCACCAATTTGGTGAATCATGATTGTCCCTTTTTAATGTCAAAATAGTTTGTGACACTACAAAATGTGAGTAAATCTGCCTTTATCTTTCATAGCTGGGAGGGCACGTTAAGTCAGTTTCTTTTGAGCCAGACTACAAATGCAGGGTTTAATTCCAAAATGCATTACAGACCACTTTCAAGAATTTTCTTTTTTTGTAGTGAGAGGGCTTTACACATACACATAAGCTACCTTATGATTAATATCATCTTAATTACAGAAATTCTTTCTATGAAAAATGGATTATATCCAAAATTGTTAAAAGGATATACAGCATTTTGAAATGCAACCCTTCAAATAAATCATAGCAATAAACCAGAGAATGCTTACTTCCAGAATTCCTCAGATGGACTCAAAGAGATTGTGGTGTTTGTGGTATTCTGTAGACGAGTAAAGAGAGTAATATTAAAAAAAACAAGCAGGGATTACACTTTATCCCTTCCGGTACCTGATTCTCAATTACTGGCCTAATACAGATACCGATACCAGCCCTGATATTTATACAAATCTACTTTAAATATTTTATTTGTGTTCTGGCATTTATTCTTTGGATTTTATACACATATGTGTGTGTGTGTAAAACTATTTTAGATGCTTAAGAAAACCTATTTTTGTTTACTTTATAGAATTAGTCTTTACTATTATATAATCAGTAAAAAAAACATATTTAATGACCGCAGTAAATTAAAAATATGTTTCTTGTGCAAAACAGTTAAAAACAGCACTGAATAATATTTAGATAAAACTATGGTGTGTACATGTAAGCATGCAGCAGCTTATCTGGCTCGGACAATAACAGTGTTAATGTTGTTTCACATTTTTCAAGCCATTTGTCTCACGCTTCCCATACACTCACACATCTCTGAGCATCAGACTCAGGAGTTCAGTAACATATTACAGTTGTTTATGCTGCCAGTAACAACTGTTTTCAGTTTTTTTTTGTTGATTTGTTTTTTGTTTTGTTTTGTTTTTTTTTTGCTTGGATGAAGGCTGTGAGACCCTGCTGCTGTGTGATGCAGCTGACTGGCAGAGGCGCACTGCAGGCGGGGCTAGTGGATACACTAGCCCAGCTAGCAGGCTGCCATGCTAAACGCTAAACCAGGGCTAAAGGCTATCATTACCCCAAGAGAGCGATGGCGCCTTCCATATATCTCTCTAATGTTCAATCCCTCGATAACAACCTGGACTAGTATTAACTCAGACTGTAAGTGACTTCACAGTGTGAGATAAGCGATTAATATATTAACAAGATTACTTACACACAAAGATTTTCTAACTTTTAGGTCACAGTGGTCAACAATACAGCTGAGATGCAACCCTGCTTTGTGATTAGCAGCTATAAAATACTTACACAGAACTTAGCATTAGCACTAGCATCACAGGACCATGGCAGTGGGCTCTGGAAGGAATTACCCAGGTAATAAAAGGTCCAAGCAATGATGACGTTATAGTAGAGGCACACAAGTGTAGACACGCACAGCATCCCTATGCCAATCCCTGCAGAAAGCACAGAAAGGACATAAAGAGTGATATTCACATTTGTCCTTAGAGGTCTTGTTTCAGTTAAACAATTGAGGTGACAGGTGGGGTTTATATACTACATTAATTATGAATTACAATAATTATACAACAAATAGTTCCATTTCTAAAATCTAATTGGCCGAACCACATGCAAACTCTTTTAAAATACTCTAAGATACATACATATGATCATACACATCAATTGAATGTTGTATGAGTTATCATTTCATTTGGCAACCAATGTCTACTGTTAACAAACTATATTACGTGGCGGAAGGATTGCTTTACTACTAATAAATTAATTTATTTATTGAATTGCTGCATTTTATTACTCTGACTTTATGACTCTGTACACCTTTTTATCAAGGCGAAGCTTAGCATGGGCATAACAATAATCTTAACACACAGGCTCTCAAAGCTTATTGCTTTGTATAGACTTGATAATACAAATAAGCATCAAAACAGAGAACTACTATATACAGAAAACCCCAGATGGACCTAGAGACTTTGTGCAGCAATGTAAGTCAATAAACAATATATAAAATATCAAATAAAACTATGTAATTGTTCATTTATGAACAGGGACCGCTAGTCGCCTCTATTCGTTAACGAACTGCATTCCAGTGTGCAGGTACCTTTAAGCAGTGGACAGCATTTCCAGACAGTGATGGGGCCTGCGGCACCATACTGGCCCAAGCTGAGCTCCATGAGGAAGAGGGGCATGCCCGTGAAGAACAGCATGATGAAGTACGGGATGAGAAACACACCTGCAGTACAAAAAACATTTTCATACAGGAAATGCCTGGTTCAGAGGGAATGTAAAGTAACATTAGAGACATACAGGTCATCTACACGTTCTGAAAGGTTGCACCTTCAAAATCCATGTCCGTGTTTCTTTATCTCTAAAGAGATAACCTAACAGTACAAGCGGGTTTTCAAAATACCAGAATTTCGACTTTGATACTTTACTTAAAATGCTTTATACCAAAATGACACTATAAAAAAATGAACTAAACAACCAATGTTTATTGGACTGAACACAAAAATTATGTGGGGGGGAGGGGGTTGTTTGGTTTTTCTTTAAATAAAATATAATAAAAAATTAAATCACAAAAAATTCTTCTAGATCAATTAAACTTTTATTTAAGCAGTAGAACACGAGAGGGAGTGTGTTATTTTGAAAAACATTACCAGTTGTGATTCAGTCACAAGATCATCACAGCCGTGACAATATTCACGGTAACAAATAGCCTCAAGTGTTCTACTGCTTTTATACAGTTCTATTCAGTTTCATATATTTCTGTAAAATAAAAAAGTAAAACAAATAAGCCCAAAACATCATATAAAACGTGCTTCAATATTGGCAATTCCTCACGCCAAAAAAGTAGTACTCTTTTGCGTCATAGAGCCACAGAACTATCACAACTTCATGTTCAGCTCAGCTTTTCAGTATTTGCCAGATTAACCTGAATGTTCTTCTGTTTCAGACAGTCTGTAAAGCATTTGACAGTGTTTGCTGACTTATATTCTGTTTGTTTCTGGCTAATTCCAGTTTGTTTAGTTAGTTTGTGTAGTAGCCCTTTTCAGTGACAACAACAGGAAAACTTTGGAATCTGATGTAGGCCTGCCGTCACACTCTTCTTCAGAAGAGTGCAGGCGGCAGGTCAGATATTATAAAAGTTTTTATTTTCTGTTTTTGTTTGGCCTAAAGTAGTAATGTATTAATGTTTAGATGTAGCGTAAAGTGAATCATTACTTAGTAAACTGTGAAAAAGACGTGCTGTTTTCACAAATAAAAGCACTAACAGAATGCTTATCAACCAATTAGACTGTGCTGTTGGAAGTAATATAATATATACATTTTTAAATTATACATTTGTGTGTGTGTGTGTGAGAACAATAACAGTTATAAACTGTTATAGCTTAATTTATAAGTGATTCTCAAAAATTAACTCTCTTTCGTTATTAACACAAAAGTCTTCAGTTGTTAAATGCATCAAATAAGTAAATAAATAATTCAAATATGTACAACATGTTCTGAAGGGAAGTTTAACAGCGAGATGATGACACAATATAGGCTAGCATTGTTCACACTGTGTTTAAAACATAAACAAATGAGTAACCTTATGTTGATTGTTTCTAGGAGCGTAGGACATGTCTGTCAGAACAAAAGTGTTCACTTGTCTGTTTTACATATGCTAATAAACGTGTTGAATGTCCATGTAATTACCATGCAAAATTTGATACACCTCCAGGCAGAACACAACATCAACAAATGAACTGAAAGTCTAAGAAGTTAGAGTACTGATTTGTACATCACATTGTAGAATAGAAAAAGTACCTTCAAAAAACCATGCAACACTAAGTGCAAGTGGCAAGTCCTAAGTTACAATGCACTGTTGTAGGGAAGTATTTATAAACACCGCAGATTATAAATGAGGAAACGATGCTCTCTGTCATCATTTTAATATAGCATCAGTGCTTTATGTTGTAAGTGTGTAGGAGTGTTGTTTTTCTGTTAGTTCCATGCTGGTACTGAACTGTACAATAAACAGGTGGAAGTAAAACATCAGTGCAAATGTCAAGCATGCCGATGAAACTCTGAACAAATACCAATCTAAATAGTAGAGACAATTCCATTACATCTGAGACACTCACGTGTGAACCACACCCAGGGGTGACTGGAGGCCGTCCAAGCTTGCTCTGAAAGGATTATAGAGCTAACACGGCACAGGGCGGGACTGGGTGCATATGTGTGCGAGCAGCTGACTGTAGTTTTGGTATCTGCTTACAGATGCCAGAGGCTGTCACTGTGCTACTATAGTTTCGAACCTGGTTCAGCAACCAAGATATCAGGTGAATGATTCAGAACATACAATGAGGTATTATATGTATTATATTGAGGTATTATATATTATATTGTATTATATGAACTCACAGTTGCAAATTTTGTTTTCACATTTGAATAACAAGAACAATGTGAAGTAGATAGGTACTTGTTTTAAAGTAATAATCTAATAACTTCACCATTGTCACTGAAAAACCTACGTTAGTGCATTCTGCAATGCAGTACAGTATATTTCAATTTCACAAAGCACACCCTAAACACAGCTTTTTCTGGACTACCCACAACCATCACCATGCAAATAACATGATCTATGGGTGTTACCCAACCTGGAAGAACTATATTGTCTGCTTTCGTTACATGATGGCATGATAAGAATAAAATATCATATTATAGTCTATATTATATTGCTACATATTGCATTTGCAATACACCATGTTTGCAGTGTCTTACAAACACCTTGATGTAACCGGGCTAAAGATGGCCTGTGTAATTTTGACCTGATTCTCATCTGAAACATCTGACACTGTTCTTGATGCTCACAGCACACAATGAATTTTTGTGATGTGTTGAAGGCTCATTTGCATATTCACATTCTTTTGCAATATCATTACTGAATAAGCCAAAGTTCTGAAAACATTTAACAGACAGTTTATCAAGCAGCTTTAGTTTGAGAGAAGTTGCAATATTTGATTTTATGCCAGGCAGTACACCGTATATAACCACCTTAACTATCAACTTATAGATACATGGTGCAGACTTTTTGTGCTTTCTTTTAAAAAATGTACACACTTATCAGTCAAATTATCAAATTATTCCTCTTTGTCTGCTCAGCTCCACTAGTGATAACTCACCTCCTCCATTCCGGTAGCAGAGGTAAGGGAATCTCCAGACGTTTCCCAGGCCGACACAGTAGCCAAGACAGGAGAGCAGAAACTCATACTTGCCGCCCCACTGCTCTCTGGGAGGCTGGGGGTTCAGTGGAGGGGCGTGAGAGGGAGAGGGAGAGTGAGACTCAGCCTGCGAGGTAGCACCAGTCACACTCGGAGGGACAGTGAAGCCATTCAGCTGTGCTGGACTCTACCAATGAGAGAAAAAGTTCAGTCAGACACATACCAACAGTCTCTACAACAAAATCTCTGACTTCACAACAATTCATCCTGAAATCTCAAATTTCACCACCATTTAATCCAATGGATTTTATGTGACCAAAGTTTAGCTGGGACAACTGGGAATCAGTTCCCAGTGCAGTTGGTTATTCCCCAGTTGTGTAACATAACACCAGTCTAAGAACACTCTAAGATGAGTGCCTCAAGGTTTATTAACCACTTTGAAGAACTATTCAGCATTGGGAAGATGTGTCACACAAAAAGAACCTCATATGATTCTTTTGTACAAACTGCAGCCGTTGAGTTAATGGGAAATGTCACAGATTTTTCAAAATCCAGCATAATTTAATTGTTGAGATCTAAAGAATCATTCAGAGTGGTTTGATGTGAGATGCATTAGAGAGAAATGTACTGCCTCAGATTTCTTTACAGTGGTGGTGAGAGGAACCAGGGTTTGTGATTTCTACAATACAAATATGAGCATGCTATTTTGCTGATAACATTGAAACAGTGGTAAATCTGAAAAAATGAACTGGGGTACTTCCACCAAGAATTATTTCTTGAAAATATCTTTTAGGCCAAAACTTTATCTCAATTGTAAAACATGTTTCAAGCATCAGGCAGCTCATTTGTTACCATTTCATTTTGTAATGCAGCTTTTAGAGGCTTTAAACTCTTTGGACATCTGATTCCTATCACAAAACATATGAACAAGTCTGACTCAGCAAGTTTCTTTAGAACAGAGCTTTTCATATCAAACCTCTCTGAATGACTTGGTAAAATGTACATCTTAACAGTTTAATTACTCTGATTTTTTTTTAATCTTTAGAATTTCCCTTTCTGTATAATTAATAGGAAATTGTGAAAATTGTGTAAAATTGTGGCCTGTTAGAGATGCCTTATGCACAACAGTAATTTGATCACTAGGCATCTATCTCCCCACAGAAAAGAAGGCAACTGAACACCAGTTCCAACAGTATTGCCAAATGGCTTGAAATCACTTCTCTTTACGTGAATTAGGAGTGATCCTCCACATAAACTAAAAGGGGAACCAGTGCATGCTGTGTTTGGTTCAGCTGTCTAATGAAAGGGAAGTCATTCTGGTTGCCACACATTAATTATGATGGTTCCGCACACAATGGCTAGCAAGAGTAAACTTGTCAGAACTACTACACAGATACACACAGATATCACACATATCTGTAATCTCTGTGATGTCAGAACAAAAAAAGTCTCTTCATTTACTGTGAAGGAAATGGTAGGGATCAAGGTACAAGAAACAACAAGCGTACTTTGAGAATCATGTTCTGAAGATGTATTTGCTCCTTTTTTGTCTTATAAAGAATTATCTGCATAAAGGAGAATCAGAAACCCTGATACGGTTTGTAATGGGGTTAATATGGGGCCTAGAGGCATCTGAAGAAAACTATTTTAAAAGTTAATGTACCATAAATTGTAAACAATGTTCACAAAAATCAGAGTGTGGGTGCCTTTAACATAAGACAAGTCTAGAAAAGGACAAGCCAACATAATTTTTAATCCAGAATTTTCAGTTTGGTTTATAATACTGTCATAGCTTGGATAATCATGATTTTAATGTGGTAGGGTAACTTTTACCTTTTTCATTTTGTGTAATACCCTATACTCTAATTGTCCTTAATCCTACTGGTAGAACTTCAATGTCCACTTTATTACAAACCAAGAGTCTATATTTAACAATTACTTTCCAAAGAATGAGGTCAAACAGGTTGAGTTACCTCAATAACCAGTCAGCCATCCAAACTAGCCAAACAAGCCCGTTTATGGGCGCTTAGGCTTGTTTTAATTTCCTTCCTTCAATATTAAAACCCACGAAAAGGCGTTAAAAAGGCTGGAGAACTGGCCGTGATGGCTATCCGGCTCACCTCCGCGCTGAGCTCCGTGTTTCCAGGTACAGCTTTCGCCTCCACACTCGGCATCTCCCCGCGGGCAGCAGAGTCCGAGCTTTTCTTCTGATGCTCGTTACATGGTTCCGGTAAAGGTTTCATCGAGACGACCGAACAGCCTCAAAAGCGCACACCGATATCAGAAGCGGGTTGATTATCGCGAATGATTTAGACCATTAGAAAAGTTACATCAGGCTACAGAAAAGTTAAAGAGTCCAGAGAGCAGCGCAGGTGTACTCAGCTCAGTTCGCCATGTTGTTCTCGGAGGGGGGAGGGGAGGAGAGTAGACTGTAATCTGTAATGGGAGGCTCTTCTTCTCTCTCCTCTCCTCACCTTCCAACAGGTTATCCACACTGAGCTACAGCCACTCCTCCCGGACAGCCTTCAGTCTGTCCGTCAGTCAGTCTGTCTGTCTGTCTCTACACGATAAAGATCTCTCAGTAACTAAAAAGGGAATTGAACATAGGTTCAAAAATGAGGTTTACAAAGTTTAAATAAAAAAAGTAAATAAGTAAAGTAATGTATACATACACTGGGGTCCAAATGTCTGAGATCACTAGCAAAAATGCTTATATTTTGCATTATTCTTAGATTTAATGCATTTGTTTCATTTTCAAACGACGGAAAGTTTAAAATATTTAAATGAATTTGAAATTTTGCTTCGTGTGCACTCGAGCTAGCATTGATCACTGACAGTGACAAAAGTGAATAGAAGATCAAATCCACCTGAGAGTCGTCTGAACCCGAGCTTCAATAGAAGGAAAAAGAGATTTTTTTAAAAAATTGACCTTTTTGTACAGAGGCCTGGACATGGTCAATGTCACAAATGTGCCTAAATTTGAACAGTGACCTGGAAATAAAATGTGTTCTTCATTTTACTTCTTCTAACTTTTTTTGGAGGAATAACTTAAAAACATTTTAAAGCAGGCTCAGACTTATATATATATATACACACAAAATTGGGACTGCTGTTCAAATTCTTTTGACTGTCATTACTATGTGTGTGTGTGTATATATATATATATATATATATAGATAGATAGATAGATAAATATGCTTGGAATTTCATTTAACACCTCTTTCAAAACTATCTTGCCATAAAACAAAACTGCAAAAGCACAAATGACCCAATGGTAAAATATGACATACGACTTGTCATCAGTTTAACTACTATATGCTGTCAAAAGCTCCTTTTTGCTCTCATTTCCACAGGAAACCACACTGCAACGACAGGAAATTGCTACTTTGCTACTAAGAAATGTGGACTGTGAAAGAACACCTCATTCTGAATGGACTGAAAAATTAAAACTAATAATGAAAATAATAATAACATAGTTATACTGTGACTCCAAAGATGCTTAAATTTGTTCCTGGAACTGTTAACTTCTGATATTAGAGAAAACTCATCTGCACTGCTACCTGTGCTTTTTGTGTGTGTTTGTGTGTTTGTGTGTGTGTGTGCTGTATGTTCTGTAGCCTCTGAGTAAAGTTTCAGATTGTACTTTTCCTCTTTGTGTGCTTTGTTGTTTCTAGGAGATGCTCTGTTGTGCTTCAGTAGCTCCTCCTCCTGAGAGAAACACCATTATGGAGGAGTGGCTCTGTGGGAGCGGCCTTCAGTTTCTCCAAACACCAGAGGAAGGAAGAAGAGATGCAGTGTACAGCCCAACCCAACAACACACAATACTGACTACGCATAGAAAGAAACTGATATCAATTGCTAATTGAAATAACACTTACTTCTATGCTATTAAACTGTTTAGTTATGTAATGTTTTCTTTTTTATGCAAGATACGTTGTGGCCAAACTGCAGGACGGTGCAGCCTTGACAAACCGATATAAAATCTATTATAAACCAAAATCAAAACAAAATAAAAAAAGGTGTTGCATTTTACTATACATTATTAACTGTATGCATAACCCTGCATTTTGTTAATGCAAATGGATTTAATTTCCAAAGTGGACAGCACCTCCAGTCACAAATTGAAATTACATCATGGAAAACGTTCTTTTAACTATTTAGTTTAATGCAGTATGTAATATAGCATGTATATGTAAATAATGTTAAGGTTTCAAAACATACAGTTCACACCACAGTTTAGCTGGTCAATATGTGGGTAAACGACCTATAACACATTTATTGTTTGCTTGATGTTACAAAAACTTTTAGATATAAAGCCTATTGTCCTACAGCAGTTCAGCCAAACTCGTTTACACTGAAGTGATCTGGAGAGTTTCGGGTCGGACTACTATTCTGAATGAGGCACAATAAAGGACAGCCCTATTTAACGCTGAGGACAAAGGGATGGTACGTAAAAGTTCAAGAAAAGTACAGGAGAGGACAACAGAACAAAATCTCATTTATTCTGACGGTTTGTCTCCAGCGCACTACCGACACAGCCTGCATTACCAATCTGACACACTTTTGTTTTGCCGGTTTTTGAAGATTTTCAAATTTTCCCTCCAGACAACAAGACCATCTGTTCCTTCCCGGCTGCTGCTTCAGGAAGGAGTCCCCTCCACGTCGTCTCTCCTCTGATTGGTTAAAATATGTTTAGTGGATCTGATTGGTCGTCGCTCTTCTACTTGAAGGATTTCTGGCGCGGTTTGAAGACCTTCGCGCTTTATTTCTCGCTTCAGCTGGAGGAAATTTACAGACTGACACAAATCAATATTTTCAAACAAAATACCTGTTTCTTTAGGTGCCTTCAGTCACAAATTGAATTCATATCAGGGAAAACTTTTTTCAAATATTTAGTTTAATGCCGTATGTAATATAGCATGTATATGTAAATAATGTTAAGGTTTCAAAACATACAGTTCACACCACAGTTTAGCTGGTCAATATGTGGGTAAACGACCTATAACACATTTATTGTTTGCTTGATGTTATAAAAACTTTTAGATATAAAGCCTATTGTCCTACAGCAGTTCAGCCAAACTCGTTTACACTGAAGTGATCTGGAGAGTTTCGGGTCGGACTACTATTCTGAATGAGGCACAATAAAGGACAGCCCTATTTAACGCTGAGGACAAAGGGATGGTACGTAAAAGTTCAAGAAAAGTACAGGAGAGGACAACAGAACAAAATCTCATTTATTCTGACGGTTTGTCTCCAGCGCACTACCGACACAGCCTGCATTACCAATCTGACACACTTTTGTTTTGCCGGTTTTTGAAGATTTCCTTCCAGATAACCAGACCATCTGTTTCTTCCCGGCTGCTGCTTCACGACAGCCCCCTCCACGTCGTCTCTTTGATTGGTTAAAATATGTTTTAGTGGATCTGATTGGTCGCCGCTCTTCTACATGAAGGATTTCTGGCGCGGTTTGAAGACCTTCGCGCTTTATTTCTCGCTTCAGCTGGAGGAAATTTACAGACTGACACAAATCAATATTTTCAAACAAAATACCTCCGTTTCTTTAGTATTTCTTTCTATTGTTTTTGCACTTTTTTCACCATAAACCAATATGCACGTCATCAAGCGTGGTGAGTTAATGTTTCTGGCCCTTATTTGGGTTCTCTGCTTAGCTAGAAGTTCATTAGCCCTCTAGCTAGTTAGCATTGGTTGGACATGTATCTGTGAAAGATGTGATTTTTAATGTAGTTAGTGCACGATTATTTTAAACCCCTGCATGATTTGAGAAATCAGCTGCTGTTGTACTGAGGACTTGTGGTCATGTAGTTAGCTAGCCACTGTAGTTAGCATGCTCGACTCGGAGCTGTGCACGTTAGCACCATATTGCTAGCTTGCTTTGTAGTAACTTATAGCTGACGTTGACCGCACCCAACAATCATGGGCTTTAAGACTGCTTAATACTCATTTTATTAAAATAAGGAGTACTCGCACGCGTGTGAAGTTCTCGGTGAAGCGACGCTAACCTAGCTAGGTTAGTTAGCTCCAGGCCTATTTCCAAAATAAAGACTCTTACTGTATCGACTGTCAGGCTGTAACGTTATAGCTTAGAAAAGTCGTTGGTGATTTTAACCGCTCGTTACCAAGAAAGAATATTTACTGAGACGAGAATATGGCTTTTCCAGCGCCTGTTTGGCTCACAATACCACTTTGCTGCATTATCTCTTTGTTGTCGCTGTTGTTGGCGCCAAATAACCTGCTCAGCCGGTAAACGGCACAAGCTACCAGTTAGCTTTGAACATTTATTAACACAAAACTAATCACTTCTGACTTCTAAAGCCTAAATCCGCCCACAATTCCTTATATTTTACGTGTTTCGACAGAAGCCTGTGTGATATGAGAATCATCACTGATCATTTAGAGCAAGATACGTTTGTTGTGGGTTTTTTTTTAAATTCCCATTAGTAAAAACTTTCTGGCAAAAAGCTACATTCTTTGAAGTTCCTTAATACGATGTGTTTCTTTTGCAGATGGACGCCAGGAGCGTGTTATGTTTGATAAAATTACCTCACGTATTCAGAAGCTCTGCTATGGACTCAATAGTGACTTTGTTGATCCTGTATGTATAAGTAGTTTCACCTTCTAATAGTGAACTTAATGTTTAAGATTTTTGCATCTTTATGAATTACTCATTGTCAGCACAATATTTTGACAGTTTTAAACAGTCTGTCTGTTGTTGTTGACTTTTCCAACAGATATTTTAGGATTTGTTTATTTACTTATTAGTGTATTTTTTAAATCAACTCATGGATATTTGTACACTTATGTTTACAGACTCAAATCACAATGAAGGTGATCCAGGGCCTGTACAGCGGTGTGACCACTGTTGAACTGGACACACTGGCTGCAGAGACCGCTGCCACCCTCACCACTAAACACCCTGACTATGCCATACTGGCAGCCCGCATCGCTGTTTCCAATCTGCACAAGGAGACCAAGAAGGTCTTCAGTGGTGAGTAATTTTATGTGACTAACTTGGAGGAGAGGGTGTACTTTTCCTCCATTTATGGTGGGCATTAATAATTTTTTAACCTTTTTGCAGATGTTATGGAGGACCTCTACAACTATGTGAATCCTCTGAATGGGCGACACTCACCAATGATTGCTAAGGAGACCCTCGACGTCATCTTGGCTAATAAGGATGTAAGAGAGCTGAATAATCATTAGTTTTGTGTTTCTTTAAAGTTATTTAGTCTAAATGGTCTTGCTGTGTTCTGTCCACAGCGCCTCAATTCAGCCATCATCTACGACAGAGATTTCTCTTACAACTTCTTTGGCTTCAAGGTAGGTTGAGTCTTTGCTGGTAGTCATATTGAATATTTTAAATGCAATCTGCTCACAGAAATTAATGAATTGAATTTCACAGTAATCCTGCATACGACCACTGAAATATGCCTTGTTTCTTTAGACTTTGGAGCGGTCATATTTGCTTAAGATCAATGGAAAAGGTATGTGAAATAAAAACATTATGCTTCTCTGGTAAAAAGCAACAAATGTTAATTATCCCTCACTTTGTTGCACACTTTGTGAGCAGTTGCAGAGCGGCCTCAGCACATGCTGATGAGAGTAGCAGTTGGGATCCATGAAGAGGATATTGCTGCTGCCACTGAGACCTACAACTTGCTGTCTGAGAAGTGGTTCACTCATGCTTCTCCTACACTCTTCAATGCAGGCACCAACCGGCCTCAGCTCTCCAGGTATACACCAGAGGGGGTAACACATAGTTGCATTACATAGTTTGGGCATAAGGGGGCAGTTTGACTAAAGAAATGAACACAAATTCCAGGATTTAATGAGGTGACTTGTGTGGTGTTATTTTTTTTATTATTATTATTTTTTTATTTCATTAAGTCTTTAATGTCCCTTCAAGTCAACACCATTATTACACAATTGATGTGCGGTACTTGGGCCAAGCTTCATTCTGTTGCCTCGCTTTGGACAAAATTTAGTCCTGGGGCTAAGAATCCCCACAGATATTTGTTACGTTTTTGTAGCAGTTTCTAGAGTTTATTAATGAGTGTAGTGACTCCAGGTAAAGTTGAATAACACTCAGTTCATGCAGTATGTTTTGTTTTAAGAAGTGTTTGTCTTTGTTTGCAGCTGTTTCCTGCTCGCTATGCGAGATGACAGCATTGAAGGTATCTATGACACACTGAAGCAGTGCGCCCTGATCTCTAAATCTGCAGGAGGCATCGGTGTGGCCGTGAGCTGCATTAGAGCTACAGGCAGCTACATTGCAGGAGTGAGTCAGTTTACCCAGATAACCTACAATTGCAAATCATTAATTCCTCACAAAGTAAATGGAAATCTAAAATGGAATCTATAAAATTCTCAGACAAATGGCAATTCAAACGGATTGGTTCCTATGCTCCGTGTCTACAATAACACCGCCCGCTATGTTGACCAGGGAGGAAACAAGGTGAGACAGATGCTTTCTCACAAACGAAATGTTTTGTTTATTGTATGTTTGTGTGTACCTTTTTGGAGAGTTGGGTAAACCATCTCATAAACCATCTTCACCTGTCTTTTCTCAGAGGCCTGGAGCGTTTGCTATGTACCTGGAGCCTTGGCACTTTGACGTCTTTGACTTCCTTGAGCTGAAGAAGAACACTGGTAAAGAAGAACAGAGGGCGAGGGACCTGTTCTATGCTCTCTGGATCCCTGATCTCTTCATGAAGAGAGTGGAGACCAATGCAGTAAGTGCAGTGCTTAAGGCAAAGCACTATAGATTTATTAATATTATGTACTATAGTATTACGTTAAGGCACATGTGGGTATTCATGTAGCATTTCAGATTGGGATTGTGTTAGGGAACACTTGTCTCTAGTGAGTGGTGCTTTAGGTCACAAAAACAGATTCTGTATTAATGTTTAGATATCCTTTATAATCACCACCTCAAGTCTGTCTGTCTGTCTGTCTCTTATTCATGCTCACTTGTATATGTGCACTTTTTAGGAATGGTCTCTTATGTGCCCAAATGACTGTCCCGGTCTGGATGAATGCTGGGGAGAAGAGTTTGAAAAACTATATACTAGGTAAAATGTTATACATTTCTATGGCTTATCTACTGGATTGATGTCTTCTAGTTATTTGCATATCAAAGGGGTGATGTTTGTCATTCTAAATTAATACAAATGTACTTTATGAAGAATACTACGTGTGTATCCTTTTGTTTGTAGTACTATGTTCTTGTCATCCCTGATTTTCAGATTTTTCAACTGATCAAATGTTTTTATGGCAGATATGAAAAAGAGGGCAAGGCGAAGCGTGTAGTGAAGGCTCAGCAGCTGTGGTATGCCATTATTGAGTCTCAGACAGAGACTGGAACTCCTTACATGCTCTATAAGGATGCTTGCAATAGGAAAAGCAACCAGCAGAATCTGGGCACCATTAAATGCAGCAACTTGTGCACAGAGATTGTAGAGTACACTAGCAAGGATGAGGTGAGGTTTTATTTTTCTTGAATAGTGTCAATGATCACAGATTGGATTTTGTTTTTCTATATATACAAAAGGGGAAATAATGTTATTTTTAATCTTAATGTTTACATTTGCAGGTAGCTGTGTGTAATCTGGCATCCATTGCACTTAACATGTATGTCACAGCTGAGAGGACATTTGACTTTAAAAAGTTGGCATCTGTTACAAAGGTCATTGTAAGGAACTTGAACAAAATAATTGATATCAACTATTACCCAGTCGTTGAGGTGAGTTACCTTTTTGTATTTTAATTTTAGTTTTTGAAGTTCATCAACCTTGTGATTTGTAGACTCTCACATTGTATCGTGCCCTTTTCTTCTCTCCCCCTTTCCACAGGCGGAGAGGTCCAACAAGCGCCACAGGCCCATTGGTATAGGAGTGCAGGGGCTGGCTGATGCCTTCATCCTCATGCGGTTCCCTTTCGAGAGTGCAGAAGCTCAACTCCTCAATACGCAGATCTTTGAAACAATCTACTATGCTGCCTTGGAGTCCAGCTGTGAGCTGGCTGCTGAGCATGGCCCATATGAGACCTATGCTGGATCCCCTGTTAGTAAGGGTGTAAGTGTCTAAACCACAACACCACTCAACAGACTGTGAATGAAAGGTGAAGTTCAGGTGCATCAGTGCTGACCAAAAAAAATCTGCTCCCTCTTAATCTTTCAGATGATATTTTTTTCCACTTGGTGTTTGTTTATTAGTTGGTATTTGTTCAGTATTGTTAGAGCTTTAAAACTTTTATTCTTAATATTCACAGATCTTGCAGTATGACATGTGGGACAAGACCCCAACAGACTTATGGGACTGGAAGGCACTGAAGGAGAAGATTGCCAAGTAAGTCAAATCTTCAGTAGATCTCTTTATGCCACATGTTTGAAGACCAAAATGGCCTAATTGCAGTTTTGCTTTGGTTTATTTGCAGGCATGGTGTACGGAACAGTTTACTGCTGGCACCCATGCCTACTGCTTCCACAGCACAGATTCTGGGCAATAACGAGTCCATCGAGCCCTACACCAGTAACATCTATACACGCAGAGTACTGTCTGGAGAGTTTCAGGTACAATGAGTCACCTGCAGTCACTCCTGTCTTCATATTATAAATCAGTCAAAACATCAGTCACATCTATTGTGCATGTGTTGCTTTGAGTTGTTGTTGTTGTTGTTGTTGTTGTTGTTGTTCCTATTAAATGAAGCAGGTGTTAGTCAGACATGACAGATGCATCATTGATACTCTTGGGCACAGTTGATCTAGAAGTCATTCCAAAACGCAATACAAAGTTATTTTTTGTTCACTTTGTTTTTATTAATAGGACCTGAATGCTCTACATATGCCATCATTAATGATAACATTACAGGCAACTAGTTTGTGGAGGTGAAGCAAGTGTTTCTTTACAGATGTGAAATGCCATGTTTTATTGTGCTGCAGCATGTCAAAATAAAAGCCTTTCTTAACAAAGCAAGATGGTGCATTTAAAATAAAAGCCCTGTGCACATGGGCCTTTTTTTCCTGTTGTGCTTCAACAGCAGACTTTTACATTTTGTCAATTTAATGTAGGCTAAAAAAATGAACTCAAATATAATTTTTGGATGATTTTGTGAGTCTAATCACTCTAATTAGAAGTATATGGTTGAAATACTTAGATGAAATTATTTTAAATCATTCGCAAGATTTATTAAAATACATGTATCATGTTTGGAATGAACTCTCTAATTGTAATAGCAAATTTTAAGTATTTTTAAATTGAATTCAGATTGGCACTCTGATATCCTGAGTTCACATGTTTAAATCAGGAAGGAAAATCAAATCAGTGCATTACTAATTTTGTTAATGCTCATTCTTTAGATTGTGAATCCTCATTTGCTGAAAGATCTCACAGAACGAGGCCTTTGGAGTGAGGACATGAAGAACCAGCTGATCGCTCATAATGGATCGATCCAGGTTGGTATATTAGATTGGCAGATAATTTCACTATAAGAACGTCACTAGGAAAAAATACCTAAAACAAGTAAAATTTGTTTAGAAATGGTGAATCTTTTTCTTACAATGATCTCATAATGAGAAACTGTTGTATTGACTAGATTTAGGATGTTTTGACTTGTTTTTATCATATTTTACAGTATAATGTCTGACAACACTAAGTTGCAAAAATGGAAGTCTTGTGTTTTATCTATTCCATCTGACTTTCTTGGTGGGCTTTATTTTGTAGGGTATCCCCACAATCCCAGATGACCTGAAAGAGTTGTATAAGACTGTGTGGGAGATTTCTCAGAAGGTGGTCCTTAAGATGGCTGCTGATAGAGGGGCTTTCATTGACCAAAGCCAGTCCCTCAATATCCATATCGCTGAGCCCAACTATGGCAAGCTCACTAGCATGCACTTTTATGGCTGGAAGCAGGTAAGTTAAACACTGTGGGTCTACAGAGTAATATGATGGTAGAATGGTTGAGCCAGGTGTGTAACTGAACTTGTGTAACTCTTCCTACAGGGGCTTAAGACTGGTATGTACTACCTCCGGACAAAGCCAGCTGCAAACCCTATCCAGTTCACTCTAAACAAGGAAAAGCTAAGAGAGGCAGAAGCGACCAAAAGCAGTGAAGAGGTCAAGGAGCGGAACAAAGCTGCTATGGTGTGCTCTCTGGAGAATCGTGATGAGTGTCTAATGTGTGGCTCTTAAATACTTTTTCCTGCTCTTCCTCGCCCCAGTTCCTCTTGTCCTTGTCATGTTGATTACATTTATAAATAACAACCATCTACAGGTGTTTTTTGCAGTTATTGTATCATCTGTGGACCACATTTTTTTTAAACTGATATGCAAACAAACAGTATTTCACGAGCTTTTGTGGCACTTAAGTGTTTTGTCTGAATTTTTACAAAAACGCATCAAAACGTCTGGCTTGGTTGGGACTGTTCGGTATGGACATACATCATTCTTGCTGTCTTCTTTTTAGTGCTGTATATATGCTTGTCTATAATCCCAGATATAACTGTACTCAGTCTCCATATTTATTTCTCTTGGGTGTACTGCCTAACAGTTCTGTACATTGTGATTAATATTTTCATTGTGATCTTGGAATGAATGCATTTTGAATGTCAGGAGTACAAGTAATATCAGAAGCAGCCTGGGTGCCTTTTTATTTACATATAGATCCTGTACTATAAAATTTCTAATCTGTAAAGAATTTTGTTTTTACATATTAAAACAATAAAATTTCTTTGTACAAAAAAAAAAAATTGGGTGGGCAGGGTAGTCTTTTTCCCTCTGAACAAACGCAAAGGTTTTATTAAATGTTCTTGGTGTCATTTAAAGTGGGCTTTGTGAAAGTTCAACCCAAGTCTTGCAGCAGTTTTGCCCTTAAGCTTCACACAATTGTCAAATAATCTGGATAATCAAAGCAACTGCATGTATGAGAGCAACTGATAACTAATAATTTTGGACTGGTAATGAATAATAATGCTGAAGCCTTTTGCTCTTTTAGGGGATTTTGTGCTTTCTCTCCAAAAAAAAAAAATCTCAATCAAATGTATGGCTCTCTCTACAAACCCCTCAATCATATGTTTAAGTGTTACAATGTTGTACAGCATAATATAAATTCATTGATTACTGTTATCAAGTGACCCTAAAAATTTGCAAAAAAAAAAAAAATCACAAGAATGCAGATCCAGCTGAATCATAAAAATTAATTAGACCATAGCCATTCAGTAAATCTGATCAAATTAGATTTGGCACAATCATTTGATCACAAGAGACAAGAAACTGTTGGTTGGAGGATATTTTATCTGAGTATATCACCCGGTAAATCAGAAGCACAGGTGTGGTGCTTTTACTCAGGCCAGGAGAAGTGAAGCCCCTGGTGATATATTAATTAATAATCAAGGGACCTTTTCAGGACAGCCCAGCTGTGTGTTACAAACAGCAGGTGTTAAACAAGCTGCAACCTGTACGCAGGCCAAGGGGACAATTACAGCTCTCACTCAACAAAACCTGCAACTGTTTCACCATTTAACTCTTTCGTTTCTTTAGTTGGGGTGGAAAAAAGGAATTATACATTAATGTTAAAGATTGAGGTGTTTATTCATATCATTATTCAGCAGTTTGCACATTTTCTACAATATTCCCATAATATACAAAAACACAAGAAATTCTTTATCAAGTGCTTGATTAAGAGGAACTGTAAGTATTGAGCCATAGTATATTGTTTATTTTGGTACACTTTGCATGAGAGATTTTTACACTTCTAAAGATTTTTTGACACTTCTAAACGTTCAACTGGTAGTAACAGAAGAGTTTCAGGTAACTGACGTGTTTTTGTTTGTTTTTCTTTTCTTGTGTGTACACACTGCCTGTCAAAAGTTTGGGGACACCAAGCCTTTTGAAACATTTTTATGAACATGCTTTTCATGAGTTCACACTAACTTAACATTAAAGACGTACAGGTTTGTTTTGAGGACAGCAATATTGTGTTTCCGTATTTGTGGCAATAAATATAAAATCTGTTCATTAGGAAAAAAAAAACCTAGCAGCTTTAACTGCTGTACACAATTTTGTCATAATAACACCAAGCATCCCTCAAAGATGCTCTGCCATGGCTTTTCTGTCTTGTTCTGGGACATCCTAGAGCTTTGTGGAGCTATTTGGTCAGCTATCTCAAACCTTTTAAACTCCTCCCTCCTCCTTTTAAAAGCCTCTTTCCTCTCCAAATCATTTTTCTCACTTAATTGAAAAGTCATAATGAAAGTCCAACATTCTTCAGGAAACAGAGAAAGAAAGAAAAGTTTCCTTAAACTTTGTATACATGCAGTAAATTTAAATAATGTTAACATTTTTATTACGCTCATTTATAGTAAGATCATTTTAGAACAGAATAATAAAGCTAGCAGATTGTTGAAGTTATTAAGGGCTGTTATCTGAGAGTTCTAGTTCTTGAGATCCAAAGCCAGTGTCATGTGAGTCGCTGCTGTCAGTGGGAGAAGCTGCCTTGTTCCCTTTGAAACCTGAAATCTCTTGTCCGTTGTTTCTTTCCTCTATTTGCTTAGCCATAAAACTTACAATCCCAGTTCTTCTCTCAATTACCACATTTACTTCAGACATGTCAAACTCCTCAGATGTCCCTTCATTAGCTCTCCCCTCCTCCATCTTCTTTGTCTCATCCTCTATCTCACCCTCTCCATCTCCACTTCCAGTCTCTTCCTCACCAGATAAACTGTTCTTCATATCTACCACTGTCTGATCACCACTGGCCTCCTCCTCACTGACTTCTGTGACGTTGTCCCCTCCTGCGTCTTTCTGCTCCATACTCTCAGGTTCCAGACCAGGGTCTTCTTGGTGTACATTCACCAGTAGAGGTGTGCTTTTACTTTCTGATGGTCCGCTGCTGCCAAAGTCCCGAAAGTTGTTTTTGGCCCCCCTTATGTACTTCCCCAGCACGGAGGAGGAACTTCTCTCTGAAGGATCCATTTTGGCCTCTTCTATGTCTAACAGGGTCTGGTGAATTTGCTTCATCTCAGCATGCAACCGTCCAACTACTTTGCTAAGCTCCGTCACCCGATTTCCAACATCTACAAAAAAGGCGTATAGTATGGCGTTAATATTGTGACAAAAGTTTTAAATATAATAATAAAGTCCACAAGCAAATTTCTAAGTATCAAAACCTCACAAATATGAGGAGAGTTAAATCTAAATTAATTTTTCAAAAAGATTAATACTCATTTTCATTCATTTTTTCCTTTTTGCTGATTTTACTGATACATATTTTGCTTCTGGTATCGTTCTTTTACTTCTGAAATCTTACTTTGCATCTAACTTGTGGCCAATAGAGAGTACAGGTGAACGCCTCTTCTAAGACTTAACATTTTGCTTGTGGATTTAATTATTTTATGTTAAAATTTTGGCACTAAATTAACTTGATATATAGCAACACTTTTTAAACTTTAACTTTTTAAATGTTTTTTTTTAATCAAATGAATAATACACAAGTGGCTTAAGCTGGGACCCTGACCAAACAGCAGTGGACAGCAGCAGTCAGGGAGATCTATGGGATAACTCATAAACTGAGACTCAAACAAGAGGAAAGTCAAAAATGCTATTATTTATGGACTGTTTATGTTCAAATTATAGAATTTACTTTATTTCTTTTAGGTAAATTCTTTGTAAAGATGGGTGCCTATGTATTACCGTACAGCATTTCTTAGTGAACAGATATGACGAACAGTGGTCCCAAAAAGTATTTGGATTTAGGTTACTAAAATGCTTAACAAAATGACATTTGTTTCAGAGAAAAACACTTTCAGCACATCATCAAACTGATGTTGGACTCTTTGTGTGGAGAAAGCCTGAGAATTCTTCTAACGAGGAAACGTCAAAGTCTGATTCTGGTTTTCTTACATGAAGCGTACAACTGTATTTTGGATGCAAACCTGCAGAAGTCTGCAAAGAAAAATACTCGATAAACGGTAACAATCAGAAAAACACCAGTCGCCTTTTGAAAGAATGCTTTGTCAAAAAAAATTTATGCTACTTGAAATGTTGTTTTCTAACACAATGAACATTTTTAAGTAAGGCACTTACACTCCAATTTCTTTTAGGGGCAAACAAGCATGGTTTTTTTTTTTTTAACTGTTGTATTTCCTGTTTTGGATGCTGACAAAAGAGGTTTTGTTGGAACTGTTAAAAACTAATACTACTAGTAAGTTAACCTCATAATGTTCTTTTTTAGCAATTGCATAGAAAACGGTGCCAATGGCTGAGTTACTGTTAAGTTACATGCATGAGAAATATAGAAGTCTGGACCCACCAATGGGTCAGCAAATATTATGGGTTAAAAAAAGTTTTTCCACCTTCTCTAGGACACTCCCTAAACCCCCCCCAAAAAAACACAATAATAGTAAATATGCCTTTTCTATCATACCTTTGCGTTTTGTTTCCTCAAACTCCCTCCTTGCAGACTCAATGTAGCGCTGCACCAGAGCACGAATGACTTGCTGTCTGTAAGACATTTTCTCATCTACGCCTCCATCATCCTTCATAGACACATTTGACTGCACAATCAGAACAACAAGCCTTTTGCAGCAGACAATTTTAGTGATATGCAGAGTCTAAACAAAGTGCCTGTTTGGAAATAAACTCACCATAGAGGCAATAGGTGGATAGTCTGGGGTTGAATTAAATTTGCAACAGCAGCAGATTCTTCGGAAAATTCCTCTAGAAATAAAAATAACACAGAAATGAGAACTCTGGAAATCTCTTGGCTTGTTTTGTTTTAATAACAAGCGAGAGAGCACTGGAGCTAAAAATGGTTAACTTACCGTATGAGGTAGAAGAAAGCCTTTGGTGAGGGAATGATGTTGAAGGGGACAGGCATAGTGAGGCCCTCTCTGAAGTAGCTAAGATACAGCTTAGAACGGGCAAACTTCCACTCCACATCAGCATCATCCTACAGGGGATGGTCAATAAAGAGAAACGGGTGGATTTTGAATTAATTTATAGAAAGAACAGGGCTATTCTGTACAAACGGCATTTCAAAGTGGCCTCAGTAAGCTTACCTCAATCTTCTGGAAAGAGTTTGTGATCATGGCAATGAGCATGTTCAACAGCACAATGACAATGAGAAGCGTGAAGATACCATAAAGGATTCTACCCACGAACTCCGCCACAACAAAATCAGGCATATCCACATACTCCTTGTTGACGACACCAAACATTGTCCAGAACAGGAACTGGAAAGTCTCATTAAACCTGGTAAGGATGTATCGGTTTCAACTTCAACACAGAAACCAACATTTTAAATTTATGAACAAAACTGATACTTTTAATATTAGATCAGACCTTCCAAGCTGAGGAGAGATGACATAAGGAACGTAGATATTGTTGATTCCACACAGAAAGGCTGTACCGATGATCATCAGAATAAACAAGAACCTGGAGAGAAAGAACATCCCATTCAAAATGGCAAAAAACTGAAAAGTACTTTTTGCTGAGCAACAACTCAGCACTGTTTGAGGCAAGTGTGTAATGACTTAGTCATGCATTTGTATGTTACTAACTGGCAGCTAAAACCTTCAATTACTTATGAGGTACATTAGCCTTGTAGCTCCAGTGCAAAACTAAAGAAGCAGACTTCATACACCAGACATGTTTTGAATGACTGACAGCATTAACATCATTCAGTTCACTGGTTTATCCTCCAGCAGTGAAAACTGCACTCTACTGTATTTCTACCTTATCATGTCATCAATCATCTTCCCCATAGAGATCTGCAGGGTTCCCAGAGACTCTTGTGCAGGCAAGATGTAGGCTAGACGTGTGAAACTGAGCATGCTGGTCACGGCAAAAAGCACTTCGGCTATCAGCTGAGGATCCTCCTGGCGCCAGTCATCACGCACTACAGATAGTAAAGATGCAGATAAGAGTGATGCTGTTATTTCACTACATATACAGAGATCATATATAGAGAGAGGCCTTTTGGGGCTAAATGAGCCAACTGTGAGGGTAGGCTGAAAATGAGTGGGTAATTCCAGAAATATTAACCCCTTGAAGGGTCTGTATATAGGCCCACACCTTAGTTCCTCACTCTCATAACTAAACAACTTACATATTAGTTTCATAGTAGTAACTGAATAATGTAATAGTACATTACATTAATTAGATGAATAAAACATTAATAACCTGATAATAGTCTAGGGCTTGAAGGGTTAGGAATACAATAAATTTGGCAGTCAAAAATAATCTCCAAAACCTTTTTTTGTAGTGATCACTGATACTAAAAAATGAATGCAAACATAGTAAACAGTGCTTCAGCATTTGAGTAAAGGTTAGGTTTTCATTCCAACCAAGCAGGAGCACAAGTTGTTGTTTTTCCAGTTGTTTAATTCTCAGTCTTCCAAGTCTTCAAACAACTGATTAGTTGTACCAGGAGTGTTTCTGTATGGTTGAAATAAAAAGCTTAAGCCACATTATCCCTTTGCAGATAAGACTATTTTGTGGTTTTCCTTCCTTAAGAGAACAGATTTGTCTCTTTAAATACACAAAATACAGTCACTAAATATTACTGTATTAAATATTTGCAACTCAATTTTTTTGCCTGCCAGTGTATATTCACCACCTGTAGTGGACTGATTGTTTCTGGTTATAGTCTTGTGGGTGCAGACATAATCTTGTAATGAGAACTTCTGGGAACAACCATGAGAAATTTTGGGCTAAGTGTTGGTGGGAACAAACTGAGTATGAAATTTCTAAACCAATCAAATGCCTCGTTGAGGCGGAGCTCAGAGCAGTGGACGATGGTGCACTCGTCAATACTGTCCTACAGACAATAAAGTCCCTCACAAGTCTGAGTGAAGTAGACACATTCCTCTTCAGTTCCAGGTGACAGACAAAGGAAGTGGCCTTTGAGCATGATGACCACTCGCAGGGTGAAGGCGGCCAAATACATGCTGAGCACCATCATATCCAGACAGTTCCACAAATCCAGGAAGTAGCTCCGCAGCCCCTCGATCCACACCTCCTTACATTCAAACCAGAAGAACCCTAAAAAAAATGATGCACTAAGGATGGCACTGTACATATATGTGTTATACTTAATGTAATTATTGTGATCTTTTCACCACAAATGGAATCTATGTGAACACTACTCACTTATCACACTTGTGGTGCTGTAATGAAGGAAACATGGATGTCAGGTGATGGAGAAATGAACCTACCAGCGACCCACACCATATGGAAAGAGTTGTGCAAGATGTTCGGCTGCCTGGATGCAAATGAATCCCGATACATCTCCATGGTGAGAGATTCCCCTAACAATGTGATGAGGAACCACAAATAGGAGGCAGAGTGAAGGAGGAATTTGATCACTGGAATCTTCAAAATCTTCCCCACCTAAAATAAACAACACAACATGAATAACATTTTCCACTTTGTTTATAAAACCTGCACAATAACCTTTATTATGTAAAAGAAAAGATTGTTGGTTTAAAATGAAAAAGTGCCATGAAATTATTTTGTCAAAGCATTGCCTGAATAATTTTGATAAATAATGGCACTGTGTATTATTTCAACACTGCAAAATAATCGTGATGATCATTTTAGCCCTAAGGCTCAGAGGAGGGCATGACAGACTCCACTGCTAGTCTATATTCTTTTGCCATTTTTGCCTCCACAACATAAATTTAACTACAGACTCTCAAACTCCAAACGAAGGTTCAAATATTTATCCTCGTGTGACTCCAGAAAATGATGAATACATAAATGTATGATGCAAGGATACATGTTAGCAGTCACCACTAGCTAACTAAAGCCATATGTTTGTTAGGCCAGCTAAAATCGTGACACTGACCACCACAACAAATTTTTATTAACAGCCAAATGTATGTGTTTTAATACCTTTGACTTTGGTGCAATCCAGTAGATGAGGCAGAGGAAGGGCATGGTGAGAAAGATCCCCATAGACACTAGGAGTTTCCAGGCTGTCCTGCTGCCCCTCCAGCCTGGCAAGTTTCCACACCAGATGGAGGAGAGCACTTGCTGGCAGATTGGGTGGGCTACAAACTGGAGATATGCAAGTCAACATATAATATTGGTTAATCCCTTAAAATCCCAGTCTTGTTACATACTAATGCTAACCATACACTAGAAGACTTTGAAAAGACTTTTGAAAGACTAAAGTCTGACACCCTCTCACATCTAGAGACAGTGTCACAGTTTTTCATCACACATTATGAATTTTGAAAAGACAGGAAATCTTGCAGTGTCACTATTTACAAGACTGCAACTAGACTTTTGAGATTATTTCCCATCATGCACCTGGTGGAAATATACAAGCAGAGAAACCCTTTTCCTTCCACTCTATAGTGGTACAGATGGGAAGATACATTGGCTGAGCATGTAAAGATCTGGGGCTCAGCCCAGTTCACTGTAGGACTGTATATTCTGGTCAGATCATCACCCAGAATCTTTTAACTAACCTGTAAAATGTGCAGTTACTTTTTTATTTAACATAAAGATTTACACATCAACACAACATGCAGCGAATCAGCCTTGTTGATTGGATATTATGCACTAAACCATAAAAAACAGTGTAACAGAAAGCAGAAAAGAAAAAACGGCAATGATTCTTCAATAATGCCATTCTTAAAGTCCTGAAATATTAAAGCAGTCACTTTATATTTTAAGTTATGTGATTATTGTATTAAAGTTGAGCAGATTTGCCGTTTTTACAGAGATTTCAGGCACTCACACGTACATTCTCTCTCTCTCTATCTCTCTCTCTCTCTCTGTCTCTCTCTTTCTACCGCGCCGCGCGCATGCGCTAGCCCGCAAGCACTCACGCGCGTCACTATTTTCATGAGCCAAGACTTAAAGACTCTCATGATTTTGTCCCGACATGGATATTTGTCTGCGACAGTGAATTCGCTTGAAAAGTCGTTTGGTGTAAGGCCAGCATAAGGCTTATTACTTAGTAACTGCAAGGACTTCAACTGGCTAAGCTATTCTTAGATTACAGAAGTGTGTAACAAAACTTTGGGCCCACCCTGGCCATTCAAGGGGTTAAGCTTTCTACATACATATTCAATATACACTGACTCTGTGAGCATAGTTTGCCTAATTATGATAGTTTCAATATCTTAGTGCTCAGCATGTGAAGAACCAACAGAACCAGTTGGAAAAGCCTGCCTGTTTCTGGTTGTAGTTGACAGCAAGTCGCAGACGGGCCAGGTTTGGTATGCCTTTCTCAAATGCTTGATCATGAAACTCGTCCTCACTGTCCTCATCGTCAACCCCAGAGCTGTTCAAAATGGTGGTGACCTCACTCTGATTCCGGCACATTCCCAGCAATTCCACAGCGAACTCCTGACACAACTCCTCAAGGGCAAGATACTGAGGCTGAAAGAGGTAACAGACCATGACTTACTACTACAGTGCAAAACATTTACATCTGAAATCCATTTAAATGAACTGAAAGAATCTAACAGAGGCTAAAAGAGGCTAACAGAGCTTTATAAACATCAGCCACAAGTTAAACTGAATGAAGTTATGTCTGGATGCCTGGTCATGGCTCTGTGAGACACATGTAATTGCACTGATATTCTCTACCATGGCATAACTTCAAAATGACTGACGAGCCCTGTCTGACCTTAAATTCAGGCTCCTTCTTGGAGAGTTTACGAAGGTCACGGCTCAGATGGAAGGCGCTGAGCATGGCATCCTCAGCGGTAATAGACAGGTAGGCCCTGCTGGCGAGGCCACGGTAGGTGTTAATGCGTGACAGGGAGAACTTGAGCAAGTCATACTGGCGGCCATTGCGGCACTCCAGGCAAGCGCAGGAGACCTTGTGTGGCCAAGGGATGACGTGGCCTTTCTGTGTAAGCATGTTGACAATATCGTACAGATCCTTCTGGCAGGCCAGCGTCAACGGGGTCACTCCAGGGGCGAACTGAGAGTCGTCAATAGAATGGTCAAAAATGGCCTGGGAGAAAGAGCGCACGTCCATCTTGTTTCCTTTTTCTTGATCCAGTCGGTCCAGGAGGCGCTTCACGATGCGAGGCTGGTTGGTATCCACTGCCACCAACAGAGCTTCATGGATTTGCCGAAAATCAAACTTCACCCCCTGAAGCAGAGCGCCCATTGTGTCCTCGTTGCCCAGCCTGATGGACAGGTTCAGAGCTTCTCTCCATTGTCTGTCCTCAGACTCCTCCAGCTGACGGATGATCCCATCCCCTGTCTTCAGGAGCCCACTAATCATGACCATGTTCCCCTCCTGGATGGCACTGATGAGCTCTGGGGGGAAACGCAGCTTCTTGTTCACAATCTCCCTCCATTGCTCTGGCTGGAAGATAGTAGAAGGCTGTTACTGCTAATCCAAGCATTACACCTAACATCGAAAATACAGTCCCACCAGGATTTCGCTGCTATTTTTGTGACTGTTGCAGGCAAAGTGTGATTTTTCTAAAATGTGTGGCAATATTTACATTATGTTTTTGTTTTTATTGATTGATTTGGGGGGGGGGGGGGGGTAAGGGTTAAAACTGGTTGGTGATGATGATTGTGATATATTTCTTCAGTTTGTTTTAAATGTGGGCAAGTTAAAAGTTAAATGAGAACATACACAATCAGAATAATATCTATTATTCCGAGTCTGTATGTTCTCATTGTTGTATGTATATATATATATATATATATATATATATATATATATATATATATAATGTGTGTGTGTATGTATAGATACACACACACACAAATCTTTATAAAGCCTTGATTGATCCTTCAGTCAAATATAAAAAAAAACATGGTGAAAAGAAGTAAAATAAGGTGCTCTCAAACTACAGTATCTGAGCTATACCTAAAAATAATTAGCAAAATGTTGTCTTATTAAAATGTAATATAATAATAATAATGATCATCATTAAAATTGCCATTATGATCACTAATAATAAAATTATCATTTAATTAAAATGTCTAAAAAGCAGGATTAACAATTATATATGCTACAAATAAATCCATGGACTAGCAAACCCAACTCAACAACTAGCATTCATTGATTGTTTTGTAAGGATGCAAGAAAGCAGATCATGTTTAACCAATGTAACAGCTTCTCTTCTCTTACACATTTCAATGTCTATTACCTGTCTGCTGTCAAATTACAACACAGCAACAGGCACAGTCAGTTAAAACTCACTTACAAAATATTTGCTGATCAATGCCAAACAATAAAAAACTACTCAAACAAGACATTCTCTTACATGTGAACTCATTAATAACAGCCCCAAAATCATGAATAAACAATAAGGAAGTAACACTATTTTGTACTCATTTTTGTCAAGCTTTAAAGTAAAATTTCATTAATTTTATCCAAAACAATTTGTTTTTAATGTACTATTTGAACAAAAATGACATCTTACCGTGAGGTTTTCCATTATGGTAAAAAAAAAACTAGAAAAACAAACTTAAAACAATATTTCTGGAAAGCTGTTTCAATAAATCAATTCCACATGTCCAAAATCCACCAGAGACCTTATGAGCCTTCAAACCCAAGTTGAGACAGAAACAGTCATTCTTAGAAGCCTCTGTATCTGAACTGAATGAGTGTGAGTGGGTGCATCAGGATGACTCCAGCAGTTTGATGAAACTGAGGAGTTAACATGCCTGAATGGGTAAATTCACCTTCAATTACCTCACGAACCAAATAACAGCTTGCAGTCCCAGAAGGTCATAGCCAATTAAAAACAGACAGTATGTTTCACATGTGCTTATCTCATTAAGGTCCTTAGATCTCTTCTCCTTTTTCCTTCCACACACATTTCTTTCCTGGACAACCATTCGCCAATTGTGAACTAAAATCAGTCTGGCCAACTATACAAAAACAGAAGTTTGGTTTATTTACATTTCTTTTGGCAGTAAACAATACCACAAAGGAGAGAACAGCAGTTGAAACAGCATACATTTACATTGATACACTTCAATATTTTCCACAATGCCTTTGATTAAAACATTTCAGGTGTTGAATCATGTACATATGGACACCAAAAAAACAGTATAAAAAGAAATAGCACTAAAAAGTTTAAAATGTATTGCTGTCTTTCATATTCAGACCAATGTTTCCGTGGCCTATACATTGCTTCCCCCACGATACCAAATACTGTACATGAAAAGCACAGTGATGCTGATGTGTCTTCCGCTCTGTCCAAGGTATGTAAAGTTGCGTGCAAAATGCTTCAATCCTCATTATTTCATCAGCTACGCAGAAGCAACCACACTTGGATCAAATCATAACCCCAGAGACTCAGTCTACCCATACAGTATCACCACAGGCGCTGGCATGCTGCTCGATGCAGTCTATAGGGAACCTGAAGGAGCACAAAGGACACGGCACCATGAGGTCATCTCTGCTGGTACTAAAAGGTGGGGGAGAGGGTGAAGAGGGCATGATGTCTGTCTCTGTGTCGCTTGAGAGCCCAACTGAACTAGAATCCAGACACGAGGAAGCATGAAAAGGCAAATAAAGTGGGCTAAAAGACACTGTGTAGCAGAGAGACACAGGAACAGAGGGAAAATAAGAGTTAACAACTTAGGTAAAAAATAAATTATTTTAAAATTCTAAAAATAAAATATGCACCCACTTACCTCCACATATTGGGCATACAGACTCAGAAGGCTCTAGGTGGTCAGGAATGTTCTGTATAGGTGACCTAGCTGGTATAGGAGTTTTGACAGGGCTGTGTTTGAAAGTGCTCATTTCCTTCTTTTTGACAGTTCTGGTTGGTGTACTTATTTGTTGATGTTTAGATGACAAATTCTCACACTTGGATCTGGATCTCTTTGTAGAAGACATCATGCTTGCCTGCTCCTGCCTGAAAAACCATAATGCAGAAAGTCGTGTTATGCTGCATTGACACTGGTGTGTTGTGGCAGCAGACTTGAACACTTTCACTCTCTTCAACTGGCTGCTTATGAGGGTTACGAAAGTGTGAAATCTATTTGGAATAAATCTTGCTAATTTAATATTTATGCAATTAATGCATTGATTATTAACTTGGTTTGTATCATTAGGTTGATATTTTCCAAAACGTTGATTAGGTTAACACTAGACAAATTCAGGTTTGGGGAGCAGAGGTTATTGATTATTATTTGCAGTCAATATCAGTGATTTTAATGCATCCAACTAATCATCTTCCCTCTCAGATTTTGAATTCTAGAGTAAAAAGTTTAAATATTTGGGCTTTTCCCACTGTTCTTCGTTGTCACTTTTGTAAGCAGACTGAATGTTTCATATGCTGAGCTGCAGACACTAATCACACAAAGACCACGTCTTCTGATTCGGCAAAGGCATCACAATGGCTGGATTCATTCGCATAAGTTCAGCTCTGCTCAACTGTTTTGATGAACTGCATCCTCCAAATTCATTATGCACTGGGCAGCCGCATCGGACTGACATACCACTTCGCTTAGAAAACAAATGGGATCCTTTGTTCTGCATTGCTGCTCAACAAACAAAAATGCATCATGCAATATTAGGCATAATCCTGCAAAAATTGTTCACTTAATCTAAGCAGTGGAAAACTCTAGCCTTGATGCAATGGGGCTCAGATTTAACAAATCCAACAAAAATGATAAAGCCTGGTTTGGACTGGACAATGTGAGTCCCGTTTTGGTCTGTTTTTGCTGCTGCAAATGGATTTTCAGGACCATTAACAAAAGTCGTAAAACATATATAACTTTCAGTTGTTAGTTATAGGGAGAATTAATGATTAAGAATAATTGATTATGATTAAGCACAACTTCAACCTTTCTGATGTACTGAAAAGAAAGAAAGAAAAAAAAAACAGTTGTTGCAGATATTTTGATTATTGGTCATGTAGTGTGACTGACAATACCAATTAATCTCACTGACTGTGATAATTGTGAAAGCGAGTAAGTAAAAACTACCCATTCTTTTTTAAAAGACTGCTAAAATTATGCTCATTTTGACAGCTTACTACAACTGGATTAGGAGAAACTTTAATTTGTATTTTTCTCACTCTTCCAACTGCTAACAAATCCCAAAAGTTTTATTTTTCAAGGACAAACTGGTAATTGCCACAAGAACTGACCTCTTCTGTTGCAAATTGAATAACATGTACAAAACAGTTATAAACCACAGTCAGACATATTTTACCTTGTACATGTGTACGGTATGCAAAGATAACCATTCACAGTGGAAACATCCCTTGTGTATTATGACTGAGATTTAAGTAGTAGCTGTGGCTTGTTGGCTGTATGTGTTTTTTATTCATTTGGTGAATTCAGTACTTAAATTAACATGGCTTTACATTGCATGAACAATAACACACATACCTCATTTTTGACTTTCTTCTACGCTCTTGAGGAGTACTAGCTTTACCTGCAAGAGAAAAAAATCCACTTGAATGTGCCACTAAAAACAACATATTTGTCAGTCTCAAATGTGTTCTTACTAAATGCACTCATATGGCATGACAAGTGCTGCACTTACTAAGTTGTGTGTTCTCGCTCTTAGCTTCTCCCTGGATGGGATTGCTGCTGTGGGGTTCAATGTATAGAGACCGCTTGGTGGACTGGGCAGCTGTTACCATTCGCTCTGCCCTGCTCAAACTCCCATGTTTCCTTTGGTCTTCTGCTGGAGAGTTTTCTCTGAGAGTGACAAACATAAACATACTATTAGCATGCTAAGCAACCGTATCCCAGTTCTTCATTAATGAAACATTTATTCCATACTCACCCTGTCTTACGCCCAAAGAAGGTGTGCTGTACAGCAGGGCTGGTAAGCCACTCTCTCACAGACTGTATCTTATCTGGTGTGCCCTGTTAACCATTCAAAAGATTTCTGAGTTATACTCTTAAACACCAGCCCCAGCTTGCATAATCGCAGTGGTACCCTTCCAGCCTTTCACTTTTATATTCTTATAAAATCATATAATAATCAGTCAATCCTGACCTCCCCCGCAGATTAATCAACTAGCATATAATATATAACAGGATATTGCATAGGAATGAATGAAATTTCCTGCAATATCTCACCTGGTTTTCAGTGTCCTCCTGATGAGATGAAACCTCCTCAGTGTGTTCCTCTGCAGTGCGAAGGCGCAGAAAAAACAGGCCAAACTGAGAGCGTTTGTTGAATGGCTGAGTGCAGGTGACCCGCAGCCTGTCCCAGCTCTCCTCAGCAGCTTGAGGCAAGAAATCAGCTGAAAACGGACAGATTATGTAACCGTTACATCCCCTTCTGTATCAATCATACGTACAAAACTAAAACACTGTTTTTTTAAAACCTAAATTTGTGAAACTCTGTAGCTGAGTGATTTCATTAAGTATTACATTTAAAGTTTATATGTTAGAGGTGTGAATCCGTGACCTGCAAAATGTTTGATTTGATTGTGATTCTTTAGAAAACAATACAATATTTTGATAAAGTTTGATACAGATTATTTTGGTACAATCCAGAAATGTTTAATATTACATTGAGAATTACATTTATCTAATTTTTTTTACAGACTAAAAAAGTTGTGAAAGGTGTGTCTAGTTTTTTAGTGTTCTGCTGAAGTGATACCTTTTTTGAACATGCGCACACCCTGTCGGCCTTTGCCCTGTCGCGAATCAGCTGGACTCATCAGGGTTGCAGTGGGTAACAGTGTGACATAAGGATGGTCTAATGGCCATGAGGAGCGTCCTACATCCACCTGTATGAACGCAGAGCCACAGTTTCCTTAAAAATGACAAAACAAAAGAAATCCAGTTAGAGTAAATGCATAAAACTCTGAAGCATCACATACTGGTGGTGTCTTGCGTACCTGATGACTCAATAACAGTGTGATAACATTTTAACTACATTTTTGACAGCGACAATACCGACTAGTATTTCATCTGCAAAGTGCAGCGATATAAAATGAAAGGCTGTCAACACTGAACATTGTTGCATTCAGTACATTTTGCTCCAACTCAAAAGATGTCAAAATCCCTTAAAGGCAAATTCCACCGATTTTTAAAATTTTCTGCATAATCCCATACATTAAGATGCAAACAAAATTATCCAAAGTGAAGTCTAGGCAAACAGATGTCCAAAGAGTTTAATACCTCTAAAGTATACCTCACATCAAGTTATTCCATAAAATGGTTATGAGCCTAGTGAGGGGACGTATTGGTATATGCAGATTTACCATTTTCTTCAGTTTGTTGCCATTATCAACATTACATATAAAAACTCCACATATAGTAAACCAGTTCACTGTAGGTTCACTGGATAGCAAATAAAATGGCTATAATAACATTGCAGACCCCTGGTTACTATCACCACCATTATAAACGAATCTGAACCGGTACGTTTCTCTACAACGCACTGTTTCACACCAAACCACTCACAATGACGCTGTTTACATCTCAACCGTTGAATTAGAAAAAAAAAGAAAAATCGACGGAATTCCCTTTTCTTCAGTTTGAGTGTCAGTTACAATGGTCAAATGGGAAGTTATGTCAGGCTGTCATGTTTATGCTCATGTTCTAAAACAAAAGGCACCTACATTTATTTCTAGGACAGAACCAAGAGCCCCTCACCAACATCGATGAAGCCAACAGTAGAAGCTCTCTCCAGCTGCAGCTCTGCTTTGAGCACTCCGCTGCAGGCTTGTTTACCACACAGCCACGGCTTGCTAGCTCCTGTGTGCTCACAGAGATTCTCCACGCAGTTCTTGGGGTCCTGAAAAGATTTCATATTTTACTACGCTGGCATAATGTTATACTTAATTGTAAGTTACAACGTAACCCGTTTTTGACAGTGATAATATCGGTATCAAAATTCAGTGTTCAGATAGTTTTCCAGTAACAGGCTCATCGAAACTGACCTAACCTACAGCACCACGATAACAACTATAACTTCAATAAGTTTGGTATATTTTTTCGGTTACCTGCGACGTGAATGAGACAACGTGTTTAATTCTGATAGGTGCCATAGCAAAGACTGCTCGATTGGCTAGCAGAACACAAGATTATTTAAAAGTTGCACTCATGATAGTTCAATGAACGTTTAGCTAACTTATTCGAGCTCATTCACAGACGCTTCGTATCCGCTGCCATTTTCCCGCCTGTTGTATCAGCTGACTGTCTCTTAGCAACACTGCCCGCCTCGTCCGGTTTCAGGCGCCCTCTAGTGGCTCCGGGAGAAAAGACCACTGCGCCTGAACAACAAACGGGGAAGGGCTGAGCAACGCTGGACACAAACATGAACTACTCCAAAAATACATGTTTGTACTGCTTAATTTTTTCCTACTCTGTCAGTACGCGAAAATGATAAAAGAAAACGGTTAAAGTTAAAAAAAAGTTAAGACAGCCTTTGCGTTAAACAGCATCCAGAGAACTCTGGTCTGCGTCCAAAACCACATACTATACACACTACGCGTACTACACTAATGTATACCTAGCGGTGGTATGCTATTTTGACACATTATTCAGTGTGGTAGTATTTGGACACAGCCTTGGAGACAATCTCAGAATAAACCTTTTAACCAACCACAAATACATTCATAACATGTAACATTAAGATGTTTAGGGTTTTTAAAAAGATATTTCATGCTTACTGAATATTTAATTATAAGCTTGCTATGTTTTATGTCATTTTAAATACATTATTTTTAAAATTTTCGTTGAAAGTTCTTAAGATTTTATGTTTCTGGATCCAGCATTCACATGGTACTCTACTGGAATCAAATTTAGGCTCTCACTCCTAATCTCCTAAATCCACATGTCAGTAAATTAGTTGGCAAATGCTTAATTATGATGCTTCACAAATTTTATTTGCAAAAAATGGCCAGGGCCCACCAGCAGGCCCAAAGTTTTATCACACACTTCTATAACCTAGGAACAGCTCAGCCAGTTCGCACTGAAGTTCCTGTAGTTACTGAATAATAAGCCTTAGTATGTAATAAGCCTGTGATTTTAAGGGGTTAATACACAGTAACAAAAACAGTATATTTCCCATGTCTTCAGCTAGATTTAGGTTTCTAGCTTATGTATACTGCTCATCCTGCAATGCAGCACAGCTGCTTATGAGCCCCATACATCCTGGCTTTGATGCACATCTGTCATGTGAACTACTATGCAGAGTAACCACACATCAGGATGCAGCTGTTAAACATATATGGTCTTGGTGGGGGTCCAGGGCAGCCGGCACTGGGCAAGGTCAGAAACTAAAGAACGTGGGTGGAACACAGATAATACAAAAAACATAAATCCAAACCTCACTTCTTCAGTAGATATGTTTGTGATAAGCAGGAGTGTGTGATTTTTACTCATTTCATTCAGTGAAAAAATTTTTACTATAAAGTCATGTCTGAATAAAAAGTCACACTGAAAAAAACATGTAGTGCATTGTATTGCAAAATTTGTCTGCATATATATGGAATCTGCATCACGTAAAAGTAACACGGTAGCATGGTAACATGCTAACATGGTAACATGCCAAATTAAATAAATGATTAACAGATGATAGTTCATTTGTTAGTGCCTTTGGTGGCTTCTACACCTTAGGAACAAGACTGAGCGTAGTGTGTATGCTCTCAGCTGTTTGTGGCCTTTGCTAGGCAGCTGTAGCTGTCTGTTAGCATATGTGAGATATCAGGACACAGCCTGAGCTGACATACTGCATCTGTCTTCTGTCCTCTTAAGCTAAACCTTGAAGAGATAGTTTGGGGGATAAAGATCTCAAAATGTAGTCAATGTCTGAAGTTTGCTTATTTAGTTTTGCACCGGAGCTATGAGGCTAATGTAACTAACAAGTAATAGAAGCTGTGAAAGCTGTACGTAGAAACTGCATTCTTAAATCATCACACACTATCTCTAACTAGATTGAGATGTTAAATAGACATGTTTATATGGATTCCCACACTATATGTCATACTGTTATCTGTGAAAATGGACAAAAGTACATCACATGCCTACATTTGAAATAGCAGGGAAACTGTCAGATATCTTCAAGTCAGTCTAGCTAAAAACATGCCCTTCCTGCTGGATGTAAAGTTTTTTGCTCTAGCTTGGTAAATTACTGCCCAGTGTCTCAATTGCTGAGCCCAGTCCTGTTGTTCAGCACACTGCAGCTCCTTATTAGGCCCCAGACAGAAAAAGCTCCCTCTGGTAAGGAGATAATCACATAAAGCTCAATTTGCCAAAAAATGAAAGTAAAGTTTTCAGAGATGTTTGTTTCAGCTCGTCCAATCCTTCACAAACATATTTAAGTCCAAATGTGTTTGTCAGGTCATGAAAACATTTTGAAAATGTAATGCGTGGGTTTATTTGCATTAATTTGTGTTTGTTATGTAAAAACGTGAAAAGAATATAACAACACAGACTCCCTATTTTGTCAAATATTGTTGTTACAGATAAACACAAGGCAGACTATCACTCTGATGGTCTTATTTGAGGGCGGTCCAGCCTGTGGTCGGGCACAGGAACAGCCTAGAGCTCAGGACCATTCTGTGGCCAATGTAATCTTTCTGGTGGAATGACAACATCATACTTCTCCCAGTAATACTAGAAAAACAGCAGGCTAATAGTGATTTAAAAAGACAAAATCAGACTAAATCACTAAGAGAATTTAGGGTTCAAGTTTTTACAGTGCCCTCCAACATTATTATTTTTATGAGTGAAATCTAACCTTTTGTTTCGGCAAAAATATGATTTAAAGAAAAAACACATATAAAATAATATTTTTTATTGCAAAAACATGTCACAATTATCAGCAAACCTGCATTTTGTCATCTGTACATCCTCCCAGCCAAAATAATAGCTCTGAGTATTGTCTTATAATGCTGAATGAAGTGAGAGAAAATATATAATGAGATAAAACCATTATTCCATGCAAAATGAGACTCTCCTCTTTTGCTCACCTCAAGAGTTTTCAATGGTGATTAATTCAGGGTAACAGGGATGACTGCTGCAAAAGCTTGATTATGTAGTTCATGAACCACTTTTTTGTGGATTTGGAGGCATGCTTTGTGTCATGCCTTGACTTGCTGAAGGAGCCAACCATGACCCACTTTTACTCTCCTTTTTATCTCCTGTCATTTGATGGAGCCCACAGAGTCCTTGTATTCTAACAAGGATCAAAGACCCACCACCATACTTCACTAACGGGAAACAGATTATGCCAAAGCAACTGATCTGATCTGATGTTTGTCTTATCTGACTATAGGAACTTGTTCCAATCAAACTCGACATTTAAATCCAGTTGCTTACTTTTATTGTTTGACAAAAGTAGAGGCTGTTTTCTGGTAAGCTTTTGGAAACATAAATATTTGTTGGCTTTGAGGTGGCACTTAATTTTAGTTTCGCAGCTTGGTAACCCCAAAAAAACTCTTCTTGCAACAGTCCAACAGCTGAGCAAATGTTTTGTGTTTTCTTCTTGACTGTGGATGAGTGCAAAAGCCATTTGTGCAAGACCACCACAGCTCCCATTGCTTGAAGTTTCTTAGATATTGCCTAATAGTGAAGATGGGTGCTTATGGTGAAAAGCTGTTTTACTATTGCCATTGCTTGGTTTATGAAGATCAGCAACCTTCTCTCATTTCACTTATGTATTCTCTGACCTTGCACATATTAAAGGGCAATTCCACCGATTTTTCTAAATTTTTCCAAAAGTCAACTGTTAAACTGTATATAGAAATTAAGAGAGGTTTAATGTGAAATGCTCCGTTCTAGAGAAAGAATTGTTCACAGTGGTGGCAAATGGAACCAGACATCTGAAAAGTTGAATGCCTCTACAAGCTACATCACAAAAAGATCTTACATGAAACTGCTATGAATACGCTGCCCAAGACCATCAGCAACATGACATTTAAAAACTCAGATGTATGTATGGCACGTGTATGTTCACTGGTGGTTTTGGACGGTAAACAAATTGGCTATATCTGCGCTATTGACATCGCGACCCCTGGTTCCTATCACCACCACTGCAAACAAATCTGAGCCGGTAAGTTTTTCCACAGTGAACCATTTCACATCAAACCAGTCAGAATTAATTACTTTACATCTCAGTGATTTAATTATACATAAATTTTGAAAAATTGGGGAATTTTCCCTTTAATGAAAAATCCAATGTGTCTGACCTACATAGAATTTCATATGATACCCTATAATGGTAGGGAGTAATGGATGACCACTTAAGAGCTGCTAAAGACTCAGCTGTGCTTGGCAATGGGAATATATTACATTTTGTGTTGATTGTGATGTGAAGTGCTAATTGTTATATATGTCTTGCATGTATAATTTTCTTTCCTTGAATATTTGTGTCTCACAGAAAGGTTAGATTTCTTTCATAATTTCAGTATGAGATGAAACTTATAAACAAAAAAAATAATGAAAGCTTTGTGGAGGGCAACGTAAATGGTAAACTGGAGTCATTACATGAAAAAAAAAAAGATGGAAAAACTTCAGTCAAAAGCTTACGTGTTCCTGGATCTCCCTCCAGCTAAGATAATCATCTTGCACTATGGAACGCCTTCTTAACAGGCTGCTCTTAAGCAATGCAGCACTGTGTCTCTGCTTTAGATGAGCTCAGCCACACTCAGACATGCTCTTCAGCCCAGAGCTCGCTGATCGGATATAACTAATGGACAAAGTGATGGACATGGAGGTGGCGGCTCCTCCACCACCCTCTGCTGAACGCGAGGAGCAGTCATTCGAAAGGAATGCGCTGGCATCCGAGGAAAACTCACATTATTTAAGATCTGTGAGCAGCGAGTCGAGCTCATTCATCATGGTTCAACCGAAAAGCCGTTTGGAAGCGCCGTCTAAGTTGTGGATGACCATGATTATTACCGTCATGATTATTCTCCAAGTCGCTTCGACAACCGGACTCTTCATTTACCTCAATATGTCCATGGCTCAAGTAAGTTCTTTTCTTTGAATACAAGTGATAATAGAGTTTTTTATGAAGAGTAAATGGACACACTTTACTCAGCACTGCGTGGAGTGTTCAGGTAAACAAATGCAGTGAGAAAAAAGTAGTCCCACTTATAACGCTGTTCAGTGAAGTTAGCCAGCAGACCGTGACCCTCAGTAAGTGTAAAGTGAACTGCTGTTACGTGAGCTGCAATAACACGGTTTATTTCACGCTACTTGATTAACTCGGAGCGCAGTCAGCCTGAAGGCTAACACTGTCTTTGTAGCCTATTTTACACACACTTTCCCCCCGATGCGCCCTACTTAATGTAAACCACACTACGGACTACTTTGAGCGCTTCGACAAGCACAAATAAAGGAACGAAGCTAAAGATGGGCGGATTGATACCGAGCATCGATACTTCCCATCCAGACTCTGACAACTGATTATTACAGAGAATATTGAGACCACGTGTTTTCTTTAACCAGTAAGTGTGCGTTAACAGTAAAAGGGGAATATTAGCTTATAGTGGAAGTTAAGTAATTTAAAGTTCCAAGTAATTTTGGACCATTTCTGGTACATTTTCACATCATGTAAATGACTGTATTTGGGAACTATGTGAAAAAAATGGAGATTCCAAGATTTTGTCCTAACAGCGATATCCGTCTGTGTGTCTTTATATATATATATATATATATATATATATATATATATCAACATTACATATAAAAACTATATATATATATATATATATATATATATATATATATATATATATATGTGTGTGTGTGTGTGTGTGTGTGTGTGTAAATCTCTGGTGATCTCCGGTCAAAATACCAGTTTTGTTAATTTTCTGAGAGAAAATAAGTTAACACATCCTTTAAGAGAATCAAACTTGTACATGGCTTTATTTGCTGAATTTAATATATTGGGAAAAATAACATATTATAACATATAAAAGGCTTTGTACATTCACATCTTATGTTTTATTTTTTTCCCCAACATGTTAAACCGTAATTGTACATTAAATGTGCAGAAGTGTGTTCTCTAGAGAATGTGTACTTATTTTCACTTAGACAGTCAACCAAATGTAATTTGACCAGTGGTGCCCAACCTTTTGCACATAAATGTATGCTGAAAAGATAAAAAAGATAGCAAAAATACTTTTCCTTCTTCCGTCTTTCTCTCTCTGTCTCTCTCTCTCTCTCTCTCTCTCTCTCTCTCTCTCTCTGCTACATAATTGCAAAATACAGAGCAAATTATTAACTAAACTGATCTTTCAGATAATATCAGCATTTGTTTGATTTCACTGTTGAACTTAAAGATTTCCCTTTTTTACGCACACAAGGATGCCTTTGAAATTGTCAGTATTGGGATCTTTGTATCAAACTGAAAGGAAAATCAGTAACATCACCCTTCCATCCAAGGATCTCAGTGCACAGTGATCAGATCCTTATATAAGAATTTTCCCGCATTATTTATCTACATTCTCAAGCCTTTGCTTCATTTGCTGAGCACTCACTAACCTCTGTCATGGCCACATTGTAATAGCCCTCCTTCCATGAATAATATTGATATTGGTCAAGACCAAAACATATGACCACATGACCTTTGAAAACGGGTCTTGTTGTTGCAGATATGAATGTATGAAGAGCCTCAAAGAGTCCTTAGAAAATATGAAGCCAGTTACTTAATGTACTAAGCTAAAAAGTCTTTTAACCAAAGACTGCTGGTATATGATTTAATTAGTGCACTAATTGCAGTCTGATTTTCTCGGTCTTTTTGGGAGTCTGAGGTTTTGAAGCAGAGGAGCAACGATAGGAGTTTAGACAGCTTTGTACATAATGCATAACGGTCATAAAAATAGCCTGAACTTGCCAAAATGAAAACCACAAGGCTTTCTGAGAAAAAGACCACAGATGACCTACAAACATCTTCATCCCTGTAGAGATGTGCTTGTTAAAACGAAGTTGTAGCTGATTGGTTTGTTTGCAAATAATGATAATATACACATATTAACAGTTTTGCACTGCCATTGGAAGCTGTCGAAGACAGAAATCATGTACGAAAAACCAATCTCAGCACTGCCAAAACTTTTTTATGTGTCGTGTCTAAACAAACCAATCAGCTATAACATCGGTTTTTGTCTGAAATTTATGAAACTGATGAAATTGACGCTGATTTTTATAATGTCCTCTAGTTACAGAAGTTATTAAGAAGGCAAAAGCAGGTTTAAAAAAAAATAAGTCTACTTGGAAAGCAGTACAATTTTTGACATGACTTATGTTTGTATAGTCAATGAACTTAATCAATTACTTCTTTCCCTGTATTTTAATCTCAGAGTGCACCAGAACACTTTACATTTTCCAAGGACCAAGCCTCAAACCCCACCTACATAGGGTTGGGTTCTGAACTAGCCCCGTTTATTAACTGCCTGCAAGTTAGCATGTCTGAATATGGTAGGTTTTAAATGATTAACCTTGTGATTAGATGTTTTACAATGTCTGCTACTGAATGTAAAACACAATGAATAAAATATGGAGTAAGCTAAATCAGTATTTCTTAAGAGAAGTGTTCTCTTTTTAACAAACATATTTAGAGACATTATGAGATCATTATGGAGCTCTTTGAACTTGACAGCATTTATTTTTCCCCAGAACAAAAACTCTGATCATCACTAGTCGCCACCATTATATATTTGTATATCAACATCCCTTAATAAGCAGGCACATATGGAAATGCTGAGTTTTTCCATTTGTTTTGGTGTTTGTTTTAACAAGCACATCTCTACAGGGATGAAGATGTTTGTAGGTCATCTGTGGTCTTTTTCTCAGAAAGCCTTGTGGTTTTCATTTTGGCAAGGTCAGGCTATTTTCATGACCTTTATGCATTATGTACACAGCTGTCTAAACTCCTATTGTTGCTCCTCTGCTTCAAAACCTCAGACTCCCAAAAAGACCGAGAAAATCAGACTGCAATTAGTGCACTAATTAAATCATATACCAGCAGTCTTTGGTTAAAAGACTTTTTAGCTTAGTACATTAAGTAACTGGCTTCATATTTTCTAAGGACTCTTTGAGGCTCTTCATACATTCATATCTGCAACAACAAGACCCGTTTTCAAAGGTCATGTGGTCATATGTTTTGGTCTTGACCAATATCAATATTATTCATGGAAGGAGGGCTATTACAATGTGGCCATGACAGAGGTTAGTGAGTGCTCAGCAAATGAAGCAAAGGCTTGAGAATGTAGATAAATAATGCGGGAAAATTCTTATATAAGGATCTGATCACTGTGCACTGAGATCCTTGGATGGAAGGGTGATGTTACTGATTTTCCTTTCAGTTTGATACAAAGATCCCAATACTGACAATTTCAAAGGCATCCTTGTGTGCGTAAAAAAGGGAAATCTTTAAGTTCAACAGTGAAATCAAACAAATGCTGATATTATTTGAAAGATCAGTTTAGTTAATATTTTGCTCTGTCTTTTGCAATTGTGTAGCAGAGAGAGAGAGAGAGACAGAGAGAGAGAGACTCTCGAGACACTCTTTCTATTTAGTGAAAAAGCTACTTTAAGCGGTACTCATAGCTGACATAGGAGTTCAGTTGCGCACACACAATTTGTATAATCTCCATAGAAAAGCACTGTCAGTAGAATAGAATCTGATGCAGCTGCACATGAGAATAAGGTCACCACGCTTAATGCCAAGCATCAGCTGGAGGGGTATGAAGCCCCTGGTGCTGGGCTGTGGAGCAGTAGAACTGCATTCTCTGGGGTGATGGAGCAACATTTTAAACTTTGGGATGAGTTGGAGCGATGTTTGGTTATCAATGGTTATCTAACATAATGCTGTTGTGGCTGAATGCAATCAAATCCTCAGAGCAATGTTCCAACATCTAGTGTAAAGTCTTCACAGAAGTGTAAAGGCTGTTACTGCAGCAAAGGGGGACAAATTCCCTGTTAATACCCTTGATTTTGGAAGAGACATTGCACGAGCCGTCGTGGACATATAGTACTGTGCAGAAAGCAGAGCCCACCATGCATGTATTCAATTTTCAGTCAAAACAGCCATAAAATTATTAACTTTTCAGTGTCAAGGAAATGAGCATTTAATGGCAGTTTTGACTTGAAATCATACTTCACATTATCATCCTTCAGTCAAAGAAAGTACATTTTTTGAGCATGAACTTGAAAGTGTGAAAGATTCCCTGCTGCTCGCTCAAAGCTACAGTCAGTATCCAGAATCAAAACAGATGTTCCTTGTCCAGGTCGTACTACACATGTGTTTAGGGACCATGAGAATTGATTGGGTGTTTGAAGAACAAAGTCTGACAGTGATGTTAGCCAGTGCCTTTTTCCTGCACTCAGCTATGAGTATTACATATAAAACAAAAAAAACCTTAGAGGGTGTCTGCGCTCTCAGCTGACCATGAAACATGCCATTACAGTATGAACAGAGGAGAAAGGAAGTTAACGCTGCAGCTGGCAGCCATGCTGTGTCAAACACTATGCAGGAAATATCCAAATGCCCACGCCTGAGGAGGTCCTAACGGAGGATCCTCATCAGCCTCAATGTCAGTATTAAAGACACCAGGTTTTCTATCATTATATCCTTACAGTAATTCATTTAATTGCATTAATTTATGAAAACTGTCACTGAATCAGGCTCTATGCATTTTTAATATGGAAAAAATATGTAAAATGAATTATGACTGTTTTTGATACAGAAAATGGTGCAAATGCTGGATATTGGGGAAAAAATTAAATAAACACATAATAGCTGTGCCACTATGACTGATGGCAATAATTACATGTGGTTTTGGGAGAAAGAAATTTGCGAAAGTAGGGAGAGGGTGTGGAATATATGCAAGGAAGGTTCTAACTTTATTAATCCAGTTAAGCAATTATGAAACTAAATAAATCAGTAGATCAGAGTCCAAAAGTAATCAGATCAGAATGCAACGTTGAAGTAATTTAAACTACTGACTACATTCTTCATCATTTAATTTGTATTCAGTATCATAATCTGTCTAACAATGTACTAGAACTAACTAAATAAAGCTTAGGATATTGCAGTTCTTTCATTAACTGTATTATGTTGTTTAGACAGAGCCAGGTGCTATCATAAAATAAAAAAAATAATTGATAGCATATAATTACATTGCAGATTTTAATAGAGAAATGACCAACCCTTTCATTTGCTGTATAAGTTGCATTTTTATCCAATTACCATTGCTATTATCATGCTAATTTCTGCCAGCACCCCTGTGGGATTTACAGTGTAGTCTAGTATCAAGCTAAGAGTGGTGTAGATTCACATTTCACATTTATTTTATGCTCTAGCATAAACAGAGATATTTGAATATGTTAAATCCAAATAACATTTTTCCTATTATGTTGCAGTTTTACATCCTTCAAGACTGTCTCTGAATGTAAAAAAGAAAATTAATTATAAAACAGAATCCCATTCACTTTGCAGCACAGACTATGTGTAATTGATATGGTAAAATGAATTGAACTCCACAACACTGTTTACCCTGGCATAAGGGGAGATTTGCATATTATTTGAATCTGGAATTCTTGGTGGGAGGTGTAATTATGCCTCTGTGCCTTTGTGGGACCAGAAAATATCAAGCAATGTTTCATTTAGTACAGTAATAAAATTACTGCTCTTAAACAAGTTTTGGCTGACTTTAAAGGAACCATATCATGGAAAGCTGAATTTTCTTTGCTTTTTTGAACTTAACGAGTTCATTAATAGCATGTAAACACTGTTGATGTTTGAAAGTGTACCACTCACCCCCAGTTCATACAGTTCTTACACAGAAACTAAACAGCAAAAACAGCCTGTTTTGAATCTAGTATTCTGTGATGTTGCAGAAACATTTACATACAGTTAGGCCCAGAAATATTTGGACAGTGACACAATCATCATGACTGGGCTCTGCATGCCACCACATTGGATTTGAAATGAAACAACTGAGATGCAGTTGAAGTGTAGACTTTCAGGTTTAATTCAAGGGGATGAACAAAAATATGAGAATATGAAACGTTTAGGAATTGCAACCATTTTTCTACAAAGCCTCCTCATTTCAGGGGCTCAAAAGTAATTGGACAAATTAACTTTGTCATAAATAAAATGTTCATTTTTAATACTTTGTTGAGAATCCTTTGCAGGCAATGACTGCCTGAAGTCTGGAACCCGTGGACATCACCAAACGCTGGGTTTCCTCCTTTGTGATGCTTTGCCAGGCCTTTACTGCAGCTCCCTTCAGTTGTTGCTTGTTTGTGGGTCTTTCTGCCTTAAGTTTTGTCTTAAGCAAGTGAAATGCATGCTCGGTGAGGTTGAGATCTGGTGATTGACTCGGCCATTGCAGAATATTCCACTTCTTTTCTTTAAAAAACTCCTGGGTTGCTTTCGCAGTATGTTTTGGGTCATTGTCCATCTGTACTGTGAAGCGACGTCCAACCAACCTTGCTGCAATTAGTTGAATCTGAGCAGGAAGTATATCCCTGTATACTTCAGAATTCATCCGGCTGCTTCTGTCTTCTGTCACGTCATCAATAAACACTAGTGACCCAGTGCCATTGGAAGCCATGCATGCCCATGCCATCACACTGCCTCCACCATGTTTTACAGAGGACGTGGTGTGCTTTGGATCATGAGCCGTTCCAAGCCTTCTCCATACTTTCTTCTTCCCATCATTCTGGTACAGGTTGATCTTAGTTTCATGATCTTAGTTGGCTTCTTTAAATGTTTTTTGGCAAAGTCTAATCTGGCCTTTCTATTTTTGAGGCTGATTAATGGTTTGCACCTTGTGGTGAACCCTCTGTATTTGCTCTCATGAAGTCTTCTCCTTATGGTAGACTTAGATACTGATACACCTACTTCCTGGAGAGTGTTCTTCACTTGGGTGGATGTTGTGAAGGGGTTTTTCTTCACTATGGAAAGGATTCTGTGATCATCCACCACTGTTGTCTTCCGTGGACGTCCAGGCCTTTTTGAGTTCCCGAGTTCACCAGCGCGCTCCTTTTTCCCAGAATGTACCAAACTGTTGATTTGGCCACTCCTAACATTTCTGCTATCTCTCTGATGGATTTCTTCTTTTTTTCAGCCTGGTGATGGTCTGTTTCACTTCCGTTGAGAGCTCCTTTGACCGCATGTTGTGGAATCACAGCAACAGCTTCCAAATGCAAATGCCACACCTGGAATCAACTCCAGACCTTTTACCTGCTTAACTGATGATGGATTAACGAGGGAATAGCACATACAGCCCATGAAATAGCTTTTGAGATAATTGTCCAATTACCTTTGGTCCCTTGAAAAAGAGGCAGGTACATATTAAAGAGCTGTAATTCCTAAACCCTATATCTTTAAAACTGTATCTTGAATATGTTTTGGTAAACAGCTAAAATGCCAAAACTTGTGTCACTGTCCAAATATTTCTGGGCCTAACTGTATATCCATCTATTCAGCCTATAGCAGGTTAGCTCTGCCCATTTGCACTGAACTTGTTCTGTTTTAGCCCAGACGGCTTTTCAAATGGGGCACGACACAGGGCAGCCAGTCAAAACATAAATCATTTACATATAATCAGTCTTAAAGGCATGGTAACAAAAACAGCCAGTTTAATGCTAAAGGATAAAAAAGAGCTTGGAAAATGAGCATGTAAAAATGAATTATGACTGGTTTTGGTACATAGAACCACACAAATGTCACAAGTTGTGTTCAGGAAAAATAATAAAATACAAGAAAAATGTAGGATGAAATCTAAAGAATCTGTGGGTTTCAACAGAAGGGCACTCTTGCATGCCTGTAATGCTTGCTTGAGATTGAGACACAACTTGAGATCGAGACACAACCAAGACACAAACAAAAGTTTGGTTTTGACGGCAAGATTGAATCATTCATTCAAGCCATAACATGTTTATGAAGCTTTTTGTCATCGTTTTGATTACAGACTTCTATCTTGATGACAGTACTGGAAGCAGTGCAGTGGTGGAGAGAGGATGGTGACCTCATAGCACATCTGCCCACATGAACTGAAACGTTGCCTCCACTTGCCTAATTTTCAGCAGAATTTCATTAGACCTGTGCTGTGACTGGACATTATGTGCTCTGTCAGGCAGAAGATATTTGGGAAAAAGATAAACTTTGTTGTTTTCTAATCTAAAGTATCTTTGTTTTTACTCTGTCTGGCTGATGTACAGGCCCGGAGTCAGGGTGTTTCTGAGGAGCTACGGTGTCTAGGGCTGCTGAATGCTCTGGAAAAAGACCAGGAGGTGCCTGATGGCCTGGTCCAGCTGTTTGGTGAACCGTGTATCAAACTGGCTGAGGGAATTAAGGCATACATCTCAAAGGTAAGCATGAATACATTCTCATTTTTTAGTGGTCTTGTGATTTATCATATGGTTCTGATGTTGTGCTGCTATAGCATGATGCTTTGTTATAAACCAGAAAGGCTTGAAAAACTGGTTGGAAAGTCTTGGCAGGATTCTCAAGACCTGAGGAAAAATGAATGCAAATGTGCACTTGCTAATCTGTGCCATGCATCAGTTCCAGGAAAGCAGTTCATCCAGCAAGGCTTTTTTTTAGTGCCATTAATTTTTTTATTAATTTGAAGAAAAACCATGATGTATGATGTGGCTCCTTTGTGAAAGATTCACTTGGAGAAGCCCACTAAATGGAATACAGTCAGACCTTTGAAATTCTCTTGAGTGTCCCTTTTGGATGCCTATGAAATAGCTTTACTTTGTGGTGTTCTTATTGCTAAATGAATAAAGAGCTGATTTTTAAATTCTCTAAATCTGTCAGATAGGCTCTAGCTGTGACTCATACCACATGTCACATGTGGCAATCAGTAAAATAATTGTTTAAGAAATGTAAATTTAAAAAACAAGAAAAAAACAAATCAGGAATCATCCGCTTCTAATCAGTGAGGCTTGATGTCTAATTCATATCATGCTGAAGCCATTGTTATGGGAACAATTCTGTGTTTGCTTGAATGTCCTGTGAAGTGAATGTCATTTGTTTGAGAAAATGGGAAAGTTGTTGGAGAGTGGAGTCTCACAGACCACAAAAATGTGGTGGTAATCATTGAAAAAACAACTATCCACTAGTAATACAGGCAGGATCTCCCTGGACGCTTCAACTCTGTTCTCTATCTCTCCAATTCCTTCAGACTCATTGGAAGAAAATAAAAGCTTTCCTTGAATGCAGGTCCAGCTTTTTTCATTCTTTTTAAAGGGCCCATATAATGGAAATTTCAAGAATTTGCATCACCTTTTTAAATAAAAGAGTTAGATATGTAAACACTGTAAACATTGTAATAATTTCAAAATGTATTCTGGTCTTGCTTGCACTTACTCTATGGCGATATGTAGATTAAGCTATGAAAATGGGACGTTTTGAGGTCACAAAAAGCAATGCACTTAAATGTGTGTGTGTATATATATATCTCGCTGTTGTCGGAAAAAAACCTCGTATCTCCAAAATGGTAACTTTACAGGAAAAGGAAAAAACTTGCTTTACTTTTAATGTAAGTCAATGGAACCAGACATTTTCCCAAGTACTTTTGGTCCATTCATAATGAAATTTGCACACAATGTAAAGGCCAACAGGCATAACAACCAAAAAAACAACCAAAACGGAGATACAAGGTTTTGTTCCGACAGCAATGATATATATATATATATATATATATATATATATATATATATATATATATATATATATACACACACACCTTCGTTCAGTTTAGCTCCATTCATGTACGGTGAAGTTACAAGGAGTGTTTCATGTTTCAGCCTTGACTGCTCAGTACCTGACAGAACTAATTTAATTTACATATATAAGTTTAAATGCATAAAAACACACAAATGTGATAAGTGGTCCTCAGGGAGAACAAAATGAAATATAAGAAAATGTAGGATGTGTGGGATAAGTAGTTGCCCATTGCCAACCACTACCTAGGCCTCATACTGCACAATGGCTACCAACCTGAGAGGCTGAGGGCTAACATGTACTTCCACTGTAACATGTGTATCTGGCAGATCCATCTTTTCTTCTAGTATTTACGTAAATTGCATCGTTTACTTTATTATAAAGGTTCGTGACATTACTGCAGCCAAGAGAACTATGGCAGTAATTGTATTGAAAGGCATAAAAGACTTTTTGGCAGGCTTCTGTAAACAAAAATGAATGCAGATGTGCATTTGCTAATCTGTGCCATGCATCAACTCCAGGAAACCAGTTCACCAAGCAAGGCTTTTTGTGTACCAGTGTTTTTCAATGGATTCAATTGGAAAATTCAATTAAATGGAATTCAGTTAACACTCTTTTTGAGAGTTCATTTGGGCACCTATTATGTGTATTATAAAGTCTTACTTTGTGGTGTTCCTGTTGCTAATTGGAAGTTTATAATATTGCTGCAGACATATGTCCTAAAGTATTTAGACACCCCTTCTATTCAGTGAATTCAGCTACTTTAAGGTGTGCACATTGTTGACACAGGCATTCAACTGTGCAAAAAAGCACTGCCAATAGAATGAGACACTCTGGAGCAGCTGTACATGAGAATAAGGTTACCATGCTCAATGACACATGGGAGTTAGATGGGTATAAAGCCCCTCAGCATTGGGCTGAGGAGCAGTGGAACTGCGTTCTCTAGAATGATGGAGAACCCTCCAAAACCATCCAGTAGGTGATGTTCCAACATCTAGTGTACATCCTTCCCAGAAGTAAAGGCTGTTACTGCAGCAAAGGGGTGTGGCGGGGGCAAATTCCTTAATAATACCCCTAATTTCAGAAGTAATGTTGGACATACAGTGTACCTATCACAGTAGTTCACAGTAGTTCAGGTTCAGACTAGAAAAAAAGTGGATAACAGACATTTCTTTGGCAGTATGGCATTTATTCTTCATTTAATCACACATTGGCAGTTTGCATTGGCCTAGTGCACTTAGTAAAAAGTGCAAGTCAGCTTTTTGAAGCATTAACAATTCAAGTGAAGTGGAACCCCTCACCTCTCTGAGCTATCATCTCCCTCCTTGGTGTTTTTGTTTCCACTTTGGTTTGTTTTTTTCTTTCCTTTTTTGACATAGTCGATACTCTGGAAAACCTTTTGGTACATCTGATACGTGACCACTTTGATTCCCGAAGAGAAACTCGATCACGTATGACGTCAGCACTTCTTTGTATTGTTGGCAGGAATTTACATGGAATCTCAGTGTCTTTTGTTTTCTCCGTGGCTGTAAGTTGGACTCAGAGAGGATAAACGTGTCCTGAATGACGTTATTGGCACAAAAGCTCTGAAAGCCTCTTGGCTATACTCCATTTAGCCAGCATGGCTCCTCTGGCCTCTGGCAGAGTGAAGCTGTGCAGTCATTTCCTGCTCACAGCTTTAACACCACCCTTTACTTTGTTTAATAAGCAAAGATATTTGAACTATAGACATAGAGATGAATTTGGCAGGGCAGTGGCGATCAGCAAAATGAATGTAGTAGATACTGTTGTTTTTATGTCTTCATTGTTGTTGCAAATCTGAGCGGGACTTTCTTTGTTCTCATTCAGGTAACAGAAAACATCATCTCCCAGCACGTCTTTCAAGGTAATATTTTACCCATGGAACCCAAATAGTTGGCTTTACATCATCCTAAGATAAGCTTTCTCTCTCTCTCTCTCTCACTCTCTCTCTCCTCACCCCAAAAAATTACACATCTGTTCTGAGATTCTGTCAAAATTCTGAATTCTAAACTTTTAATCATTTCCACAGTAGTTTTTTTTTGTTTTTAAGTGAGAAGAGGAGGTATTTTATTATGATTTGACTAATAATAATTAAAAAAGTTATTACTACTAATAGTACTACAGGGTGATAAAAAAAATATTAATCTTATTTCAAATGATATATTTACTTGTAAAGCATTACAGAACAACACAGTCAATTGTAAATGGTTTATGTGAGCATAACGTTTATTATGTAATGTTATGTAAATAAGTGCTCAATATGAACCTCCTCCAGCAGTACGGACAACATCAATGCCATAGTCAAATTCATCCCACACTCTGTTGAGCATGTCGGGTGTCACTGTACTCACAGCTCTTTCAGTGCGATTTCGGAGATCATGTTGTGGAACCCATGACAGATGCTCTGAGCTGTCGGAGGTTCTCAGCTGATGAAAATCACATTGCACAGTTATGACAGATTCACTCTTATTGAAATGGAGAACACAAAACGCTTTCTGCTCTGGGGTTGCCATCTCCTCACAGACTGATGGGAGCCGACTTCCAGTGACAGTCAGAAACACTTTATGACACCCTCTTTCAATTGGTATGTGATTGGTTCCTAGGCGCCTCACGGTTGTAAAGAAAATGGCACTTTGAAATCGGATTAATCTTTTTGAATCACGCTTACTAATAATAATTGTTACTAATAGGTCTAATAGTGCTATTTCATCTAATTCATTATATTTTATTATGATTTGTGTAGAATCTTGTTTTTCCTAAAGAAAATCCATACTTTTATAATTTCCTGACATCAAACAAAAGCACAAAATTACTATGTAATCAAAGTTGTAATGTTACGTTGTTTTGTTTAAATAGTTTAGAATGACCTTAATAACTCTTGACTTCTAAGGGTTAAATATGTATCAAAATGTCCTTTGACGCGTGGTATTTTAACAAGCTCCAGCTTTTCTTCTCTTCTTTCTTTTTAGATGATCTAAACTTCATGAAAAGTTATTATTGGGTCTTGTCTTGTTTTGTGTAATGAAAAAAAGGATCCTTAATTTTTTTCTTGACATTGAGACAAATAGAAAGTGCATATTAAAATCTGTCTATGCTGAGCTATAATGGAAAACACATTTTGATTTTGATAAAGGTGGTGTTAATCATAATAAAGCATTGCTAGTTTTTGTACTTCCAACAATTAAATATGTAACAGTTGCATTTGAATAGTACAACAAAAGGAAAATAATTACTCTTGATGTATGTAACAACGTGCCAAATGTTGCTTTTTTGCTTTTTGGGTCAGCCGTTCACTCTGCTCTGCCTTTTCTGTTTCTTTCAGAAAGACAAACAGCCCCACCACGGACAACATTTCTCACTGGTGGGAATCCGCGCCCTTCTGCTCACCTCACTCTCCGAGACAGCGGACTACAGGGTGTGTGTGTGTATGTGTATGTATGTGTGTGTGTATGTCTGGTGAATAGGGGTTTGAAGCATGACCTATATTTTCATATAAGGCTAATACTCATTTTGTAGTACGAAGTATAACAAAGAGAGGCTTGAAACATTCCTTAAAAAAAGCAACAATGTCTGCATTGTTTGCACTGTTTATATAATGGATCTCTTAAGACCACACTTGAGAAATGTTTCCACAAGTACTGTGAGATCTCAAACAGTGCTTCAGAAATTGTTACCAAAGAGATTAGCAAACAGGCAGTTCTTTGCGATTTCATGTACACTTTATAGGCTTTAAAACCCTTACTAGGATAAACACAATGCTCCCATACTGTGTATGATTGTTCACTCTAAAAAGTGATAGGTTAAATATCACTACCTGTGTTACCTGTTTTAGTGCATTTTGTGTTATGTTTAACACCATAACTGAGCACAGAAATACACTAAATAAACCAACACATTGATGTGTCTAGTTACGGACAGAGTGTGTTGTTTTACAAGTGTAGGAGTCAGGTTAAAGGAATACTCTGAGGTTTGTCAAGCTGATCTCTATCCTCTGCATCTGTAATGTATGGTTTATTACAGTGGACAATAACTTTAATGCTTTTCCCTCTACTTAGAAAAGAAAAAGAAAATCTGTTGACTCAAAACTCATTTTTTATAGAAGACAGTTGCTGAACTATGTGAATAAATGTTCAAAATAGTTGGCGCAGTTATTATCAGTTTAATCCTGCGATGCCACAGTCAGTCACTGCAATGCTAGCCAAGGCAAGCGTCTGTTAGTTAACGTAACAGAATTGGCAGTTAGCATTCTCCTCCATGTGCATTGAGTTGTCCATTGACATTGCATTAACAGCAGTTTGAAAAGATGCAATGGCTGGCTTAACATGTCTTGGAAGAAGCTTATTCTAACCTTAATCTTCCCAGCTTGGTAGCATCGTGTGATTGGGGGAGACCTAGCTAGTGGGTGGAATTTGCGATGATTAAAATAATTAGGAGAGAATTGGGTAAAATAATAGTTAAAGATGCATACTGTATGACCCCGTTTACACCTGGTCACTTCAAGATTTTAGCCGCATGCATTTACACTTGGTAGTCAGGTGCGTCTCTGGTTGAAGTGGTCTGAGCGATCAGATTTGTATCTGTTTTAAATGCGTCTTGGGTGCGTTTAGATTTGCATTTTTATGTGGCTTGATCTTATCTAAAAATAATACTCAATAATGATAAAACTACAACAATAATACTCAAGATGCATTAAGTAACCAGGTGTAAACAGGATCTATGTGTACTACTTAACATGACTTCGCATATTCAACTTCTGAACATTGGAGCAAAATAGTGAAAAAGCAGTTCCCAGAGGTTTTCTGGGAGGTGTTCATTGATGTGTCCTAAAGAAATGTGTGTTTCATATAAACATTTCCTGACAGACTTTAGCATCTGCCCATTGGCTTCTATAATAAGCATGTTTCGTGTCAACAGGAAAAAAGGGCCAAAATTATTGTCTGGGTAATTGACTATATGCTGATGTGGCAGCTAGAGATTAGGTTAGAAAATGCTGGATTATCTTTTTAAGTATTACATTAATGAACATGACATGTTATACATCCACGTTCTTTCCTGGAAATGTAACTTTCCTCTTCATTCTTGCAGGCCCTGTATCTCTAACCCCTCAGGCAGACCTGCACCAGTCCTGCCGTCACCCTGTGCGTTCCTGGGGCAACCAGAGCTTCGGCTCCCACCTGCAAAACATGACTGTCTCCAATGGCCGCCTGCGCATCCCTAAGGCTGGGCGCTACTACCTGTATGCCCAGGTCTATTTCCGCTACCTCACCCTGTCCAACAGTGAGCGGCAGTCCAGTTCTGAGAGTCACCAGGTGGTGCAGTGTGTGTACAAGAAGACAGCGTACGCGCGGCCCATTCAGCTTCTGAAGGGAGTGGGCACGAAGTGCTGGGCGCCGGACAGTGAGAACGCTCTGCACTCCGTCTATCAGGGAGGTCTGTTTGAGCTGCGGGCGGGTGACGAAATCTTTGTCTCCGTGTCTTCCCCTGTGGCTGTGCATGCGGAAGACTCATCAAGTTACTTTGGAGCCTTCCGCTTTGACCTGTGACCTCTGACGTGGTGAGCGGCGGTCTGTTTTTTTTGTTTGGATGAAAGACCAGTGGGTTCTTCTGAAGCGACCCAACAGAGGACTGTGAGAAAGACTGAAAATGAGAGGATTTAGGAAGCCATGCATGGCTTCCTGTTTACTCAGAAACCTCCATGGAGCGAGCTCAAATGACTCAAGACTTAACAACCAGCTTAATGATAAACAAAAGACACATGCTTTTATGAAAACCAGTTGGAGAAGTGTGTGGATACCCCTGATCCAGCATGACAGCTGAAGTGAGGTTCCCTCTGATCCCCTTTGAAAATGTGCATCAGGACCTCAAATAAGCAGCTCTGTGGCAGGGAGGATCTGGAGCTAGTGGGAAAGCAGCAGAGGAATTTACTGAACTCTCTATGTATTAGGGCAGATGTGAAGAGTGCTGCCAGATGCATGGAAAAATCCAAATGGATAGACACACTAGGGACTTGGGCTCACAGCTGTTTGTCTCTTTCTATGATGGAGCCTCAAACAGCTAAATGTACAGAAAAAAAGTAAGTTAAAAAAGCAAAAGAAGCAAACTGTGGCTAATGGATCTTAATCAATATCAACTGGCACTCTAAAATGGTTTAATATGCCTGTATTCTTCATAATATATTCTTCCAAAAAATAAATAACGTAAAAAAAAACATCATCAAATCATTCTCACCAGTGGTGAATCATGATTAATAGAGCTTCATTGTGGGCCATAAATCTGAAAACTCACTCAAAAATGAGGAAAGAATCATTTTTGCGATAATGCTAATTTCTTCTAGCGCTCCTGTGGAATTCTAGTAGTATGTTATTGCTAAGCTAACAGTGATTCACATTAACATTTTTTGCTCATTCTAGATTAAATGTAGACATGTGAAGCTTATAAAAGACATTCCATGTTTTATTTAAAGCTTATAACAGACATATTAACTCGTATTTTGTCTTGTAGTAGTTTTACAGAGACTCTTTCAGTAAAGAATCCTGTTGGAGAGCTGCCGTTTTCCATTTCTAACAATTGACTGAAACTTGGTTATGCTATCACACATACTCACAGTCACTGATGTATCTAGAACCTCCAAAAGGCCCAGCGTGACGTTTTCCCTCACAAAATTTGTTCCACTATTGGAAATCACAAGGTGATTGGTTTTTTCCACTCAGTACCTAATTATTTGGTTGGAAGTTACCGGTGTCAGAGCTTGCTTAGCTGTATCCATCCAGAGACTGCAAGAAAAATTCTGATTGGATAATTTTTCCTTGGACATTGCAAGAATTTAACCAAGTTAATTAATAATTGTGTTACTACAATAACATGCTGATTTTATCAATTAAAAATGAACAAAAAAACGGTATGTATGTATGTATGATGTATTTTGTTTATTTAACAGAAACTTTCTTTTAAGGCCTAGAAGGCACTGAGGGTTCCCCACTAATTTATTGGACACCATACACAGCATATACTATGTGGGATAAACACACCAAAAATGCAGTGCACTCAATTTACTCATTTCAAATGTGTACATAATATCCACATGAATCAAATATATTACATCAATGCATTAATAATAAAAATAGGTCATTACAATGTTGGAATCAAGTAAATTCAGTGCATTATGTTTTCAGTGCAAGCACAAATGATGTATGGCATTCTTTTCTTTTTTTAGATTATGATTATTTGTTATTTGTTATTTTACACTGTGGCGCTGGGGAATGTCACTGAAAGCACCATGTGTAGTTGTGCCAAAACAGTGGAAAATGTCTGTAAAGAAACAACTTTACCATAGTATAGTACATTTTCAAATACCCTCAGAGTTTCAACAAAGCACTCTGCAAATGGAAATGTTAATAATACATGTATTGTAAATTGCCTTTTATAAAATAAAGGACATTTTTTTATCTTTGTGGATGAAGTGCATCACCAAGGGCATGAGGACACCTTCAGGCCTCGCTGTAATATGAACCATGATCGAAAGCACTGAGTGACTCAGTACTCGCATCTGATCCGCAAGACAGTCTGACGGAAATTCACATTGAATCATCATTCATTTCATCCGGAATTTGAGTTTAATTTGTGGAACTCCCACCCCCCCGTGGTGTAAAAGACCCTCTGTGGTGTTTGTGTGAGAGAGTAAAGATAAAAGACATGGGAAACGTCCATAGTGAATACTGACTCACACTGTGGAAAGAAATCTTGGTTGTAAGTACGTATATGACATAATAGGCTTTGAACTGGCCTTCTTCTATGAGACTGTTTATTGCTCATCCTCCAGAGGCTTTTTATTAATGAATTCTACGATTTTTTTCTCCACATAGTTTCTCAGGCTGTTAGCCTGCTTATTATTACGTATGTAGATTGCTCTGGTCTCTCACAGAAACAGACTGAAACTATTTGGTCCTCTAATGACCTGTAAGTTTACAGACATTTCACTTTTTGGTGGGAAAACAGTCATTTAGTGGGAATCTTCTATCTTTGATAGGAAGCGCGCTATGAGGCTGATATTCATTATCAGACAAACGGGTTGTGTGTAATGTAGCCTGAAAGGGAAACTAAACTTGCTGAACACAGCTGCAGTACACTGAACCTGAAGTTACTTGCAAACACAATTATTGTGGGTTTTCCAGCCTAACAGTGGGCTGAATTTTAGTGTGAATGGAGAGTTATCACTGGAAATTCCTTTTAGTCTATGTTTAATCTGGGTCTGGAAAACTGGCTCTCAAACTGTATGGGTGGAAAGATAACAGTTTATCAATGTCAGAATGCCGGTCTTAGATACACTACATAGTGGTGCTTCTTTTTAGTGATATGTAAGGTCATTCAGTAAGGTAATTTGGAGGAAAAAGCCCCCTTATGATGATGGAGCTAAATTTAATCTCAGCCCATTTACTGAAAGTCTATGCTTAAAGCAATGAAATTACATCTGGATTACATCTGGATTCTGGGATTTATTCCTCAGGAATTTGATTAGATTCAGTTGATCTCATTTTAGTTTCATTAGATAGTAGTGACCAATGCATTTATATGCATAGATTTGTACATGAATAGTTTATTGCGGGTGGGTAGACCGATTAGTATAGCTGGTTTTGAGAAGAATTAAAATACATGTTTTATACTTCCAAAGTGAATGTTGGATCTTTGGTGCAAGAAGTCCATTAGGCATATCACCACAAATACATATGAAGACAAAGTTGTCCACTGCAGTTTCACTGACTGGCTAGCACTGGCTGAAGCTATCATAAGCTAGAATTTGGCAACATTATCAGTCATCTTGGTGGAGATGAGTTTTTGAGACTTCTGCAGCTCAACTTCAGAACTACATCCACACCTGATCTGTTCTCAGCTGTAATAATCAGTTGCACGTTTCAGTTAAATGTTGAATGCTATTGGTTGAATTGTTTTTGTTGCAATAATAATAATAATAATAACAACAATAAAGTCATTAATTCATTTTAAATCAACAATAATTAGACAAAGCTGACAATTACTGTCATTTGCTTTTTGTCATATCTTATTACAATTAAGTCAATTCATTAACACAGACACTGACAGAGGCGTCAAATTAATTTTAAAATAAAATATTTTGGTTTTGTACCTTGCCTAATAACACAATTTTTGAAAAAATTCAAGGACTAGAAATTAATTGACATATAAATTATACATTCTGTAAAAGATTCGCCAAGGGGGCTTCTTACGCCAGGTAGTGGGGCAAGATTCCCCTTTACAAGGTTCTCTCTTTTGTGCTGTAACACCAAAATGGGCTGCTGTTCCAGTTTGTTTTCACTAACTGTGCGTTGGTCTATGTATCATCATCCTGTTTATACTATGTTTAAAAATTTATCCTTAATTAATAACTGACAATAACATGTCAGTTATTAGCTTGCTGTGTGGCACATCAGCAGCTAATCAGTGTGCATTCTGCAGTATGTGGTATGGCTGTTCATAAACCACACTATCACAAATACTCTGCTGGACATTATGTCTTGGGAGGACCCACCACAACACTTGCTCTAAAGGAAAGCGAGAACATAAGGGATTTAGCTTTTTGTTTAGTTTGCTTATATATTTACATACAATCAAATAAACACAGGAGATCACATCTTAACTTGTCTCATGGGTATTAATGCATAAATTACTGTGATAATGTGTTACATTCATATTTAATACTAACATATAAATGTTCATGATCAACAAGCATTGATTAGACAATTAAAATAAGTACAAACAATGGATTAAAGAGGTTACGCTGTTTAAGACCCTACATGTACACAATGTTTTTGTTTTTGTTTTTTTAATAAAGGGAATACTCTGCAAGAAAAGTGGCTTTTTGTGCATCTCAATTTACAGACTTTTCAACAGTAATTGTAAAAGGGCTTCTTGAAGCCCTGGTACTTAAAGAGCTCTTCTCATTAGCAATGCCTAATAAAGAAATCAGATGTCAGGGTAGATGGTTAGATAAAATTCCAGTATTAACTCAGGTATATAATGAGATGAGAAAAAGCTTAAAGCAATACATATAAATGTGTCTTTGGAGGATGTAAACAATGAAATAACGTATTTTATTGGTAAGCTTTTGCAGCAGACCAAGGGCAGTGTCATAAAACTAATAGGCAGCCAACGCAAACATGAGCATGTAATCTATAATCATCTGATCTCTATTATATGTCACTTCCATAAGAACAAATGGATTTGGATTTAAACCCAGGTAGGTGGCTCACAGCACAGCATGGGCTGCCTTACAATCCAGGCACACAAGTTTGGAAGCATTAGAAACAATAATCAGACCTAGTATTTAAATTTTATATACTGTTTTGAGTAGTGTTTACATAAAATGTGTACATTTAAAAAATATATTGGAAATTTAGGGTCATTGTTAATGCTTATTGTGATATATGACAGAAAGTTCTACCACGCATGCATCATATCATGAGGCATATAGCATAATACAATATTTAACATATTACAGGCGGCTCATTATGCCTACCATAAATGAAGTGTATGAAATAAACAGCAGCACGGCTACTGTAGAAGCCTTAAGTTATGAGGCGGTGAGTCTGTGATTAGTCAGACCATTACAGTTTTTCCTCAGACTCTTCCTTAAAGCCTAAACAGCCACATTTTCTGGACTTGATCAGTTCTGCAAATTTGTATTCTGATAATGTGGGTTTAGCCACCTGGCTGGGTGAAGATCCGCATCACCTGCTGCCAAGATAAATCCCAGAATGTGTCAATTTAACTTAAATAATGTAATCAACCACTAAAGCAACAAGACAGGATTTCTAGCAAAGAAAATAAAACTCATCTAAGGACAAAGTGTTCAGGCCTGATGGGCAGAACATACAATGACACCCAGCAGCAATTTCATGCCAGATCAACTAAGCACAAAAACAGCCCATTTAAAGTAGAGTGGAATGCCCAAAGTCCTGGTACATTTCATTATTTGAGGATAATGTAAAGGTAAAAAAGACTGCAAACCCCAAAGCAGTGGCTCTTTGAGAAAAATAAAAGTGCTCTGCAACTTTCCCCACATACTTCTTAATACTGTGAAATGAAATGCTTTCCTTAAATGACAACTCCATTGATGATTCTGCTGAAGAAGCTGAAAAAGCCAGTTATTTAAAGTCAAAATTCTGACAGACACAAATAAAAAAACGGAAGGGTTCACAACACAGAAAACACATGGGCACATTTTTAGTTTTAGTTTAGTTGGTTTTAGCTCATTCTTTGTGATATCTATGGCATAATGAATGATTGAAATCTGCAGAGGCAAAACCAGTCAATAACTGCTTACACACACACATCCATGAAAAGTATTCAAACAAAAGACGAACAAAGCATTCCTCTGTTACCGAGAGAACATGGGGCTTTGAGTTGTCAGAGTCAGCAGATATCCTGGAGGTGATTTATCATTCTGCAGGAATTTCAACACATTATATCTAAAGGTAAACATGATTGGGATTGTGGTATGTGCAAATCCACAGAATTTTTTTATTTTCTTTTTTTCAAAATGAAGTGATAGTCTTGATATGTTAAGATCAGGGCTACTTAGGGGAAAAAACGAAAACAAAAAACTTGGCATCTTGATTTGGCCAAGCTTGGTGGTTAAGCTATGTCGAGGTGCATAGGGTGTTTTGCTGCAAGTTGTCCACCTTGGCGGTGTGCCTGCAGCTCCGAGGCCCTACAAAATGGCCATCACAGTGTGAGTGGACTCTCATCCAGCACAGGCTGTGCTGTAGTGCAAATGATTGGTCAGACAGGCGCTCCCTGCCTGACAGGTGGCTACACACTGGAGCATGAGTGAGATAAGAAAGGCCAGCTTGGAGCTTCAATTAAAGAGAATGGAGTCTGGGTCACGGTTGGCTATTTGGGCCATGTGCTTTAAAATGTCCTTCTTGGTGATGATGCCCAATAAACGCCTGTGAAGAAAGAGAGAATATTTAGAACGTGAAGACAGAGTGAACATTGAAAACTGCTTGCCTATGAGCTCATGTCCTGCCCGCACTGCCACTATTTCACAAAAAAAAACAGTAATTCATAAAAAACACTTCCTTACTGTCTTTGAAATAGTGTTTTTTAAAATGCTAAAATTTGTTACCCGTTATGAGTAACGAGACATTGGCGCAGCCCAAGTTTGCGGAAGATGTCCACCACAATGTCCATGGGAGTGTGGTCAGTAACGGTGAAGGGGCTGAGGTCCATGATGCCGCGTAGCTTCAGGGGAGGGGGGCAGTTCGGTGGTTGAGGGGGCGTGTACTCTGTGAAGAAAATCCGAGAGGTGCTGACCACGCCTTCCTGTCGCTGCCGAGCATTCTCTGAAAGAAGGAGAGAAGAAATGATGAGAAAAATAACTAAAAGCTGTAAAAAGCTATCTGTGTTTCACACAACAGTTTGAGCACAATCTAAGGGTGGACATGGTTATTCAAATATTTGAAGTAACAATTTGGGCTAATTTGTTAGTGACAGTCCTGTAGCTCTAGCGTTAAGCTAAAGAAGCAAAATTTGTACTTCAAATATGTCTTGGCTGATCAACTACAACTGGGGGAAGTGGGACATTGTGTGATTTTTTTTGCCAAACCATTTCCTTAGTCAGGTATTTAAACAAGGCATATGTAGTTTGGAATAAAATATTAAATATTTTTTTGTATTTTCTTGAAATATCTTGTGTTAAGCAAAATCATGACATTAAGTGCAGCTACAGATGAAAATATGTTAAGCAAAAAGATTTGTATGGTGTGTAGTGCAGTACTTCAATTGATCGTTCCATGTGTCAACTGGGAGTATGTTAAATCAAATACGTAAAATACAAAGATAAATCAGCAAATCATCTAAACAAACAGACACATATCACCACTTTCCCCAGTCACATAAACCCCCACGCTCCTTCCGCCAATTTGCGTTAAGTCTCTCACCGATGGAAATGACTAGATCGCGACGCAGCACAAAGCCCACCAGTCTCTGTGACTCCTGAGAGACCACCACAGGGAAGCCGCTGTAAGACGTGTCCACGATGAGAGCCTCCACCTCCTCTACACTCATACCATCCTGCGTTATGATGGAGAGTGGGGGGTCACTACGACGAGGCCGCATAACATCCATGGCCAGTGTCTTGTGGCTAAACTCCTCTTTAGCCTCTAGGAATGGGTAACCATTCAGTCTGATGTGGGCCTCGTAGATTCCCTCACGGCCCAGTGCATCCGCTACCCATTTACTTGTCATGGTAGCAGCCATGAGCGGCACAATGTACTCCAAGCCTCCGGTCAGCTCAAACATGATGACCACCAGAGAGACAGTCATACGAGTCACACCACCTGGAAAGACAAAATGAAAAGAGAGGTTGCAGTTTTAAGTCCAAAGGGGTTTCCTCTGTGGAAAAAGGCAGACATCATTCCCATTCTTTAAATCATATTAAAGGGTTCCAGACTAGTCCACACAATTTTTTTGTTGTCTGTGATGTGTAGGGTGACAGGCAATAATGCAGTGATGCAGTTTGGTAGCAGTGATCTTGCAGAGTAGAGCACCACTGATGAATGAGTTCATGTCATGCTTAGTGGAGATTTCTAGTTTTCTTTTTAGATGTGATTTTAGTTTTGTTTTACACAAACCAGATTTAGCTTGAATCATGAAGAAAAAAAATGTAAACACTCATGCACCAATTATGGAGGATAAGACCAACGCAGTGGGCTGTATTTCTTACTTACCCAAGCAGGCAGCAGCGCCCACCATGGCATAGAGGCCTGGTGTGATGCAGTCTGCACCAGGTGAACACCAACCCTTGAAGATCACCCAGTCATGGTGGTAATATGCTAGCTGCTCCATGCCCACTCCCAGCAGCCTGCCTGCAATCGCTCCTACAGCCATGCTGGGGATGAACAGACCTGAAGGTATCTGGCATGGTGTCAAAATGGAAACAAAACAGCTTACAGTCTCATAACAAAGGATGACCCGAGCACTAAATCATCACCCTGTGAACTTCAATGGACACAAGATAAAGTTTAGTGAAGCAGACTTAGTACAGCTTTTATGATCAGTCACATATTGAATTTTCCAAAATTCTATAATTGAAAGTAAACCTGAAATCAAAATTGACCTTTTTTACTGTGTTAGTTCCTGTCCTTGATCATTTTAACATGATGCATAATTTGACAAAATTCTTGCTTTCCTATAATCTTTAATTGAAACGTAATGAATTCTGCACACCTCTAAAACATCTTCTGAAACACAATTACACAATTTCTTAAAAGAATAAAAAAAATACTTCTTAATTTGTAGTTTTATGTTAAGTATCATATTCCAATAGCTGTACTACTAGTTGAACTTACCTTCATGCCAAAAGTCACCACAGTGATGAGCATCTTAAAGATAAGTGCCAGTGCCAGCTGCCACATGGCCATGTAGACGTCATGGCTAGCGGGCCGGTCGGGCAGTGTGTTCCCACTAAGCTTGATGTCGCTGACATTAGCATAGTTGCAGAGCTGGGAGGAGTCCAGCAGGCCGCAATCATTGAACAGCTCTGAGATAAGCTCGCTGGTGCTCATGCGTGTGTAGCTATTGGGGAACGCCAGAACAGCTGTGATCGCAGTCACTACCAGGACCTCCAGCACAGGGTACTGGCCCAGACGCGTTGTCTTGCGCTTCCGACACCAGGCGATGTTGGCCCGTATGAAGAAGGCACCCCAAATGCCACCGAAAATTCCCAGCAACACAAATGGCACCAACTCTACGAGGTGCCAGGGAGAGTGGAACTCCACGTAGAACAGCACCAGACGGCTATTTCCAAATGGATTGATGGAGCGCAATGTGAAGGCAGCCACCAGAGCAGCGAAGAAAGAACGCCACAGTGTCTTTAAGGGGAAGTAGTAACTCACCTAGAGGAAGGAACAGTTCAGCATGAACCTCTATCAACCTGAAGCTGAAGATCATGAAAAAGACTTCTAGTCTGCCACTAGTAACAAAGCCACTGAATCACAGAATCAAATATACACTACAGATTAAAAGTTCAGAAGCAACTAGATATGCACCAATACTGCATTTTCCCTTTTGATAGAGACCGATATCTAATTATATCTAACCTAACTACTCAAAAGGTGCCAATAAATACATGTATATGTTATACCATTCCACTTCATAAATATTTTATTTTGGTAAAAGCAGTATACTGTTTCACAAATAAAACACACTAGGCTTGAAGAGATGCCATTTTTTAATAGTTTCAGAGATACAACAATATATAGTCATCTTTAAACGTTTAAATTTATTTCAATTTCATGTTTTGAAACTAGCAAGTATTTCAATACATCAAATTGAAATAAATTTAAACATTTAAAGATGACTATGCCAAATAGCATAGTGACTTTTTGTATCAACTCTCATAATACTCTCGTTACAATTTTTTTACAGCATGTGTGAAGCATGAATTAGTCCCACACCACAGGCATGTTGCTTGATTTAGGTAGTTGCGTGTAAGAAATTGTTTCATGATATTAGTGGTATCTACTACCCATAATAATACTGTATTTAAACGCCAGCATCAGAGCCAATACAGACTAGCTGGCAGGACTGGTTGGAGCATTTTCTGGCAGAACACTTGAAAATTATATTAAGTGACATAGGCTAACTCCGGTTTCTTCCCACAGTCCGAAGACATGCAGTCAGGCCAACTCGACACGCTAAATTGCCCCTAGATGTGAATGTGTGTGTGAATGTATATTTCTGTCTGTCTGCCCTGCAATGGACTGGCAACCTGTGCAGGGTGTTTCCTGCCTTCCGCCAAATGACAGCTGGCATAGGCTCCAGCTCCCCCCGCGACCCAGAAGGATAAGCGGCTTAGAAAATGTGTGTGTGTGATATAGGCTAGTTATTTTTCAGTGACAGTAATAGACAACTAGGGTTTTTTTTTACCTGTTGCAAGTCCTCACCAGTTTGCCTGTCTCCAGTGCTTCACTCAACAATGTAACAACAGCCTAACAGCACCTGTTTATGTGACTCAAACTTACTGGGTTTATTGTGGAAAGCAAGTCTCTCCCAGTGTGTGAGAGAAGTATCATTTAGATAACCTCAGGCTGCAGTAGAGTAGTTACAGAAAGGCCATCACTGAAAGGGAAGAGAGCTAAGAGCTAAGCTAACCCAGCTTGGACCTAAGGGAGCAAGGAGAGAGATGCATTGTCACCCTCCAGCTAACTAAATGCCTGCTCTGTTTCCCTACCTTGCCTGTTTTTCTTTTCCTTACCTAAGTATGCTTATTTTATTAGAGCTTTATAAAAGCATCTGCTAAACGACAATGTAATATAGCCTATTAGTGTCACTAACCAACTGAATTCTATAACGTGTACACGGGTGTGAAAGAAGGAATCGGGCTTCCTGGGCGACTCACCAAGGCACTGATTTAGATGCCATGGCAGCAAAGATTTTGGTGTGGTGGGCCGCCACAAAGAAACGTTACCAGCGAAACCACTGCTGTAGATCAATAGAATATTTATGGATAAACTTCTTTGGTGAAACTTGATTTCAATTAACAGGCAAACTTATCAAAATGTAAAATACTTTTGAAATGCATAAAAAAAAAAAAAATCTATTTTAATACTTTTGTGCTGTAGTGAATTTGAGGTCACGTTCAAAAGGCAAGAAACTTCTGCTTTCAGAGGAAATAATAGCAGTATAGCATCACCTAAATAAGGTTATTTACCTCCTCCAGGCTGAAGAGGACTCCTCCAATCGGTGCTCCAAATGCCACTGAAACGCCAACCGCAGCTGCAGCAGAAAGCACCTGCATGTATAAATAGAGAATTAGGACAAAAACCACCGTCAAGGTTACAGTAGACCAAACATGACGTAGTAACAGTGTTTTACTGTTTGGCTGAAACAAAATATAGTGTACAGAAATAAGTGACTATAGATTTTCTGAAATGTTCAATATTCTGTCTGCAAAACTGTCTTCAACAACTACTGTAAGCAAGATTACTTGACTTGAATGTAATCAATTAATTAATTAAGAACCACACCAAAAGGACGTTTCACCAAAAGGACACTGGAATTATTTTCCCTTAATTTAACAAATGCACTATTTCATATTAATACATCTTTCAGTAGTGCTGTAACAGCTAGTTTTGTTACAGCAACAACATTAGAATACCATAGCATAACCTTGCATAACTAAGGGCAACTTTCCATGGCAACTTGCGCAAACCAGTACAGTACGACTGGCTACATCTATTCTATTCTGTCCGGTTCTATGGCCATAGAGACAGCAGACAAATATTTGGAATGTGTCTGTGGAAAACATAATACCACAGGAACAAGCTATCAGACTATTCCAAGTATTGTGTGACAAACAGCCTATTCTTAGTGATGCTGTTTTCAGGGTGAGAAGATTTGAAAGAAGCATGATCTTTTTTCACTACCAATCCTTGCTGCCCCCAATAATTTTCCTGTTCCATAGTGCAAAACAGTGATGGTGATAATAGAGCCTGTCACTCTGTTTTCTTCCAAATTGTTTTATAATCTTTTTCTGCCATTTTTCACTCACTCACCTCTCGTCTTTTGGCCTCGTTCTTTCTGTACTTGGTGAAAAGGTGGCAAAGGATGTTCCCGCAGCAGCAGGCTACATGGACCAGTGGCCCCTCTTTACCCAGACTGAGGCCAGATGACACGGCTAGCACCAGAGTGATGGTTTTAATCATCAGAGTCCATTTGCCCAGGTAACCACGGATGATGAACCCACTGAGAATGGTCTTAATCTGAGGATCAGATTCAGGACACTTGCCTGATCAAGATATTACCACATAATACAGACATCTCTGCAGTTAATGGTACCTTTGGAAAAGATAAGCAATAAAGTAGGGTATCAGCTTATTCCTAAGTAGAAAATACAGAAAAAATCTAACTTAATGTTTCTAATGTTGAATGAGATAAAATAACACATAACAGACAATCTGATACCATTGCTCCATACAAATTCTCCTCATGTCTTTCAGAGTCTTTTGGACTTTCCCCTTTAGCTTCCCACACATGTTTACAATGAGGTTTAGGTCACAGAAGCAGGATAGTCACTACAAAAGTCTGACTCTGTGGTTAGTAAAGAATTTTCTGTGAATTTGGGTGTATGTTTTGGATTATCGTCCTGTCTTAGCCACTCGGACCTCCTCACTGCGCACAGGGCAAAATACACTTATATCCTCTTACAAGCACGTTGAACACAGCAATGGATGTTCGAAAATTCTTAACTCTTAATTATTCCCCAAATAGAAGAAATGGGTTTGAAGCTGTTTTATTTTTGCCATTTATGGAGGTAAACAACCTTTTGATGTTTAGATCTTGCCAAATGTCAACAGATGACTAAGGGTGTTTACCTTGCTTGTCATATTGTTTAGACCAGGGTTACAGAAAGTTGTGCATAGCCATCTAAGACCACTTAAGAGCTCAGAAAATTTTGGGTGTTTTTAACAAGTTAACACATGAACAAAAATATGTCAATTAAAACTAATAAATTCAAAGTTCCAATTATTACACCACATATGTTTTTGAGAAAAAATCCCCTTAATTAGCTTTATATTTTAATAATTTTAGCTAAATGGAAGATTAGATTCCACTCATACTGATGGTACAAGATCAAGCTCATTTTTTCCATTACCTTGTTTGTTCATTTTTAAAAAGGGTGCTAAAAATTCTGGAGGGCAATGTTGGAGAGAATCAGCATATACAGTCGTATGCAAAAGTTTGAGCACTCACAATCAAGTTACATGTTTTGTTGATTTAAGTGAAAATACACACCACATCCTATACAAAAAATGAACATATACACTATATGGCACAGGCCACATTTTTTCCCCAATATGTTAAATTCAGCGAGCAATCAGTAATTGTGCAATAAAATGTGCATAAAGTCTGTTCTCTGTAGAGGATGTGGACTTATTTTCACTTAGCACATCAATAAAACTTGACCGAGGGCACTCAAACTTTTGCTTAAGACTGTAAATAAATGAATGAATGTATGGCAATAAACCTCCTCAGAAGCAACAGTGTCCCTGCAAATATTGCCAGATCTAATCAGGCAAGAAAACAGAGAAACGGAAAGGAAGAAATTGACTATTGTCGGCCTTACCTCAGGGATACCAGAGCCACAGGCGTAGGGAGCAAAGGCTCTGACTAGAGACACAGCTAAGAATGAGAACAGCAGGGCCCAGCAAACATACATTAGATAGTTCATGATGTACGCTAAAGGCCCATCATTGTAGCCAATGAGGAGCTCGGCCCAGCTCTTCCAGTCAGGACACTTGTCTCGCTCCTGGAATGTGGTCTCGTTGGAGTTCCAGCAGCAGTGCTCATGGTTGAACCAGAAACGGCTGAGACACACGCCCTCCTTCAGGTCCGTCATCCAGTGAGCGGCGATGTCAATCCCACCAGCCAGGGCACCTTTAAATTAAAGCAAGAAATAAAGCAGGATGTGTATCAGTTGACCCACTTATTAAGTAAACTGTGAATGTAAATAAGCAGTACTAATGGTAATGCATGATAAATGAAGAGCCTGAAGAATTAACCTGCTTTCAGTCCGACCAGAAGCATGAGAAGCCAACCAGAGAAGGCATCATGAATGCTCATTATCAAAGCCCAGGTAGACTCTTTACTCTGACTGGCAATCTGTAGAACAAAGAAGTACATAATTCCAATCCAGTCTCCTATGTGCATTTAAATTGTATCTGAGTCTTTAACCAAGTCCCGCTAACCTCTCTGTGGCGGTCCCGGTCCTTGGACTTTTCTCGCACCCAGTCAATGGTGTTGAAGTCTTCGTACGTGCCTACTCCAGGCACTGGTTCATCTAGAAGATCCATCAGCTTAAGGACCCCATTCAGCCCATTCTCAAGTCCACCTGCACATTGAATGAAAAGCGTTAGCTCATTCAGGGTTAAATTTTGGGTGAAGTGTGCTATCCTTAATTTTTAACATTAATCTAACAAGTATCATAATTAGAAAAGCACTGAGAGCAAAAGGCACATTCTATAATTCGTTTTTTTTTCTTGTCATCAATAAACATCTTCAAAAAAATGCTCCAACAGCAATTCTGAAACCACTTTATTGCTCATCCACTGCCTTGGAGATATATAACAGGTGGTGTTAAGCTTCAGTGATTTGACCGCTCAGAAATGAGCTCTGACTCTTGAGCTCTGAATACACATATGACAGCAATAAAACAATTCTGACAACCAATGCAGTTTTACTAGTAGTAAAACTCTTCTCATCCATATGACCTAATGGTAGATGTATTTATTCAATTCATTAAGTCAGCCTATATGTGTACAGAATAACTCAGAACCAAAAATATTACAGTTGACTGACAGGCAGTATTGATAAATCTAAGACAAAAACAGTGGCGTGAGACTTTGGCAACATGTTAACATTTCACAGCTCTTCTGGCCTTAACAACAGACATAACAGAAGCAAGCTACTAAAAGGCAAGGTAAGCAAATAATTGAGCGATCCCCCAAGTCAAAATATGAAACCACCACAGAAATAACTAGAGGAGACTTTGATCTTGTTGATAAAGGCTCAGAGCAGCTCTCTGTGTGGGTGGCAGTGAACAGTGGCATAATGACCTCATCCATTTCACACCAGGATTTTCTTACTCGAATATAAATACCAGAAGCGTCTACATTACTGATTTGCCCCCTAAACTTGTATCACTTTCCATGAGAAAAAGAATAAAAACTATGGGAAGCTCTTACATAACAATAATGTTTGAATAAGGTCAAGAGTGAATGAGGGCACTCACTACCAAATAATCGGTATTTAATTTTTAAAAAATAATGTTACTTCTTCTAAGTTGTGGGCACCACGTAAATTCTACTAGTTCTAACTAAACACCTCACTGACAATCTCTCTTGTGTGTTCTGCAGCTCAATTACCTGATCCGTAGTCACGGTCTAACGGAGGAACATCATCAGTACTGGAAAAATCCAGAGTGGCCCCAGCAATTTCCACCATGTCCTCATCGCTGGCGGCACTCTGCAGGCTGGTGAAGCTCTCACTGCAGTAGCCCGTGTTCTCCATCATCGCTTTAAACAGATGGGGACATAGTAAAGCCCTCTGATCTGTCATGGATCAGAAAGGGTACCACAAATTAGTTACAACGCATGACAGCTGCCTTAAAGGCCAGTAACGGAGAACCGCGACGTTTAAATGAGATAAATTACAGTCAACCAAACAAAATGATGCAGATGAGAAACAGCTAGCTTGAAGTAACATATTTTTGACTTGAGGTAGGCAGATCGTGGCAACCTCGTGAAAAGCGAGTGTAAGTTAGCGCAACGGCTAAAAGGCTAAATAGCACCTTCACTGTAAATGCTCTTAATCAGGTCTATCAGCTGGGGCGCCGGTTAGTGTACGTTAGCTAGCTACACGGCTAACTAGCAAACTTATTCTACATTTGTGCTAACGCCACAACAGCTTATTCATGACGAAAAATCAACTCCATCTAACTTGTCCTTGGCCACAATCTCTTGGTCTGAGCTGGCAAAAGCAAATCAAAATGAGGTGGTACAGTGTAACTTTAAACTACATTAGCTGCTAATCTGTGCCCGCGGGCTACCAGAAAGTGAATAAACACTGATAGCAACGCTCTCAGTCCCGTTAACTAATGTTAGCTAGCTAGCATCTACGAACAAAAACAACCCGAATTAGTAATTCATACCACTTAGCTGAGCGCTTCCTGGCCGTTTTCACTAAGCAGGTAACACGTTACATATTTACTTTGTCGAGGACTCCGTATTGTCATTAAGCTGGTTAAAAATTACCTTTCTAACTACTTTTGTTTTGCATCAGTAAACCGCTTCGCCTTCCTTACATCTCCCCAAAGACATGCATAGACGAGTGTCGATAGAAGGGAAAACAGCATCGGTAATCCATTAACAGAAATGTTTTAGGATTAGACAGGTTAAAATTTTCTTTGTACTCGCCACACAGAACATGGCCTAAATAACTCTAGTTGGCTACTGAAATGTTTTAACAGGTATTAATACACGTAGCCCAACCTAAACCCCATAATCAGCTTTGAACTCAGGACTGCATGAGGACTACATCAGTGTCGCCATCTAGTGTCGGTTCTACAGCGGTGCTGCTGGGGTGCTTATTGCTACTGTGCGGATCTTCATGTGCGTATGCAGAAGTTATGGCTCCCCTGATCAAATGGCATTTTTTGTTGATTTCTAAATAAAAATAAATACATAATTTCTAAAGAGAACACACTTATGTGTTATTATATTTTAATGCACAATTACTGATTATTAGCTGAATTAAAAAAAATACCCAACACAAAATGTGGCCTCTGCAAACGCATTTTACATTTTATACATTTTTCCAATATGTTAAACTTAGCAAATAAATAGAAATTGTGCAACAGAATTTGTAGAAAAATGCCATATTTAAATTCGTTTAGGGAGGAAAAACTTCAATAGGCAAACTTTGTTCAGTATCGATGACTTGGCATGTTATTTCATTGTGTGATACCAGTTGGTTGGTTTTACAGGGACAGTACATAGCCTACACTTATCATCTGAACTGAACAGCCAGCCTATGAGCTGTGTGCTCTCCACTTCGTAGCTAGTGTCCAGACCTTCCGCTCCACTGATCAAACAAGTGAGGAGCACTCAACTTTCACAAGCTGAGTGTCTTTAGCAGACACAAACAGAGCGCTACTAGTGACATCCTTTATAAATAAAAGTAATGCATTGGCCACGCCTTATTAACGCATGGGAACGAGATCCTATGACTTAGTAAGGCGTGGGAATTAGATAATTAAGTCACGACCACTACTTAGTAAGCCGTGGGAACGAGATCGTGCCTTACTAAGTCGTGGCCACGCATTAATTTTATTTATACAGGATGGCACCATGGGGGCTCTGTAAGAGCCAAGCAAACGAACGTGGCTGTTTCTCTTTGTGTAGCCAAATGTGGGTTATCTGTCACTTACTGCCTGACATCTCTTACGTCAGGCTTTCAAAGCTGTGGGGAGCCTTGAGAAATTGTTACGAACCTTTGTTGTCTCTTTGGAAGCCTTTGGAAGTGACGTTGAATATTGTGAGTTGTTGTTGTCAGTTAGTTTCATAAACTTTTCATCTATTTATAGGAATTCTTCTTTTTGTTATGTAGTTTCAACATTACAATTACCATGCCTGTTAGTATTCCAGTGTCCATTTTCCCTTCTGTCCTGGGCTCACAGCTCTGTGTTGATTTACATCTCTAGGTTTTATTTTCATGTTAAGGAGGTGGCATTCTCCCTTAAAGGGCCCACATCATGTAAAGCTGAAAAGTCTCCACTTTTCTGAGACAAAAGAGCTTGAGGTTACACATTAACGCTGTTAAATTTCACAAACATCCACCTGTTTAGCCTACAGCAGTTTAGCTCCACCCTTTTCCACTGATGAGGAGTATTTAAGCCCAGACTGCTTCATCAAACACAATACAGGGTAGCCAACCAGAACAAAGGTTATTTACATAAATCAGTCTTAAAGGCACATTAAATACAGCCTGTTCAATTCCAAGGGATGAAGAAAGGTTGAAAAATTATCAAGTAAAATGAAATATGGCTCTTTTTGGTACATAAAACCACACTAATGGCATCAGTGGACCTCAAGGAAAGAAATGAAATGTAAGAAAGATGTAGGATACAGACCCTTCAAACTCAAATCAGTTGTACTTGTCAGTTATCCCTGGTTTTATGGTGAAATGTTTTGTTTTAAACAGCGATCAATAAGCTGAAAATTGTCAGGAATGTTGAATTCTCTTGGGGTCTAAAGGTCAAGACAGGAAAGGAAATGTTGGTCAGAGGTGGTCTAAAGTGGTCTAAACAGCTAATGAGTAATGATGGGTTTTCAGCCATTGTCGTTGTGGTTAGGTGGATTCTAACAGGTCCATGAATCCAGGCCAAAGTACACTCACACACACACACACACACACACACACACACACACACACACACACACACACACACACAGGCACACACAGTTGCCTGTTTTTTTTTTTAGCTCAGAGAAGCAATTGCCAGGGACCTGGTACTTGGGTACCTTTTCAACAAACTAGCAGATAAACATTGGGGTAACAAAATACCAGAACCCACACACACAGGGACATACAGAAACATTAAAGTACTGCCAAGGGTCAGTGAAGTGGTATGACCGCTGAGGCTTTGACCACTGTTGTAATTTGGTACATGCTTGAATGACGAAACCTGTCACAAACCTAAAGGCTCAAAGTTCAGCCTTCAGGTGGCTGAAGCATCTTGTTTGAATTACAAGCAATTGCACAGAGACATCTCTTAATGCTACTGGCACTTAATGCACTGCCTACGTGTCAGTCAAATAGGAATCATCTAAAGGAGGCCTAGTTTTGTTTTAGTGACATTAAGTTTTTGCTTAATATGCTTTCATTCGTGCTGGCAAGCAGCGTCAGTAAAGTCACACTTGCTTTATGGTTCATAATTGTAAGTGCCTGTGTAATGTATTACATGCAGACTTTTGTATTGCAAGGTTGCAGTGCATCCATAAACTTTAGTTATGGTCATTACTGGTGTGAAACAAGCCACAGAGTTCAGCATAAGTATTCACTTAGACATATGCAGTTCTGCTAAAACTTTATTACATGGTTATGGTGTTACAAAATGACACAAAGCATGTTTGAGATCAAACATACATCATAATAGTACACCATAAAGCAATATATGTTGAGATTATATGACTGCAATATACACTACTGCTCAAAAGTGTGGAATCACCTGTCACATTATTTTACAGACTATAATAGCCCACCTTGTGTAAATTTGAACATTACAAACTATTAAAAAATGTAGTTTTAGGTGTTTTATCCAATATTTCTAGAAATGTGTGAATAAAAAGTAATTATTTGATTAATATTATATTATGAATATCTATTTACATTATTTTTCCGATTGTGCACTTGTGCACAACAATCACATTATGATTTATTTATACTGATTGTCCAAACTGTTTTTACGTAATTGAAAACAGTAAATACCAAAATTTATGATGTAATTAAATGTTCTGTAGCATTCTGTAAATGTAAATGTCTGTAAATTAAATGTTCTGTTTGAGCATTGTAGTATATCATTGCTGTTTTAGAGCATTTTCATCAATCTAGTCATCATAAAAATATAAGGAGCAACTGCTGTGCTCAAATAAAAATGTAAAGAAAAAAAAGATGCACTTTTTTTTTGTTAAAGGCCTATAGTGGGTTTTGGCTGTTCACATGCGTCACATGTAAATTTAGAAAGAAAGAGACAGAAAGAACATCGTGTTCTGTCTCAGAGAACGTTCTGACTGGACCTTTGTTACCGCTGACTCCAGAATTTGGCTAAAATATTACCTGCATCTTTGTTCGGCATGTACAGACACAGTCCCAGATAGAATGTCAGGTGATAATAATAATAATAATAATAATAATAATAATAATAATTTTGTAGAACTCTTTTCACAGACTCACTCATGCAAAACAAAAATAAAAACACTGAGGAAAACAATAAATGCTTCATTCTACCATTGCCGTTTGTAAATGCTGGCGTGTAATTCAATTGTTAAACATAGTTATATTGAACATCAGTAAAGTTGTAACACCACTGACAAAATGACTAAAATCTGAGCTTTTCTAAAGTGTACTCCAGTGACACTTTAGTTTCCATCACATTGATATGTTAAAGGCCTTTAGGGGGTTTTGACTGTTTGCATACTTCACGGACATTCAAACGTGTGTCTCAATGAATAGTGACCCTCTTGGTGAGAAAGAAGGATTAGGCAGTGTGAACTTTTACCTACATCTTTCTCCCCTCATGTTACAGAGTTTAGCGAACTTATGAATATTCTCAGTCTATACATACTTGGTGCATATTAAGTGCATATGCAGTGTTTTTAGTGCATAATATGACAAACACAAACTGAAGGGTTCCAAAGTATATTCAATATTCAATATCCAAACCTTTATTTAAACTTGGACTGCACTGAGGGAGAATCTTCACTGTGAAACAACTGATCAAATAAGAAATATACATTTAATAAAAACAATATGGAATTAATAGTTTACAAGATAAAACAATGAAAAAAAATCAATGTTTTTTGTGTTTAACACATATACGCAATATCCTAAGAATAAATGCAGAAAATCTTTCTTGGTCCTTGTGGAGAGCAGTGTTTTGAAATTGTGTTTTGACCCCAGCCTGAGCAGAGTGTTCTGAGCAAAAGGAATTGACCAACCAGTCCATCAGCTTCATCTCTGCTTTAGACCTCTGTCTGAGTGAACCTGGTGACATAGTCGTGTGTCCATGCCGAGAGTGCATGATGTGGAATAACTGGACGGAAGGATGTCCATTGAATATATTAACATGATCAAATAAAGCCATGGAAACTCTGTAAAGTTATTGGGTGATGATCAGTGCACGAATGCACACCACAGTTTCAGATGTCACAGGACTGGTCATCTGAAATGACTTAATGTTTCTGGAGTGACACCACTGACACAGCCTTTTTGCAACACATGAAACAGTCAGAATTTTAGCCAAATTTATTTCGTGAAATAAATAGTGAAATAGATTTCACTAGCAGTGGACTTCCCACAGTTAGTCCTTCGTCCTTTGAGATATCAGTATAAGGGGTCATTCACAAAGACCTTCCTGTTATTTAAAGTACATTTTATGTTTCTGTAGCACCACTTACACAAAATATTGGGACAAGATTATAAAAATCACTATATTTATATATATTAAATATTTTTTTCAAATAGGACAGACAATAATTGTAGTGCATGTTTTATAATTTAAACTGAAAAACAAGCACCAAAGTTGTTGTTGCACATAAAAATAATAATTCAACAACTGTGAAGTCAGTGCTGTGGCCTGCTGTTTTTCAGACTACAAATCACTAAAATAAAAATTCAAAAAGAAGAATTATCATCATTTTTGTTGGTTAATTTAATAACAGAGCTAAGAATACACAGAAATATACCTCATTTTCATTACGTCAGTATTGTAGGACAGCATTTAACACCACATTGGTATAATGATTAAAAAAAACAATTAAAAAAAGCTTGAAGGCCCACCTAAGAGAAAATGAGAAACACATTACTAAGCTATAAAACAAACAAAAGGAAATATAAAAACTGCTACATCATAATAAGAACATTTGTCATGTATTTGTATATTTATCTAATCGTGAATGTAAAATGCAGTTAATACAATCACATACAGTATATAGTCTTCTTGTCTATTACCATCATGTAAACAAAAAATACTCTTACATCACAGCTGTCACGGCCGTGGGGACGGTCCAGTTGGAGTTTGGCTAGAGTGAATCAAAGAGTGGTGGGTTTGCCAAGAATGACACAGGGCTGAATTCTGGAGGCCAGTACAATCTTCTGCTTTAAGAAATTTCATTGTCTGACATTCTGTTGATGGCTTTCAAAAACACAGTGTTTGTGTCTCAAGATTCTCCCATGGGCCTCCCATGCCGTCTTCAGCTGGACTGGGATTTGATGTCTCAGTGCGACATAATTTGACGTAATTTTCTTGCTCAACAAATCATCAATGGCCAGTTGTGCCATAGATGTGGATCAGAGCCAGTGTCTTCTTGAAATTTATAGAGTGAAATGTAGGCTTTATCTGGGTAATTTATAATAAGTTTATTTTCTTGGCCAGTTCTAGTGCAGTTGCCTCAAAGCCAGTGGTGTAACTACCAGGGGGATTGGGGTGGGGTGGGGTGGGTGATGGGGGGGTTGTGGGTTGTGAGGCTGGAGGGGTTTGCACTGGGGCCCATGGCATGGGGATGCCGAAAACTGAAAGGGCTCATATCATGAAAAACTCAATTTTACTTAATTACATTGAACTTATATCTCACATCATATAAAATAGTTTGCTTTCATACAGAAACATTGTTAAGGTTTCAAAATTTCACTCCCAGTCCATACAGTCCATATGTAAACAATTGCAAAAACAACCCCTTTTGACTTGACTGATGTCACAAAAAGAGCACATTTACACCATTTCACCCATTCAACCTACCACAGCTTAGCCAAAATCATGAATGCTGATGATGTAAGGAGTCTTTCAGCTTTGCTTTTTGAATATGGCATTCAATCAGAACAGAGCTAATTTACATATACCAGTCTTAAAGTCAGTTTATTCTAAAAAGAGTGGATAAAATGAGGTTGGAAAATGATATACAAATAAATCACAGCTGTTTCTTTGTTTGGCCTAAAACCACACAAACTTAAAATAAGAAAATAGAATAACAAATAAAAAAAACAAGTGGATCTCAGGTGAAAAAAATAAAGATATATGGATATGGGCCCTTTAACAACATGCATTACCAGTTAGCATGAACTGAATGTGTAACAGAAGATGCTCAACATTTGCATTATAGATGTGGTTTATTATAAGTATATTTTGAATTATCAGTTTTCCATTCTTTCATAAATACAGAGATATGCACTAACATTATTGTCCAACAAAATCCACATCATGCTGCAAATGCAGCAAATAAAGATTAGCTTAAAAATGCTATAGCATTCTACTAAGATTATCCCCCTTTATGTGAGTGACTCACATGATTCAGAAGCATGTGCACTCAAGTAAATCAACAGAAGCCTATCACCACATTTTGCATTATTTTTGCATGATAATTTACAGTACAATTCTAAAAAATGAACCCAAAAAAGGTCATTTGTGTTGTCATAGAAATGCCTGAGATGGCATTTCTGTGCACATGATCAGAAGCTGTACTGTTTCGCAGTAGGCCTGTGTCCCAAAAGCCAAATAACAAGAAACTATTGGCTGCTATTTGGAGCTTATCTCAATCATCAAATATTTGACCAACGTGTGATTTCACTGCGGCCAGGACAGTACGGAGGGTGAAAGAGGATGGAAAAAAAGGAGAGCGAGGGAGGGAGTCTCCTGCTGTGGGTTTATAAAGGCAGAGGCTGTTCTCAGCTACAGCTGATCTGTTCCACTGTCAACCAGCATCACCAGCCAACATGCCTCACTACAGCCAGGCAATACTGGGACTGTGCCTTTTGGTTTTGCTTTTTGCAGTGCATCAGGTAAAGCTTCAGTTGTTTTAGCCACTTTTTTCTACTCTTTTTTATATCTTTAGGAGAGTCAGACCTGTCAGTCTGGAGCCTAAACTCATGGAATGACATTTCTGTATATATTAAAACAAGCAATGTAATATATTTACTTGCTTGATAGGAGTGACCTTCTAGTAAGTTAGAAAGTTATTTGTGGTGTTGTATTGCTGGGGTCCTTGTAGAATAATCAGCAGTGTTCAGGCTTTTACTCAGTAGTGTATATAGCACCTGGCAAATTGTCATATATCACATAAATGTCATTAATCTGTGTACTTTAGGGATCCAGTGCACCAGCAATGGCTTCTGAAGCCACATCTAATCTCCAGCAGTCAGATACTGCACTGATTCGCAAAACTCGTATGTCACCTGTGTGGAGAATCTTGGCGAGTAAACCACCTGGAGCTTACTGTCACGACCATATAGAGTGTTCTACAGGCCTCTGCAGGTAAAAAACGCTTTAATACTTTACTATTTGACTTTTGAAATTAATAAAGTGTCATTACGGTTTACTTACTAGGGGTGTACCGATTCACAGAGTTCATAATTCTATTTGGTTTGATATGACACAGTTGTGTCTTGACACAATACATTTTTCAATATAACAAAATGAGCGTCCAAAATGTAAAACTGTAACAAATGTAAAACTGTAACTGTAACATTAAAATGTCAATGTTTCCATTTTCATTCTGCATTTATAAAAATAACATATCAAAGGCTGTGCTTTAATAGTGTCTCAGTGGCAAATCTAGCCAGTAGCAAATATTCTAGCCCCAAGCCATCCCACTAGCCACAAGCAAACATGCTAGTGATAATAAAATATGAAACAATGTGATACACTGTGATGCAGATAAATATGTTATATTGTTACATCCCTTTTTCTTACATATATTTCAATGCATAATGCTTGCATTTTCAGTATTGGAACGCATTCATGTATTTTTTTCATTCGAAATATTGTTTACTGTCCATAGGAAAGGCTTTTGCTCTTTCAACCAGCCCGTTCATTCCTAAAGGATCTGGAGCCTGTACACACTGATGAGATTAAAAGAATTACCCTTCTGATAGTCATCAATCTACACACCCACCAACATGTTTAGATGACAATAGTCAGTGATTGTACAGAAAACAAGAAGAATACTGATTTTCAAACATCCATTCTTTCTAACTGGAATTACATTACAAAGACAACAGATTCAACAATTTAATATGAATTGTATTAATTATTGTTTTGTAAATTATGAAATGTATTTATTTTAAACAAAATATTAAATTGTTTATCAATGCATACCTCTAACACATAGTTTCCACAAAAAGAACATTTTTGCATTTGTGCTGTAAACAGACTGTGACCAGAATGTAGCGTAATTTAACCCCTGACACTGCAAGGGCCTCTATGTGGACCCCCGCTATCATAACTACACAGTTTATATATTAGTTTCATAGTAGTTACTAAATAATTCATACACTATAGACAGGGTTTTAATTTAAAACATTACCAGGCTGCCTTAAAACTGTGAGTTATTTAAACCTTACCTTAACTTATTATTCAAAGATCAATTAACTCAAAATTGAAGGGCAGCCCAGTAACCAACTTTTTTAAAACCCCATTTTTACAGTGCAGTTACCGAAAAATAGGGCTTAAGGAATAATGCAGGTTTTTTAACCTGATCTCTGTAGCATGCAGTTGATCATGGCAGACAGTAAGTAAGAAGAGAAAGTTTTTTGGCTAAAAATATATGTAAGTTACTCAAAATATTACACTGTAAAAATGATGCAGCTTTTAAATTTTAGAAGTATAAGTAACCTGGTTACCGTGAAATTTTGAGTTCACTGAACTTGTAATATTAAGTTAACAGAAGAATGATTTGTGTTTGGCATTTGTTAACCTGTTTGAAGTTTTACTGCAATAAGTAATTGTAAGTTGATTATTTAAGTACTCATAATAGAAGTCAATGGGCAGCTGAGTTTAACACCTGCCCATTGGCTTCTGTTACACGCAAGCAGTTTCTATTCTAAGTACAAGGTTTTTATTGTCCATGGTAATCAACCATACACTACAGATGCAGCACATAGAGATTAGGTTAAAATACTTGGAAGTATCCCTTTAATAGCTGAATGAACAATAAGCCTGCAGTTTAAGGGGTTAAGTTTAAGTAGCATAGATAATTTTCATCACAAGAGATTGTTGTTTTATTTTCATATTTTTTTACCCCAAAGGTATTTGTCCCTTTGTTATTTATGAAATTGCCTTTTTCTGAGTACTGTACCTGAAATACCTTTAAAATATGTTTTCTTTTATAATCTTTATGACAAAATAATGCAATTTATACCTCTTATGTCTCTATGTCATTAAGGAGGATGATAAATATTCACCCTGTCTTCTGTTAGTAAATGGTGTCTGTGTCTGTCTGACACTCTGTGTAGTAAATTACTTGCACGAGATTGTACTGTAAAAAAAGCCATAGTACTGTTAATGGCCGTCTGTGTGAATATATACCACTTAAAGGTGCCTTTCATGACAAACACAAATGAAGAATAAATTTGTCAAATAAAAGCTGTGATGTTTATTCTTTCTCTGATTCCTCTTAAGAACCACTGTGTCATATCTACACATTTGTGACTGATTGGTGCACTTCAGAGTCTCATCTACAACTCCTGTGTTACAGCTTCTGGAAAGAGGCAGAGACATTATGCCAAAAGATTCAAAACTTTTCAAGTGACTGCACTTTTGTAGTCATAAGCAGTAGAAAAGATACAGTCATGTGCAAAAGTTTGAATGCTATCAGACAAATTACATGTTGATTTTTTAAGTGAAGATAAGTTACCACGTCCTCTACAGTGAACTTAAATGTGCATTTTCTGCACATTTTAGAATTTATATTTATTTGCTTAGTTTAACATTCTGGAAAAAAACAAACATAAAATATAAAATGTGCCATAACTTTTGTACAGGCACTGTTTTCTGATTTTTTTTTTTCAATATGTTAAATTTAGCAAATAAGCAAAAAATATTTTCATTAAAATGTGCAGATTTGTACTTATTGACACTTCTGTCTTGTCATTTCTGGACATTTCAATGGATGGAAAAGGTCAGAACGTAAATCGAATGTAAATACATGTAAATAGTACAGCAGTAATAACTCTAGACAACTGAGGGTTGATATTAACATCACAATATTTTAGGTGTTTCTTTTTTTAAGAATACTATGGATCATATAAATTAGGAGATCTAATTTCATATTAGGATTAAGTTCTAATTTAAATTCCAATTATATTGTAAGTCTAAAGGTTTGTAGACGCCTGCTCATCCATCATGAGATCAAGTGTATTAATAGAAAGTTTATCTTCACTTTGAGGCAGTAACTGTCTCTACTCTTCTGAGAGGGATTCACACTAAATGTTGGAACATTGCTGTGAGGATTTGTTTGCATTCAGACACAAGAGGATTAGTGAGGTTAGTTACTGATGTTACCTGATCAGTTTAGAATCACAAATACCACTCCAACTCATCCCAAAAATGCTGGATGGCTCCATCACTCCAGAGAACGCAGCTCCACTGCTTCACAGCCCACTGGTTCATAGTCCTCTAGATGAGGCTTGTCTTTAGACATGGTGTCTGATGTGTGGCTGCTCCAGGGCATCCCATTCTGTTGGCAATGCTTTTCTATGGAGATTATAGAAGCAGTGTGTGTGCAATTGAACACAATAGGTGCACTATAAATTAGCTGTATTCACTTCACCTTCAGATGAGGTGCCTGGATACATAAAGTGTGCATTTCAGTTATGACAACAACATTACTCTTATTTTATCCCATTTTAGAAGTTGTTAATAGAGAATAGTGCTACAGGTTCTTTCAGTTGGGGAGTGTTTGTGGTTTCCTCAGCTGGTTATGGAGTGTAACAGATAGCTGGCAGATGGACTGGGTGCCCCCTCCCAGAGACTTTGACATTTACTTCTCCCGCATGCCTGGAGAAAGACAGCGTAACATTAGGTGCTAAGAAGCCTCTAACAGAGAATGTTAGTAGGGTTCAGAAGCTAAACATTATGAGAAGTCGTAGTAATTCAGGTGTCAAACTTGACAATTATGCACGAATCGTCCAACAAACAATCCTGTGTCACCAGGTAAGGCTTATTACACTGAGTTCAGCAGTGTTCAGCAGAGTTTAGAGTGTCTCCTCTCAGAAGCTAGTGCTATGTTGATGTTGTGGTGATTAAATGGCAGTGTTTTGCTGTTTCATTTCATGTTGCATGTCTTGAAGTAGGTCAGGTTTGTTGGCTATCACCAGGACAATTATAGTATAAGCATTACTTTAGAAACTAACACTTGTCAAAATTATTACATGACTATTATTTTTAATGCCATATGGGGGGATGGGCAACAAAAATATACACTGAAGTGGTAATATCTCCATTTTTCTTTGCCTTGATGATGGAAAACAGCACTCTGATATAGCCGCTGCAGATTAACATGAATTGCCTTTGATCAGACTGTAAATTCTACACTGTAAAAATTGGTTTGTCAGTTCACCCTAAAAAATTACTTCAAGCAATAACAAACAATTTAACTGTAACTCAAGCAAATACTTTAAATGAATGTGAAGCAAAGTAACACTTCAGATGAACGAAGGTGATATTTTACATCAATTCAACTGTGCTTCAAATAAACGTCTGACACTTTTTTACAGTGTAAATTCTCAATCTGCAGGAGATTTCTTCCTTTTTTCTCTTTTTTTTCTTTCCCATTTATTTTCCAGGATCCGGTGACAGGGTTAATTTCGGGAAGCGATGATGTCCCTCATGCCTGGGTCCGAGACAATGTGTACAGCATCCTGTCTGTGTGGGGTCTGAGTCTGGCCTACAGGAAGAATGCTGACCGTGATGAGGACAAGGCCAAAGCATACGAGCTGGAGCAGGTAGGAGCCATCAGGGACTGTTTCACTGATTGATTTTCACTGGGTTTTTCTGAGATTAACTCCTTAAATGCCTCCTAGAATTCAGGCTTCTATTCCTCACTCCTATAACTTAAGACTCAGCATTGTCTTCCATGTGATTACTGAATGATAAGTCTTAGGGTGTAATAAGCCTGTTTAGTGGCAAAGGTTCACAATATGAACTAAAAATCGTCCAAGAGTTTATGAAATTAGGAAGAATCTGGATAGAAATGCTTTTTAAGCTCAGCATTAGTCTAGTGGACTGAATGTTGGCCCACACTTGTCTTTCTCAGAACTACATAACGTACATAGTAGTTTTACAGTAGTTACTGAGTAAGTAATTGATAATCACTGAACAACAAGTCTTAAGACTAGTAAATGGTAATAATAACTCTGCAGTTCAAGGAATCTCATGTGTCTTTCACTTCTTTGAGTCTGAAAGTAGAAATGCCAGGGGGCAAAACTACTCAGCTCATGTTTCTCTTTGGGTTATAGCAGTTGGAGAGAGTAGAAGGTCAGAATGAAGACTGACTGCTCTCTCTCTCTCTCTCTCTCTCTCTCTCTCTCTCTCTCTCTCTCTCTCTCTCTCTCTCTCTCTCCCTCTCCCTTTCTCTCTTCTAGAATGTGGTTAAGCTCATGCGGGGATTGCTGCAGTGTATAATGAGGCAGGTATGAACATTGCATAATAAGTAAAAGCACAACATTTAACCATGTAGCACACGTCTACAATGAACCCCTCCAACCCTGAGCTCCCATATTTGGCCCTACATGTCAATTCCTCACTTTCATCACCAGGCATCACAGTTAGGGCGACTATAGGAACAGACAACCCACAGCCTGTAAGTAAGGATGGACAATGATAGGCCTGGACTAAGTGTCCTGTGGTGTACAGTTTCAAATTTCTAAGTAATTTATGTCATAACTACATCAACATTGTCAAACCTAAATAAGTTGAAATAGAATAATTGCATTCTTGAACAAAATTGGAAACCCTCCCACCTACTTCTCCTCGCTCCACACTAGGGCACAGATGGTGTCCACACCTTCACAAGATTTGAATATAGCTAACTGTGGGGACTACTGTTGATTAAGGGTACATTTACACTGTGAAAATTTCCTGTAACTAGTTACATATCGTGAGCTGCCCGCAACATGATTTCCTTGCAACTTGACAGTAACCCGGATATTAAAAACAACTTTGCATGCAATGCATTTAGTTACTCTACTACTTAGCCAAATTAGCTACTTGTATCAATGATCCGTGCTATTCTCACTATAAAATCATCCATGAGTTGTAATATTTGCAGCATTTTTATCATCTTCTTATATTTTTTCCAGCTGTCTTTACCATTCCTTTTTTCTATATATATATATATATATATATATATATATATATATATATATATATATATCTGTCTTTTATTTATCTATCCAGATACATATTTGAGTTTTTTTTTCTGTTGTGTTTGTGTTAAGCCACTGAAAATGAATCTATTAGGTTAAAGCCTACTTAATGTCTCACTCATCCTTCATTCTGCCC